CCACACGGCCTACGCTACCATCTGTCGCGAGGGGAAAGATCTCGCGGGTCCAGCGTCATCGACGATAGTTACTCTGGGTTCGGGACGAGGTGTTGTTAGATCTACGATAGCCTCGGTAGCTACGAGCACCCACGTTTACGCATGTATATGCATGTCCGTATGTCTGGATACCCGGTATACTACGTGGGATAGGTGTGTGATGATATCTGCCCGCTGGGTCGAGAGCGTATGGGCGAACCCATTCGCGGGTGACTGCCGTGATTGAACCTCTTGGCGGCGCGATACGGTGCTCAGTTATGTGTCTGTCTTGGTTCATCTGCCTTACCAATCGTTACGCGGAGAAGTGATGCTAGCTAGGTAGTTAGCAACATGGGCAATACCAAGAGGTTGCTCGTCCAAGTAGGTAGGCATGTCCGCCTGTCTGTACGTAGTATGTTATTCACGAAGCCGGGCCAAGGGGCATCGCTTGGTGGAGCGCGTGTCCGCCCTCTGGCCCCAGCCACTACCTATCCCCCGGTCTCTTCTCTTCCTCTCGCTTGCCAAGGGCCGAGGTATTTACCTCGCCCATTGAACGAACGAAGCGTGCGCTGGCCCTGCTCATGGTCCTTGACGCCAGGCGTTAGCTGCAGGGAGGATTGTAAACAACCGTGATTGCCGATCGCTTGCGGTAGCCCGCTCGAGACGATGATGTTATAAGTGTCTCCCAATGCCAATGAGCGGCGGTCTATTTTTTCTCTCTCCCTCTCATCCCGGTCCCATCGAAAGCCCACCAGGACACATCTAGATAGAGTGCGTGGCGCTCTACAGCATCAGGTACGTCACCAGGGAAGTCCCATCACGATGAGGCCGATTTCATTCGCCTTGGCCCAAGATGCGTGTAACGAGGACAATCGTCGTCTCTGGGATGGTGACACGAGCCAGTCGCATTTCTCATAGGCGCCCTGGGCTCTCATGCATCTTATGGATGCACCCAGACCTCACGAGGTTGCTTCTAGAACCGCTGTTTGTTCTTCGCTGCCAGTCGAATTTTCCCAGCTGAACATCTCGTACCCCCCTAGTATCCCTTCACCAGGCCTCTACGACGTACTACGTTGTAGTAGTTGACACCCTAGTATGATAGCCGATGGAGAGATTGTGTGTGTGTGTGTGTGCATGGAATGGGTGCATTCAGTATGAACCCGTCCGCTCTTGGCCTCTGACAGAGGATCCGACGTTTTCACATAAGCCTGCCAAGGCTTCCTGGATCAGCGCTGTTGCACCTCTCTTGATGCGCCGAGCATTGGCGAAGATGTCACTAGATACCGTCTTCCATTAGCTAGAAACACAATCGAGTACAGGGACGAGGAAAAGGACGAAAAGAAAAGAGAAGAATGCGTGAGACGGGAGAGGATAGCATCTCTTCAAGCGCCCCCGACACTGTTTTAACGCTGTCCCGGCCTCCTTTTGCGTATTATAACTGGGGGTATTCATCAGGAGGAGCGTGACTTTATGCCGAGCCGTCCCCGAGGGGCGGCCACGGCATGCGTCGTCCCTATTTGTGTGCGAATCGCCGCATTTCACCCCCGTTTTTGTCCTTTTCCCTTAGTTTTCATTCTGAAAATTTTTAGAGGTGGTACGTCTGCGTATCGTCATAACGGGGGAGATCTATCTTAGATCCCTCCTCCGTCGCCACGTACCGACCAGCCCTGACAATTACTCGTGTGAGCTGTCTCCGCAGTCTCCTCAGATTCTTGACACAACCTCCGACGGTTTCTTAACCTATCATTCGAGCCACGCGTGGCAGGACACGCAGTAGATTCGACAGAACGTGATCGCGGCGAGTATAATTCGCTCGGGTTCGCAGGCGTACCGTGAACTACCGACAGTAGCAGAAACCCTTCGCGTGCTAGAGAAGAGGCAAAGGGCGGGTTAGTAAAATGCTCGCGATGACGACTCGAAGCCAGAATAGATCGTGTGTGCTAGCGAGTTCCTCTTCCAGGCTTTCCCTTCCCTCCAGGCACTTGGCGAGAATGCAGGCCCAGGTTGGGAGCCTGTAGGGACATCGTCGAGTGCGGACGCGAGACAGCCCATATTCCCAATCTAAGCCGGATGTCGAACACTACAGATGCCTTGATTGGCTGCCACCGCACCTGGATGCATTTTAGTTCCTCTCCCACGTAGCAAGAGGGGTGGGCGTGTTCCCTCGTCGACTTCGCGATACCATCCTCTTCAAGGTGCCTCTTAGTAATTCTCGCTGGAAATAGAGACGTGCTCTTGGCAACCCCTCCCTCGCTCTCGTCCACCATCCGGGACGAGCCAAGCTGAAGAGATGGGCGAGGGCCATACGAACTAAGCAGACCGAGCGAGGAAATAGGAAACAGGCGTTGGTCGAGATGGTCGCCTAGCGTCACCTGACCAACACGATGCCGGCTGAATGCCGCATAGGCTCTATAGGAGAATGTCTGCGTCTCATTCGCGTGTATTTACAGCAGCGGGACTAGATTGCCCGCCAACCGAACAGAATCTCGTTCTCAGAGGCGCAGTGTTCGCGGCGTAGTTGATGAATCAAATCCTGCATCCGGCTCTCCCGTGGTGCTTTTCCCCACGAAGTTCGATTCGTCCCTCCCGACCTGCTGGCACCGTAAGGGGGGGGGGGAGGCGCCGGGCCAAACCTGAGTTGCGACAGATGGCACCCACACGCAGCGCGCCTTGATAGAATCTCTACCATGTCTCCATATCCTTACTAAATTTGAATACGTGCGGCCCATACAGGCAGACTTGTTATGCCCTCGTGCTGGTCCCGGCAACCCGTCGAGTTGCGAGTAAGGAGAAAGCATGTAGGTACATTTACACCCACGCCCAGAACGTACCTACGTGCCCCCGGCTTGATCGAAAATGGCAATCCGCCAAGTTCACTACAGGGCCTTATTTCCCAATCTCGAAGCCATGACATGGCTAGACAAGCTCGATACAGCGTCGTATTCTCGCTCCCCCCACGGAACCTGTGTCGGCCATGGCATCGTTTGACCTCGCCTGGTCCTGCAGTCATCCCAAAGCGGCCGGACTCGTGCAGGCTGGCCTGCTACTGACGACGGAGTAGCGGGATCGGGAGGAGTTGTCTACCGATCACAATTCCTTCGCCTCTCGTGACCTAGGAATCGCACCCTCCCCTCGTCCTGCATTCGTTAGTCGCACTCAGGACTTTTCCCCAGGCTCAATTTACGATGCCAGAAACCGCACTCTGGTTGAAATGCGCTGAGCCGTCTTGGCCTTGCCGCCGCAATCACTTGTGTGGCGAACGCATATTGCGAAATAGATGGCCAAGACACGGTCAGGGTCAGCCTGCGCCCCCCGGTCTCTGTGCGTGTGCGTGTGTGTGTCAGGTATTGTTCGCGAGAGGGCGTCGACGTAGTGACGTCGATGATTCTCGCCCTGGGCGAAGTGGTCAGCCTTCTGAGGCTCTTGGCTGAGCAACACAAGCCCTCTGACCCGCGCGTACATATACCAATTCGATGCATCCATGCATCCGTACACACGTACAGATGTGTACATACCTACGTAGGCGTCTCTGCACATATAAATAAGGTCACCTAAACGAATAGTGTCTCATGGCCACGACCCGAATTGCGTCTACCTAATCCCCTTTCCTGACTACCGAAATTCAGTACCACGAAATACGAAGTACCCGCGTAGACGCTTTGCTGCAGCGACCGGATCCCGGCCAGTCGCCCCTGTGTACTCGGAGCCATCCCGGGTCCGAGTGTTCTCAATCTCTGCACATAGGTATTATAAGGGGAGATTCTTAGGAACGTTCACGAGGAACGGGCCCCCTTTTTTTAAAGGAAAAAAAAAACCGATGCGGGATTTACCGTCAACTAGTTGACATGACAACAAACGGCGACCCGTAGGGTTACGTCGAAAGGGGAGGAGAGGGCGATAATAGAGCCGACGGTGAAGATCGCTCGGTAGGCAGGACTTGCCTGTTCACGCCACCGATCCATGAAACCGGCGTCGTAATTGGAAACAAGAGAAAACGGGGGGGCGAGTCGTTGCCGTCTCTGAATGGGCGCCCTGGGGACACGCGGACATGAATATGTATATGTATGTGTGGGAAGCCTCATAAACCGCCCAACATCCGATGGATGATAGCCGTCCAGCCCCATGTTCTATCACTAAAAGTTCCTAGTCTGCTGTTACTGTCAGCTTCACGACACTATCGCAGAAAGTGGCGGTGAACGGGTCGTTTGGGAGCGTTTTCTTTCCAACAAACTATGCACATACAACGCGTCCCGTTCAGTGTGTTGTTCTCCGTGGTATGTCTCTCTACGTAATGTGTGTAAGTGTGTATGTATACGCCGATGGGCAAGTGTGCCAACGACGACTTCAGAATAACACAGAATACATACATATACATTCCTCCGCTTATCCAGCCGTCCTTTGCTCGCAAGGGGTTCCCTTCACAGTGCAGAATCCTGACTACATGACGCAAGAACCGAGTGGTCGCTGGTCAGCGGAGGGAATCCAAGCCAACATCATTGGTGAAGGGGGCTTCCCGTCTCCAGGTTTTCCCCACGCCCAACCGGCCCCTTGCCTGCTCGCCGTCTGCTCGCCGTCTGCTCGCCGTCGTGTGCCATCTTACTGCTTCAGGACTCGAGCAAACACGGTCTCTCCCCGGCCATCGCCATCGCAGAGCTTGTTTCGGTCAAGAAACGTCCGCATACAGCCACTTGCTGTCTAGGGTCCGGGTTTAGATCCCTCCTCGGCCCCCTCTCCCTCCATCACCCACCCCCCCTTTCCGTTCACCATTCACGCATGGCTTGCTTGTATGTAGGAGGTATGTATGCGATGTATGTATGTATGTGTACATACATACCTATACATATACATACCTCCTCTTCCCGCAGACGCCCACGGCCCAGACACGAATATCCCCCAAGTTAGCGAAGCCAAGACGGGTGTTAGTGCACCTCAATTACCGTATCGGTGCTCCATCCCGTCTTGTCCGCGGTATTCTGGAGAAAACAAGCTCTGGAGCGAGATGCACTGCTACGTGTGTACGGCGCCTTGGCTAGAATGACGAGTGGTCTACGTGAAACATACGTCGCCATTTCTGGGCCCGCCGCGTTTCTGTGCCTGTATGTCTCTGTCTCTGTCTCCAACATGTGTGTTGTTTAAAATGCCTCATACCGACACACCGAGATCACACTACGCATTGTATTCTACACAGTATGCACCTATCGTATTGTACGGACGAATACCTAGGTAGATATTTATGTGTGTACATAAGTATGTATCGCATACCTACCTTCTACCTGGACCCGGCTCCGCCGTGTGACAGATAGAGAACGAACGTGTCGCTAACGAACGCCAGGGCCCTAAGGGAACGAACCGTCTGGGGAGACGGAGCCAGCCCTCTGGGAAGGGTATCAAATGTCTCACGCCATTACCGACATGACGCCTCTCTTCCGCCTCACCCCAAGAAATAAGAAGAACGCCCAACCAACTCGCGGCATGGCAACAACGGTGACGGGGCTTGCTGATGAGGAGCTTGCCGTGCCGTCCTTGTTTGGTTGCGCGGCGTCGTCGTATAAGTTCCACTGCCGTCCCCCCTGCCAAGTCGATGGTGCGCAGATCAAATCTCTTGGTATTGGGACAACTGACGCTACGGGGTTCGGATCATCAGCGCTTGGCATCGAGAGAGAGACCTTCGGGAGCGAAGACATCGGGCGGATCGGGTCCTTGGCGTCTGCGGATGAGAAACACGGCCTCTTGCCGCCAACGATGCCTTCCTCGCTCCTCCTCGCCCCCCCTTCCCATCGATCCTCGCCCGTATACGGCCACCGATGGCGCTGGTGGATGGAGGCTTGCGCTGCCCAGAAGAGCAAGGTGTGGTGCTGGATCGATCCGGATGCCTGCCGGAATGCAGCTATATTTATCTGCTTGGCTCCCCTACCTTCCATTACGCGCGCCTCGCAGGCAGGCAGGAGGATCGCGGGGATTTGCTGCGACGAGTATGCACATCAGCTCGAAGGATTCGCTGGGCGTGGGTGCGATGCTCGTGTCTCCTGACGAGGCGGCCTGCCACAACGGGTCCCACCCCAGATACCAAACTGCCGTTCGTCGAGACAGATCTTTCCCACGCCAAGCCTGCGTGCAACACACTCCAAGGCCGAAAGGATACAGACATGTTGCATATTTCGCCGGGTTCTCCTAGTATGCATTCCCAGCGTCCCGCTGGCTCGGCCACAGAGATACTGTGCAAAAAATGCGAAGAATGCACATACGCCAAGCCTCCAAACCTGGCTGCTCCTATGACCAGGTGACGTGTTCTCTGTGTCCACTTCTCTCTCAGATGGGGAGTGAGTGTATTCGGCGTCGCCAGCTCGCAGTTCCCTTGCCATCGCTCACCCATGCCCGGCTACGTGGTAACTCGCGGATACTGATGTCAAATCTAAGATGGCTCTGCTGTAGGGGGGGCCCGATGCGTGCAAGGTCCCTCACCTCAGCCTCTCCCGGTCCGGCCGCTCCCATGCGCCACGTACCCTCCATCTCATGTCCTGTGGTTGCCAGCTCGGTACATAAACCCCTCAGGGATCACGCCCGACGTCGCCGCCATCGGACCCTAGGGCCGTCCTACCTCCATTGGACGCCACTGGCGACAACGGAGAGACGGAATGGCCACGGCGGGCTCACAGTCTCCGGCACCCCGACGGAGTTCTCCGGCGATCCGGGTACATTCATGCGTGCTGTAAAGCAGCCACAGAGGCACCAGAAATGACATACCCTACGCGTCTCGGACCTGTTCTGGGCCTGCTATTCCGAGGCAGGTGAGCTCGCTGCGCCTGCGCCACCTATCCGCCCTAGTCCGCGTAATGGGTCTGAGCCCAGCTGTATGGCACAGGCACGACATCGAATTTGTCACGAAGGGCCCCCTTACCACTCGCCATGGAGCAGTCAGTCACCGGAGCCCTACGACGCGTCAACACAGGTAGATCGATTCGCCCCCTCGTGAGTCTCTGCGGCCGTGAGTGGCCCGCGCGCGGCGCTGATGCGCGGAAGGCCAGCGGCCGAAACAGAGCGGCCCGTTAGAGAAGCGGTGGGCGAGCCAGCGGCGAATCGAAGGCTGCGTTGTTGGTGGAGCTGCGTCGCCGAGAGCTTTGCGCCATCCCTCGCGCAACTCGACTGGCCAGTCTGGAAGAGAATGCGAGCGCCCAAGCATCCACAGCGTTATGTGCGATAATCGCATACCTGCTTCCACGAGACGTTCCCGAGCGACGGGCCCAACCCTAGTCCCCTTCCCCTCTCCTTCTATTGGAGACATAGGATGGTAGAGAAGGGCTTTCCCGTAGAGAAAAGCATTTCCAAGGCCGCGTTTATTTTGATTGGGGTCAAACAAGTGCCTTCTGAGCTGTGGTAGGGAATGAAATTATCCGTCCCGTAGGCCGCAGTGATACTATCGCTCGACTGCGCCTCCCGGCCACGACGCTTCGGGTCGGAGGATGACACATCAACTATGATGTTGATAACTCCCATGTAACCGTTCTGTAGCGTGCCAATATGCTCGCCTAGGAAAACTCGGAGATGGGTTCCACGTGGTCGGGTATCACGAGGTTCGAGGTCGCAGGGCCAGACCTCTTTCCGAGGGTAGCATTGACGGGTAGCCTATGCTGTCCTCCTATCCAGTAGAATAGGGGTTGAGAGACCTTACTCCATATGAGTATAGGTTTGCGACAACTCTTACTACGCCGAGATTCGGTGTAGCATCGCCCTCGTCCTCTCCTCTCCTCGCCGAGACAAACACATCCCGCCCTAGGCTCACAAGTCCTCCCTCATACTCCCTCTGCCCCCTTACGGTTAAATATAAACACGCGCCTGTCCAAATGCTCGGTTTCTGATGGAATACGGTGAGGTTATGTAAGCTCCGGCGAGGATGAGGGTGATATTTCCACCGCGGCGAGCAAGGGCCGCACGATTCGCCGATAAATACGACCCTAGTAGAGAGCCGCTATATATACATGACTAATGTCCCGCGTATTTCAAAGCCTTCCCGTCAGTTATACGTTCGGGTGAGCGGCTGGCGCTGGAGCCTGAAAAGGGAGCACTGAGCCCGTCGCGTCCCGTCGCGTCGCAACTTCTGGTCGGGCCGCTGACGAATATATCATGCCAGCAGGGCCCGGCCGAAGAAACAATCTCCCTGCGAGACACGGGACCCGTCGGCCGGACGCGCCAGCGAGCCACGGTCGCGGGCCTGGCAACGTTTCTCGTGTAAGCTAGGCGGTGTTTGCAAGGAAACATGTGACGTGTAATTCGACAGGCCGACTGGCCGTCGTCGTCATTACCTCGCGGAAAAGTACGGCCTCGCTCTCCTGCGCAGGAGTCCTGATTTAGACCATCCGTGATGCAACTTGCCCCCGGTTGGTCGGTTGGTAGCAAGCCGAGCCCACGACACACAAGCACGGAACCAAAAATAGCCTCCAGATCCCTTGCTTACATCTCTAAGCTGGCTCCCTGCCGGGCCTGTAGAATACACGCAACAGCCCCTTGGGCAGTCAGATACTACTCTCCCCTTTCCGCCTCACGTAGCCCCCAGCCCTTATTCGCGCGCGCACTGCACTTCCGCTGCATCGCCGCGCGTAAGACTACGGTCATACGACAGCCCCGCGGCGGCAGCAGGCGTGGCAATAGTAGCGCCGCGCCCCGAGCCACACCGTCGCGAGGACGCGCGGCTCTCACGGGGTGGTGGGCGCGCGCGCGCGTACGGGCCGGAGCCAGTCGGGTGGGCGGGGAGGGGCCGCGTGGTCTGGGGACAGGCCGTAGGCAACCCCCCTTCCTCCCCTCGCTACCTGCGCGCTGCGCTCCCGCTGCTTGTGTCTCTCGAGTGCTGCTCCGCCCCGCCCCGTCCTGTCGCACCCCGGGACCCGAGCGGGCGGCCGGCAGGCACGTAGCGGTGTCAAGCCCACTCCCCTTGGCTCCCCTGGGCTTTTTCCTCGTCTGGCAGGAGAGCAAGGGCCGGGATGGCGTGTGCGTGTACGCGCTGGTGCCGTAGCGATGGATGGGATAAACGCCCCTGCTCGCTCGTCGCGCCCGTTGATCGCCGATCCCCCGTCTCATCCCCCTTATCTCACCTCAGCTCGCCGGCGGAGCGGGAGGGAGGGAGAGGCTTGGATCGCCCCAATGTGGTGTCGTCTCGTCGTAGATCGTTACCGCCCTCGTGCTGTCCGTGGTCTCCATCAGCCGGCCTGTCTAGGTTGTGATTTCCCCGAGTCAGCTCGCCCTAGGGCTCCCTTGACGAAATGGTCGGTCGGGGTGCGTGAGAAAGACGTTGAATAGGTAGATAGATAAGTAGGCATGTAGATAGGACGGGTGGATGGCAACATTGATAGAGTGAGGTAGGATATCCCTAAGGAAATGAAACAAGAAGTTTAACTTTCTTTGTTGGCAAGCCTTTGTTCTTCTTCCCTTCTTCTCTCCCCTCTCTCCTCGAATCGCCCCCGACACTGTCTCGCTTCTCCTCTTATCATGCTTACCTACCATAGCTTCTAGAATCCTCGCGTGTACTGTTCCTGCTGGCAGCGGTGCTGCCGTTGCTTGGGTTAACAGAATGCCGCCTCGTCCCTTGCTCACGCGACACCCCTGGATCCGAGCCCATCGTGGGTGCAGTTGTCCGACTGGCTCCCCTGCCGCCAAGACCGCGGCTGAGCCGCGAAGACGACGGCGACGGTGCGGTGAAGAGTATGGGGCAGTCTCGACACCGGGGTACGGTGCGGTGCGGGCAGTCCGGCTCGTACGGGTTAGAGCAGAGGCTGCCGCTGCTGCGGTACCGACAGTGGCAGCACACGAAGCCGATGGGTTGGTGGTGGTTCTCCGCGGGCATCATCGGCCTCGTCCCGCCTCCGTCTAATGATAGGTACCGGTGTAGGTGCTTGTTCTGGCTGCTAGAACACTCGAAGCTGTGACGGGTACAGTTAGTTATTTGATAGGATTGTGTCCGCGAGATCGTGTAGGTATCGAGCCAAGTCGTATGTGCCGGCGTGGAGGTTTCGAATGGGGGGGAGTCGTTAAAGGGGTCGAAGTTGCCTCACCAGAATAATAATATACGGAGGTCGGAGTCACTTAGTTGGATTTCTGTCTCGCTTCTCTTCTACGGCTAGCAGACTGGCTGCTTTCCCAGTTTTACTTGATACGCAGACAAATGCCACACAAACTTCCCAGGCAAGGTGAGTTGGCTGTGTGAGTTTTATGATGTACAAACATGCCCCAGAAGACGATATCGTATGTGTCGAAGATTTCTCCAGCCAGCAAGTGATTGTACACGACCCGATATGCGTTATATATGTTTTGATCTGATGCGACCACCTACGACGGACAGCTTCCTCCCATCCCAAAGACCCTTTCTTTCGTGGAAGGAAATGTCTTGCTCGCTCCCAGGTCGACAGCTTCGTTTTGGTAGACACGGTGTAGTATCTCTAGACACATGTCTTGGATATAGAATGTCAGCTCATCAGCTCCGTTAGTAAAGGAAATTCTCGAAAGAGCGGTATATGAGCCCGATACAGACTTATAAGTGCTCGTGGCTGTGTCTCTCTGCATCGAATAGCTTCATGAAGCCGGGCATCTTCTCGATCTTAAGATATACCCAAGAGGACGACATACGCATAGCTGGTGAGCATCCCAGCGAATTGTGGCGTGTTTGATTTGGTTGATTTAAAGAGACATGTTTCTTTCGAGAATAGTTTGCCAGTCCATACTCATTCCACGTTTCTCGCCATCAAATCTCCGTGCACAGCGATGGCTTTCCGAGAGATATCGCATGGAGATATTGAATCTCATCGCGTTAGTGTCGGATAGCGGAAGTATAGACCCGAAGTTTCTTCAGGAACTTGCCTCTTTTCTCGACTCCTCTGGTTCTGCTCCGGGCACATATGCATCTAGGGGTCATCTCGTCGTCGAGCGCTCTTCATCTCTTTGTGTCGGCCTGTGCTCACCATACCCCCCCTTCTGCCTGCTTTCTCGCGCCCTTCCTCTCCGACTTTTCGATCGTACTTCGCCAAAAGAGCATCCGCAGTATTTGGAAAACAGTCTCCTCGCGCCAGGGGCAGCACTATGGCCCAGAACATGGTCGTGGCACATGAAATGCTAGAGGCGTGTAATTGCCCACGTCCCTACGACTCTACGAGGGACTAACCCTAACCTAATTGAAGGAATACTCCTGCTTTACTTTACCATTCTACTTTACCTTGCTTTTGCTTTACTTTACGATTTCTCACAACAAGGGAAATATATAAAACTAGGTTGGCGCGCCTAGTCTGTCATCCGTTTCTTCGACGTCGAACGAGGGAGAAGACAACAGCGAACAAGTCCCTGGGCGGCGTCTGGGTTCCAAGATTGGTTAGGGAGGGCAAAATCGCACTGCTACCACATACATTCAGGGGGAGAGAAGCCTTCTGAGCATCTGACGCCGTGATGCCCTTGAGTGTTAAGCAGGGTTTTTCAACCACCCCACAAGACGGTCCGATGATAGAATCTGGGTCCGACCAAAGGCCTCTTGGCATCACCCCTGCTATCATTCTAGTAGTTGAATGATTGAATCTCCTGATCAAATCTTGCTCTAGTATCGCCTCCGCGAAACGAGTGCGTATTCTTGCACAGAGTGGGCAATGGATCTTACCACGTTGTAGGCTGTATTGACGGCTGCATACTTTGTATCTGGGACATCGCAAGCAAGTAGACCCAGGACGATACATTACTCCGTAGTAGAATAAGGGGTGATGCTGCCGGTGCGCATAATCCCGATACCCGATGGATGGATGATTCCGAGAAATTACCATGGCCTGTCCCCGGACCCGTTTCTGTGTAAGTACCTAGGTATGTCTTCTGGAGGTATGTAAGCAGAATACCGCTCCGAATGTGTAACACGTGCCACGCGGCGATGAGGCGTGGGTTTCTCCGGGGTATCTTGGATAACTGGCACGCTTCGTAACCCCTTTTGACACCTAGAACGGCAATATTGAAAATAATATGGCCGAGACGGTTCAGCTAATTTGGTAGCTAGGTGCCCCTTGGCCTGGCGGGTACTGCGGGTCAGAGCTACCATATACGTTATGTAGGTATGTACATACACAGTTGCGGTGAGGGCCGCAAGAACTGAGCCATCGAAATCACCCGTGTTATGAGAGTAAAGTGTGTACGGGCTTTCGTCGGTGGCTACAATTTTTGTGAGGTACATACATACACGTACCGTATACATACCTACATGAATAACCAGGAGTGGACCAACGCTCACTATCCCGCAAAACATGGCGTGGTGCTCGCGGTCAAGCCTGGGACTGACATCAGGTGCCTGTATGGACCCTCGACTCTCATTTCACGTGAGATTGGATTCTAATACTTAGCGTAAACGAGACGTGAAAGCACTGTGTTGGTATCGTTTAGGACGATGGGTCCGCTAAGTCGCCGGCGTTATGGATACCTAGGCAAGAGCTGCTCGTCAACAATCTGTGTCTTGTCCATTTGTTGCCAATGCCGGCAAGTTCCAGGGCGATTGTCATTAACCTAACCCTCGCTCCACAGCCGTGGACCCTGATAACTCGGCAATCTTGCTGCGTGCGTCCCTAGCCGGAGTGATTTACGTGGCACATCCAGCAGCCCGAGCCTCTCGTTGACCCGAGGTACTGTAGTTCCGGCAGGCGGTGTGTGCTTTGGGTACCTCGGTGCCAACACTACAGCGTCAATGGTTCCCGTCCCCGGGACGCGTAGTATGTGTCTCTGTAGCAACAAAGCCGTCCGTCTGGTTTGGACTGATGTCGTCCTTACGGAGCATAGTGATGCATACGCGTTGGGAAAGTCGTAGCTGCTGGCTGTCTGGATGGCTGTGGTTGACTTGTGATGCCACAACAAGTTATGCGTAGCTTAGTGCTAGATTACCCTGCGAAGGGTCCGGATTTCGGGTTAAGCCTCGGTTGACGTACTTGTCCAGTAGTATCGGTGAGAGGTGGGACGATGGTGGACGACTGTGGTGCTGCTTAACTATTCGCCGGGTCACTAAAGGTGCGGCTTCTCGTCATTTCACCGCGAGAATCGGTAAATAAGCATCCCTTGTGACCTTGGAACGGATTCCATCGAGGCCGGGCTTCTAGCTTATCCTGGACCAGGCGTTCTTAGCCAGGGTCCAGCTCTTGCCAGCCTTATCCATAGCTTCGTAGCCCCAGGAGCTGGGCAGAACATGAATACTGTACACATGCATTGCGGAGAAGATGGAGACGGCCACATTTAATCAACAATCCCCACGAAGCGACACTCACGTGGTCAGTTGGTGAGCGGGGCCATGTCGAGAATCACATATCACATTTATCAGGCGGGAAAGGTGGTCATGAGAAAAACCCACGGTTCAATCATGCAGGTGAAATGAAATGGCTCGTGGGAGAGTGCCCCGAGTTTCGATGGCCCGGCGGATACGGCTTGGAAGTTGGAGTCCATTCGTGGGGAGAGGGGGAGGGGTTGCCTGTCCAAAGTGGGCAGAGAACGTAGGATTGGGCATTCTCGTCAGGATTGTCGAAGGGGACCATCTTGAGTCACTCCTAGGACCCATAGGAGACGACGGTTCAAGAAAAGAATATCGCAACTAATCTGGGTAGGAATCGAATTCGGCCTAGAGAGAGACTAGAGAGAAAAAAGCCCCTCAGATTGAATCCCTATGATTAGTCAGACAAGAGGGATCCCTCGGGAGCACACTACAGCGTTGCCGGGAGTGAGGCCCGGCTAGAACGCGACCTAGGAGTGACGAACCGCAAGAGGAAATGCGCGTGGGTGGAGCTCGAGAGGGGAAGAAAGCCAGAGGCATGTCAACGCTTCTGCGCGTAAGAAATCGGTGATGAGGCCGTTCTGATTGGCGGAGAGGAACGGTTTCGTATGCTGGGGTTCATGTTCGAAGCTCTTTGGCGGCCCGCCCCCCCTTTAGTTAGGCTGCTTTCTTCGCGTCGTCACATTATGAGTAGGGGGTAGCAGTCCGTGGACAGGTACTCGAGAGTCGTTGGTCGACAACGGTATAGAGTCGAAGGCCGTGGGCGGAGGTCGGTTGGGCAATGTGACCCCAACAAATATATAGATCCGATACCCCGTAGACGTGTCTAACGGCTACTACTATATCGTCGTAGTCAGGTCTCTTGCCGCCTCTCTGGGCGCGGCGAGATGCCACTAAGACGGAACGGGACGTTGAAGGGCCACCTAAGCACGATGGCTTACAGAGGGGAGTGTGCCTCGATGCCACCCAACCCTTCGCGAACTCGAGGGAAGGGAAAACGATAATTCCCGCAACGATAATGTCGGGTTGGTTAACATGCATGGAGCATGCAGATTATCTCCTCGTGCTACTCGACAGGTCGGACGTAATAAGGGGAAATAGGGGGCAGCGGAGGCAAATATGGAGCTGGAGGACGTCAGATTGCAAGAGGGTCGGGAGAGGTCGACGAGCTGGCGAGGGGAGGGGAGGATGAGGAAGATGATGGGGCTGATGGAGAGGAGAGGAGAGGAGGGAGGGGGTGTGGGCAAACTCGAGTCGGCCGAGGTACTTCCTGGTAGTATCTCCCCGAGCTAGAGATGGGTGGAGATGGTCTTCAACAGGGACGTGGTTGGCGGAGTGGACAGCGCAGCCCCTCTGACACATGCCTCATACGTATATGCATACCTCATACGTAGGTACCTACCTAGGTATATGAGTACCTACCTATGTGTAAAGGTACCTTAGGTACCTAGCCCACAGGTAGGCAGCCTGCCTTAGGGATACACGAATACTACGTACCTATGCATACGTAGGTACCTAGGCCCATATCCAACCGTCCGTACATTAGGTACCTGCCTGCCTGTCGTAGCCCCGTGTTCGAGGGCGTGGTAGGTACGTACGTAAGCAGCCTCAAGCAATTACTTTACTCATACCATATAGTAAGTAGGTGAGAGGCGCGTCTGCCAGCCCGACCAGGTAAGAGATCGGGTCTCTGCCCGATCCCTCCAGGTTCCTTCCCCATGGTTCCAATACCAGCCAGGTACGACGGTAGGTACCTGCGTAATCTGTAGGCTACGTAGATACCGGTACCTGCCATGCCGTAGAAATCTCGCATGCCCCCGAAGTACCCTTTCCTGTGCGCAGACATGGCAGATATGTCCCCGGGGCAGGCCGGCCAGGTAGGGCAGAGGTACCCAGGACCGTAATTACGCCCAATCCCGGTCCGGTCAGGTGGCTGGCTGGGCGATGGAAAGGGAAATGGAAGCAACAAGACCACGGCAGGTCCTCCGCACAACCCTGGGAGGTCCCGCATTAAATAAATTGCTTGATTCGTTCTGCGAAATCCCATCCGTCATCCGTCTCCATCTCCCATCCCTAAGCGCACCCTACATGGACATCCAAATCCACATCCCCATCCCCTTCTGCCACAGCTCCATCCGCGATACACGGTAATATACATACACCCGATAATACGTACACGCACTTACTTTTGCCTGCCTCCTAGCCTCACCTTACATAGAGGTATGTAGGTGCCTGTCATTACACAGATATCATCCATACGTACGCGCATATACGCGCATACGTGCATACGTGCATACGCGCGTACGTGCATATCTACATACTTACCTTACTATACATTACAGCCCATCGTACATGCCTCCATTCCATCCATCCATCCGTACATATCAGGAGGCCTTCTATTTCGTGCCCAATCCACTCCCGCTTTCTTCTCGACTGCACCCTCACCTTTCACACCCTCTCTCTCTCTCTCTCTCTCTCACCATCCCTCACTCTGTGTGTGTCTCGCAGACCTGCTTCGTTCTATCGCCTGGGTCGTTGGGTAGTCAGTCCGTTCGCTCCGTCAAGTCAGTCTTACACAAACGCACTGTAACAATTACTATCAGAATCAAACAAACTCGTCCGGCAAACGATACATCCCGGCCCGCCGCCCCTCCCGAGTTCCCCACAGAGTCATCTCGTGAAGCTTGCTGTGCATGCAGATCTGAAGCGCCTCGGTATCCGCCAACTACGTACCAACCCCAACCCTCCGTCCCGTCCATCCCTATCGTCTGTCTATCTATTTATTATTCGCTCCCAGTACAGCAAACTGCGCAACGTCCAACCCCCCACCGTAGCCGCTCTCGAGTTGCGAATTCAGCGTTAAGACGAACTCCGGACTTCGAATCGAAGTAAACCCCCGCCCCGCACCCCCTTCAGCTCTACAGTACCAGTGCTTCTCCCTCGAGTTGAGCCATCTGGGCTTGAACTCGCGCTGCACGACCGGGTGATCGCAGTTGCCTGTTACCGGCCCCCCTTGGTTAGACTTCGACTTGTTGCGGTACACATAGTTGGTATTCGGTAGTCTTCTCTCCCGTTACTCGTTGCCCGAATGAAGACGTATCTGCGAATTCAGGCTAGCAAGCACCTCCGTCCCTCAAGGGTTCTGGTAGACGGCGCCGCAGCTAAAGAAACTGCGAGCTTCGGTCGTATCTGAGGAAGAACCCCCGATTACCTCCGGGTCCTGGGTTCGCCATCGCTCGGGATCGGTCTCGAACCTAATTCTATTCGTCTACCCCCCTCTTGTCCGTATTTTGTCACAGTTCTTACTTCAACCATGCTCGCGATGACGAGGCTTCAGTCCGATTCCTTCCTCCCGTCGGGCGCCATTCCCGATATAAACGGGGGCGACCGTGTCATGCCCTCTCTCGCATCTCACCTCAACCGCCATCCGGCATCGATAATATCACCGCTGGCATTACCTCATGCGGTTAATAATTTTTCATACTTTCACGAGTCCAGTCGCGGCATCTTGTCTCGGGACCATAGCCATTCGCCATCCGTCCCTGGGATTTCCGGGGCCACCTACCAGATCAATTATATTCCTGACAAGATTCCGTCCGTCGCCTCCGACGAGCGGTCGACGAGCTCGCTCCCGACGAAGCCCCACGCCGGGTTACGTGTGGCATCACCTTCCGTAGTGCCCTCCAGCAATCACGGCGTGAGATCACCGCTCGGCATGATGTCCACTACTGTGTCGGCGGAAGACCTCCTGCGACGTAAAGAGTCGCAGAACCGACGGCTGCTCGAAAGTTGGCTTGCTGAGCGTGCCCACCTAGAGGCTAACCGAGCTCGAGCTGACGAGGTTTACCAAGAGGAGCGAGCCATAATGGACGACGAGCGGATGCTCTGGATTGAAGAGAAGGCCAGGCTCGAGAAGGACCTGTCCGAATGGAAGAGTAGGGCGGAGGCAGCTGAAAAATCGAGAGATGAGCTGGCAAATTTTCTCAAGAGCTTGCAGGTCAGACATAACGAGGGGGGCGGCCCCCTCGGTACCGCTGGGGTTATGGGGGGTATTAGAGGTGGCGGTTCCGCCAGCCCGGAAAAATCGGCCCAGCCCCAGTCGACAGTCGGGTCTGGGGGTTCGTCAGATCGCGTGCCGCAAACTGTCGTTCCGGCCAGCTCGCTGCTCGGGTCGACGATGCCGGAGTCGAAGCCCTTCATACCCCTCGACCCGCGTATGCAAGGCCCGTCACCACAAGTGGGATCTCCAAAACCGCAGACAGAACAAGCCCCGTCGATTGACATACATGAGGTTATACCGGAGCTGGAGGGGATTCGTGTAAGGCCAGGCGCCGTGCAAAGGCCGACATTCACCGACGAGAAGCCGTCGTCCCCTTCCGCGCCACCAGCTGGACTGAGGAAACCCTCTCCGCCCGCGCGGGACCAGCCTCGACCACGTCCCATCCCAGCTGAATTGACCAAGGAAGCTCTGAGAGCGGCCGAATCCGACAGGTTGACGATGCATGCTGGACACACGCCAAACCACTCCATGTCGCTATCGCGGCTCCACACCGTTCAATCCACCGATGCAACGAACACGACAAATAGTCCTGGCGCGCGGACGCCAAAGGGCCAACCCCCGGAAAGTAGCCAAGGGGATCTGCGAGAGCAGCCCTCGCAGGGGAAGGCGGTAGAAGTAAACAACCTTCTTGGAATTTTTGCAGACTCCGAGGCTCGGGACGAGCCGCTGACAGTAGGAAATATTGACGCAACCGCCGATGTCAACGCCGACGGTGAATCAGACGATCACGACCACGACCCCGAGCTGAAAGGGCCGTTACACCTTCGAAATCTTCCAGCGGTCGATGAGCCCTTCCTCAAGTCTTTAAACAGCAGGCTAGAGAAGGTGTTGTTTAACGACATCGCTCCATCGGTGCTCAAGAATGCGGCCGCTTCCACCTCATCCGAGAACCGGCGTTCTATCGAGCCTGCTAGCAAGGATCTCATCGACAATCTGGACGACGAAGAGGAGGATATCCCCCTCAAGTTGAAGAAATCCAGCAACTTTGGCCAACCTCTCGGCCAGCTTCGGTAGATCGCCTAGATTGTGACTGTGCTCCAAATGTCCTCGGTGCAATTGGCGTCGTCGATGCTTGGGATGCGGTCCTCCCTCTCATACACAGGCCACGTTCATTCGTTATGCGCTGGACTATCGTTTCTTTTTGTTTGCCCCGTCCTTTTAAGATCCACCGATACGGACGGGGAAAGTTGCCTTCCGTGTTTGAAGCATGCTGCTATGGCGGACTGCATCAACGTTGAATACCCCTTTATACCCCATCAATGCATTTCCCCGGTATCTACATAGGAAATCATGGACGACTTAGCATATGGTGTTTGGATTCCGGATCATGGTTAAAAGTTAGCATCGGATGGGCGCATGCTGGACGGGATGAGTCCTGGTGTCCTTTTTTTTTTCTGTGCGTTGCTCTTTTTTCTCTCTCGGGGTGAGGAGAGCCGTCTCTGGAACGAAAAGATTTTGCGGGCAATGTTTTTGTTCGTTTCTCCATTTTCACGTCGGGAGCACCGGAACATAATATGGCTGGCGGTTGGGTGGCATTAGCATGGGGCAAGAGGTAAAAAATAAGAAAACACGACGGAGACGACGTTATACCACCATGACTATATATATGTACACAGATATAAATCTTAGTTCTACACCGGTAGGTGTCTGGTGTCTGGGGAGTGGGACGCGGGGATGGCGAGGTGAGGGTTGTTGGAGCGGGTCATGGCATTTATTGGCGAGGAGGAGGATGTAGGGCTACTTATCCGAAGAACACTGGGTGAGCAGTCCCACCGCGACGAGCCAATACTCTATACAGACCCAGCGCCTCTATCAATAGCAACCCCGGTTTTAACCAGGTGGATGTGCCCCGTTGGGTTGTCTTTTTTCGAAGTGTCGACTGATTCAGTATTGTGTCGGGGTTACGACGGCCTGGTGGTGGCGAGCTGGTCCACTTCCTTATAGCCGGTGCGCCGGGAACATCGGGTGCGAATAGGCTTGCTGGCTTGACTTGGTGCCGTGTGTGATTATAAATATGTAGTAAGACTGGGAGGATGCTCTAGCCTATAATGGTATCCATTGTTGCCACCCTCTTCTGCCTTATCTTTCAAACCAAGTTGGATCCGATCCGTCGACAGCCAGAAAGACACCCGCCGTCCATATGTCCTGCTCGGTAATTCTACTTATAATATCAATCCGCATTCGCTCACTTCTTTCTCTAAAGCCCCAGATAACTTGGGATAGGTTCATTCATAGCATAGCATAACCTCAACTCCGAACATGTCCCCCCTTTTCAAAACCCGGGACCGAACATTTTGGTGTGTTTTTTTTTGCCTCGTGCGTCGGTTTGCGCACCGTAACCCCCCTTCCCCCTTTTCCTTTCTGGCGCCGGCACTTTATCATACGATAAACCTATAGTACATGTGCGCTCCGGCTTGGCCTGGCCTGGCCTGGCCCGGCCCCCCCGGGGGGGGCCTCAGCTTAGCTTCTTGCCCATGAAGTCGGCCAGCTCGTCGAGGAGGTCGACGGTCTCGGCGGGGCTGGCGATCCAGGCGGTGGTGGAGACGCTGCGGGCCTTGAAGTCGTTGCTGCCGGCGCTGAGGAACTGGTCGCCGACGTGGAGGGTGTGCTCGGGGCGGATGCGGCCGCCGTCGGCGCCGCCGGCGCCGGCGCCGAACCACTGCTGGCAGACGGCGACGCCCCAGCTCTTGTCGCCGATGTCGACGAAGACGTCGCGGCCGCCGTTGAAGGCGCAGAAGGGGACGGCGGGGGCGGCGCGGCCGGACCCGGGGCCGGCGCTGCCGACGCTCATCTCGAGGATCTTCTGGACGACCAGGACGGTCTCCTCGAGCGACTCGCGCGGGATGCGGACCGCCGGGTCGCTCGGCACGATGCCGACGGCGCGGTCCTTGCGCGTCAGCACCGCAGGGAGGTTGAGGTTCTTGACGCAGTCGCGCAGCGCGGCCTCGGCGACGTCGAGCAGGGCGGCGATGCCGGCCTCGGGCCAGGCGGCCATCTCGGCGGTGAGCCAGCGGTCGCGGGGCACGGGGGCAAGCAGGTGCGGGGCGGCAGGGGCGAACTCGAAGAGGTAGTTGGCCTCGCCGCCCATGATGACGAGGTTCTGGCGCTGGGGCGGGGCGAGGGAGGGGTCGTTGGCGACGGCGTCGAGGAGGCCGCGGAGGCGGGCGTAGTAGCGGTCGGCGGTGGTGTAGCCGGCGGCGGTGACGATGCCGACGCGGACGCCCTTGCGGAGCAGGTCGAGCATGCGCGGGACGACGGGGCTGTCGGGCTCGAGGCACTGGCCGTCGTCGTAGAGGGTGACGTCGCCGTCGAACGTGGCGAGGCGCAGGGAGCCGTACGTGGTGACGGCCATGAGCTGGGCCGTGTTGAGGATGAGCCGGACGTCGTTGAACGAGGGCGAGACGAAGCGCCGCGACGAGATGTACCGCTTGCGGTCCTGGAACTTGAACGCGGCCTCGAGCGGCAGCCGCGTGAAGAAGTTGCCGATGGTCGGCACCAGGAGCTTGAGCTTCGACAGGACGCGCACGTTGACGTCCAGCTGGTGATTTACTGGAGGAGAGAGAGAGAGAGAGAGAGAGAGAGAGTTAGAGAGCGGGAGGCGTCATGGTCAGATCGGCCAATTTGCGAGGGAGGACGGGTGATGCGCGGCTGGAGGAAGGAGGGGAGGCTGGTTCGGGGGCGGGGGGCGGGCGGATGGAAGGGCTGGCCGTACTGTGATCGTCGATCATGACCTCGATGTCTCGCATGATCTCGGCATACCGCCGGTGAGCTTCCTCCGACATCTGCGTGGTGCTGAACCCGTTCGTCTCAAACACCCCGGTGGGCTGGGAGTATAAGACAAAGGGGACGGCTAGCAGTCCCTTGATCCATTCTGTTGGGCATCTCGTGTTAGCTACGACAGGCTTGCTGTGCTCGGATCTAGGGAATACGAAGCCGTCCTCTGATATCGGGAAGCATCGACATCTCTCATGTGGTTGTAAGAAGGACAAGGTAGGGAGGTAGGCAGGCAGGTAGGTATAGGCAGTTCTAGGCTATACGCCAGTTACGTTGCAGTAGTACCTATCAGTTGGTCTCTCCTGTGCGTCTTCAACGCATCTACGTCGGTTTGCCCGTGTTAGTGACCGAAGCGGCACATAGCTCGAGCACGACGGACTCGTTCAGCAAGAACCTACACTCCACTCTGTATCTGGTCGTCATTTTCGTGCCACGTCGTCGCTGGATACTGCTATAGAGTCTTCCAAAGGGAGTAAATAGAGATAGAACAAACGGCAAATCGTCAGAGAGAAAAGGACATGCAACACAAACCAGGTAGTCAAGGTGAGAGGGGATGGAATGAAGGGAAAGGGAATGCGGTCTGCGATAAGGGGCACTAGATCACGGGGCTCATGGCAGTTGAGCTGTACGGGGTGGGGCAGCCAATAGGCGGGACTGACATAGGAGGTACCTAGGTACCTACCTGTTGGATGAAGAGGCAGGTCCTTACGTCACTTGGGGTTGACCAACTGGAATCCATGCCGTAACACGCCTAAGGCAGGTCCGATGTAGGTACGTAATTAGTACCTAAGGTACCTCGAGTAACCCGCCTTAGGTACCCCCTTAGGTACCTACCTAGGTACCTATCGATAAACGAGCCTAGGCACCTAAGCTTACGGAGGTCCTGCCAGCGCCTTTGCCGGCGCCAGCCATGACCGCCTTGGTTATAGCGTCATCTGGGGAGCTGATTAGCGCATCTCTCGACGGCAGCGCACCGCGTCTGCAGCTTCGTCCACTCCGACAGGTACTTAAGCTCCCGCCTATTCCAATCGAGCACCCTCGCGGCCCGTCCCCGGCAGACTTGGCACCCATCACGACTTTGTTCGACTTGATTCAGAGCTGTGTTTGATTCTATTTTGGTTCAAGATTCCAGACTCGAGATTCGGCGTACCAATCTCCATAAGACGCTCTATAAACAGTCGCTGTAGAAGCAGAGCCATTCCTACCATACCCTTCGTCTCCCCCCGCTCTCGGCCGCCTTACCTACCCTTTTTTTTCCCCCCCTTCTTCTTCAAGACGACATCCCTCCTCCCCCAACCCGAGCATGGCCCGTTCTAGGTGTATGCCCTCAACCTAGGGCATTAGTCGGCTTCGCGCAGATTGCCGTGATGGTGTTGAGCCTGGTTATGCACCCCTCGGGGCAGGCGGTCTGGCACCCGTCCACGTACAGTGCCGTCTTGACTCCGGCGCAGCCGCACGGCACAATCAGGTCTTGCTGGAACGTGCAGCCCGGGATAGGGCACCGGATCGGCTCGCACGCGCTGGGTCGAGTCGTGAGCGTCACGGTCGGGCAAGCAAGCGCCGAACTCGAGGTGGGGTGACCCGGTAGAGTGGTGATGGTGATGATGAACGGCTCCGAGGTCGAGCTCGAGCTCCCCAAGACGCTGGTGCTGGTGCTGAAGCTGGTGCTGGTCCTAAAGCTGGTGCTGGTCTTTGTCGGACGCGGCGGCCGCCTGGGTGGCGGGTCACTCGCGACGGCCGTAGCGTACGCGGGGACTTCGACCGCGAGGGCGTTGACGACACTACACTACTGTTAGCGTGGCGCCAGCGAGGAGGATGGACTGTCTCCCTACCTGGCTAGTGCCGCCATGAAGAAAACTGCGAGGACCTTCATCTTCAAAAACGCTGGCTATCTATCTCTCGAGTCAGCCTAGTTCGGTTGGAGACGGTCGAAGGCACTCCCACCAATGTCGAGACCGACGACGGTTCACTGTTCTTGAGTTGAAGCTGAGTTGAGGTGCTGACTAGCGGAAGCTGGACTGTCGGTGGAGTTGGAAGCATATGGTCAACTTGATCGTGGACGAGAAGGCTTATTATATATACGCCGCTCGCCTGTCGCCATCCTCGATTTTGTCAGTCTTTAAATAGCATAGCCCCTGGGTAATTATGTACGTTACCACTGTCGTCCCTCCGCGCTGCGAGGCTGCGAGTGAGCGACCCTGCCTACCGTTCTCACCCCTTCCGCCACCATCTCGGGGCAGGTTATCCCCCCTCCAATGGCGCTCAAGTGACTCGAGTCAACGTGAGGACGGTCTCCGGGTTGTGGCTCCGGAGTTCAGTTATGGGGGGTGGTAATATTGCAGAGTCAACCTCGCATTCACATTGTGAGAGCCGTGAGTTATTTTTGGAACCTCCCTCCATTTTATATTAGGTCTAGGCCGGCACCTTATCAACCCGTCACTTACCTGGCTACTACTAAGTGTGCCAGCTGACCTCTATAGCGTTGAGAAGTTGCCAACGCTTTCTCTCCTCCTTGATGTCCTGGGACAGAGACATCTGTCGAGTCGTTCGACACCGAATGTGGCGGCACTGAGGCGTTGATGCCGCCTCACTGGCTAACAGACCTATGGCGTATAGGCGGCGCACAAGGTCGGCGGGACGACAGTTCTGGCTACACCATGGGATGGAAGTGGCTGTTAACCACGTCACGATGGTATATCGAATCCGAAGAGAAAGACGGGCGCCAGAAGGCCGAACCCTTCGGTGACGATGTGAGCTTCGCGAGGAAACGACCTTCCTCTTCAAGATCCTTCCGAAGAGCTGATTTGGCGCAAGCATCGTTTAGTCGGGTTGGAATCGGGAACATCTCCGATGCCAACGGCGCCTATCGCCTCCGGCGCTCGCGGGTTCTAGGCTACCAAGTCCTATGCTATGCATATTGTCAAGGGTGAGACACAGAACATCGCCACTTATGGGCCCATGACACCGCGGCGACGCTGTTCTACGGTTTGGAGAGAGTCTTGTCGGGATATACGCGCCGTGATTGGCAATATCCAAGCCGGCCATCATACAGCTCCACAATATCTAACGAGGTTATTCGGCCTCTTTAGCCTGGATGGCGGAACAATATCAGACAGGAGGAAACTTCATATAACTTCATCTCGACTTCCCATAAATGGACTGTTTTCTCAATTAACTCGACATCCTCAATTTATCTTTGATGAGGACAAGGCTCGAAGCGAGAGTCCGCATACGTTGGTTTGCAAGACCGCGAGATAACGATACGAGTAAGGTCGATGTCCAACACGAGGGATTCCTGCCCGCGGGCTTCGTCTGGTTCGGAGCCTGCACAGTCGAGAGATTATTCTAGGGTCGTGCCAGCTGGATGGCTGTTAATCCAAAACCTCGGGCTATGCGTCGCTCAATGCGCGCGAGCAGCAAGCATTGCTTGTTTAACCAAGATTTCGCATCTGGGTTGCCTAAAGGGGCCGGTACCACGGTATCGAATGTCTTCAGGCAATATCAAAATTTGGAGCTTCGAAGAGAGCTCTGCTGCTCTCGTCAGATACGTGCGGCGGGTCTCGCGTAGAGCGAGATACCTAGCTATCTGATGTACGCCTGGGGAATCTGAGTAGGATACCCTATTTAGCGTCCCGCCGACGAACTCTTACCCACTACCCTAAATAACCGGATCCTTTCTTGTTCTCCCTCGATCGCGATGCTCATGGTCTTTTCGGCTCTCGCCTACGTCTTGCTCGGTTCTAAGCTCTCGACTAGTTGTCTTGGGGTGTTAGCCCCTGGTGATCCCATAATTGACTGGTTCTCAGGGTCACCGAATGGAATGATTTCCTTGGGCGTAGCCGTACTCTCTCCCCAATTTGTGGGCAGGGCGTCAGCCATTTTCTTGATTGCCGTCTGAGACTTGCGTATCGAGGGTCGTCTAGTTAGCGCGAGGGGCTTGGGGTGGATTAGGGATTTGTATGTCGTCGTGGTCCGACCTGCGATGAGCCTGATGGCGGTATCGTATCTACCCCTTTCAGTGCGTATCTAGGGTATAATACATCCGTATCTGGCTCTATCTCCATACGGTATGATACCACGACGGGTGACAGCATATCACGTCCCGTTCTCGAGCTGCTCGCCAACTGTTATACATGACTTTCAACATATATATTATGATCTCAATATCAGGTCAGGGGGGCCGTACGAAGACCCGACACCCAAGCCCCGGGGTGCTGTCTTGATATGTCAAACAACTAAGCAGCATGCTGCTCGGAGACTACCTATGCAAGCAACGCGGACGAATACAGTGATCAATATACTAATCGTTCCAGTCTTTGCACATCATCCATCACGGATGCAAAAGAGTTAATGGATGGCCTTTATGCCGCTAGGCAGTATTGGTACACACTCGACAACCCATAACGCCTTGTTGTCTCCCGCTAGCGCCTGATTCATATACCCCGAGGTTTCTTCCCAGTCAGCCCATTCTTCGTGATCAACGTGATATAGTTATATAATACATCGAGCTTATTGTGATCAGGTTTGGTCAGCTTGAGTATCATCCTGACTACCCGGCGACTTGTCCTATGACAACTTACCCAGCTCAAGTGAGATTGCTTATGCATCCATAGCCCCTCCTCAGGCCAACGAGCCCTGCTCAGTGTCGCTGGCTTTGGACACATTAACGTGCTCACGCTTACCGTCACTTACGGGGCCCATCTCTCTACTGTTGGCACCCACAAGTTCCCGATAGGGCCCCGTGGCCTCGCTCGTACCGTGGCTGTTGCGAGTACGGGTTCGGCTCCAAACGGCCGGAATATGTTTGAGCAAGGGCCGTAGGGCCGCGGCCGACGCGGCGAAAGTGGCCATCCCCAGCTCGATGTCGGCCCACAGAAGGAGGTTGTAGTGTAATCCTTTGGCCTCCTTCCCCGTAGCTGTGGACAGTCTGACGATAATAACGAGTTTCACAATGGTGGCCGAGCTTGCACTATCCGGGAATAAGAAGGTAAGTATGATGTTTCTGCTAATATCTCGCCGTGTGATTCCTACCGGCTTCCTTCTTTTATTTATTTATTCGACAGCAGAGGGGAAGGAGGGCATAGAGATCGAAGACGAGAGATGCACGTCACTTACAAAATTCCCAGTCCTAATAAGAACAACACGGATATCTTCAACCGCATGCTCATGTGCACATTTCGGAGTATGGCGATCGGTAGCAAGGCGTAAAAGTAGTCGATGAAAATATTAGTGATGGTGCGGAAGTAGGCGACTTGCGTGCAGGCCCTACTGCCCGCCCAGTTGCTCGAGCCGCCCTGGGCGCAGGGCCACGATGCGAATGTAGTCATTATGATGGTCCAGAGGCTGACAACGATCATGGATGCGATCAGGATCCAGCGCAGCCTCTTGGTCGACGCTAACCGGTAGAGGACCAGCGCCACAGCTATCTTGACGAACCCGGACGAGATGTAGAGGGCCAGCTGGTTGGCGAATAAGAACTGAAGGACTCGCATGCTCGGTCAGCCGCCGGCTAGGAAGCGCTCGCCTGAGCCGAACCCAGGATCATAATACTGACCTGCGTAGCCTTCTTGGGGTTGTAGTACGGCTGCTCGTCCTCAGCCGCGTAACCGTAACTCATAGACGTGAAGCCCATAGAGCAGGAGATGATGAACCCGATCTAACCGCGGCGATAACTTGTATCAGCTCGAGATCCCATGTCCGCACCCCCGCGCGCGGCGCGCGAGGGATCAGAGAGAGATAGGGTGGTGTACATATGTCAGACACAAGACAACGTCATCCAAACCAAAGCCCCGTGTGATCATCTTCGTCCGTACGTAGAGTCTGGCGGCAACGGCTACGGCGTCGAGCACCAGAAAGACGGACATGGCCGCGATGAGGTCTTCTCGGTGGCTCCCCATGGTGTCGTTTCTTCGAGTGAGTGAAAGTCCGCAGATGTATCAGCGCTCTCTCCGTTCCTTAGCCTGGTGAGCTGAGGCTCTAGGTGGTTCGCCGGGACGGGACGGCAGCTACTCCATCAGGACGCATCTAGGTTAGGGGGAAAAGGACAGTGGGGGAGGAGGAGAAGAGGGGCGGCTCTTGAACTTTTATCGAATCTCCTCGTCTGACGGCCGACCATTAGGGAGTGATAGTAAGGGCAGTGATAATACGCAGCTCTATCTTCGCCTGTTGCACGACAGACCAGACTGCCTAGCTGACCGAAAGGCAAGACATGGGCTGCACTGGAGGGGGGGAGCCGGCGAGCGGGCAGTCTTACTGGCCCCCAGGTCTCATCTCACCATCTCGATTTCTAGGTAGGGATTCTCCATGCTACGAGAAGACGATCATAGTAAAAATGATAGGGCAGGCAGCTATTGTACCCCGGGGTATTTCCTCTCTCCAGGGCACTGCCACCAATACATGAAACCCGTGCTATACAGATACAATCCGGCACATGCGCAACCCAGAAAAGAAACATGCGGTTGCATGCACGAACACCACGAACCGGCTCGATTACCATGGTACGCAAACTCCTCTTCTCGTCGTTACAGCGGCCGAGGTGGCGGCAAGGTGGCCTGGAGGACAGAAATACGTGCACAGCATTGCCCAAGACGCGGCCGGCTTACCTATACGTACCTAACGCTGAAATCCTGGTCCTGGTCGGTTTCGACCTGCGCACCCATGGCTTCCTCATGCCGGCGGCGGAACATCTCGAAGATCGGCAGTTGGGGTGGCCGTCAATAGCAGATGCTGGTGTGCTGGCGCTGCAGGCATGAAATCACTTACATGCAGAAGGATCGCGGAGCAGACACGGGAACCAGGGCTAGAGGGGGAGCCACAGGGCTGTGGGAAGCGGGAGCTGAACGCGCAGTGCGACTCTGTCGGCTGTTGGTCATCTCTTCCGTGCGGGAATGCGACCTTGCGCTGCTCTGTTTACGGGCAGAGCGCCCGCGTGCCTCGTTTGCAGGATCATGCTACCATAATAACGACGGCAGCAGTCTAGAATAGGGTCGCTAGGTTGTCAGAGTCGGCCTGGCGCTAGTGCGGAAGCGATGCTACGAGAAATAGGCCCCGGTATATAGGTAGGTATTTCCCTACCGACCGCGCCGGCGGCAACAGGACGGGCACTCCCGCCAGTCCCATACACAGACGGACAGATAGACTAGAGAGAGAGACACACACACACAGAGAGAGAGAGAGACAGAGACAGACGGAGAGATAGAAAGAGAGCGAAGAACATGCCACCCACGGCCAGACTGGGCGCCGGCTAGCTATTCAGAGAGCGAGGCTGAGGCAGGCGAGCGGCGATGTGTCGAGTCCGTCACACCACCTGGGGGCATGTTTGACTGACTTACCTTCCCGTTTGGCGAGGTGTGGAAGCCAAGTTCTGTCTTGATCTTGTCGCTCGTGTCTCTCGATTCTGCACCGCTGAGCTTGCGCCGATCGCACAGCAGTCCGCCACCGTACGTGCGTGGACCGGGGGAGAAAAGGGGGGTGGGCGAAGACAATTCTGCCTATCACGGCGCGCCCACGGCCTTTTTAAGCGAAGTCTTCGCTGTGTCGTTCTTCCGTCTTACTCACCCACCCTCTGGCGATTCGCCAATGGGGGCTGACGTTCGACGGGTCGCATGGAAGTCTTCCACGGAAATACTACGTTCGTCTGAGCAAAGGATCCTTCTGTCTCCCCTCCTCCTCCTCCTCCTCTCCCCTCCTCTCCCCTCCTCTCCCCTCCTCTCCCCTCTCTTCCCGTCTCTCATGGCCGTACCGCAGTCACGGAGCAACGGAAGACTCCGGCCGGCCATTCTCGTGATCGGTGGGAGACCAAGATCAGGGAGAAGAAAATGGGTTCTGCACAACTCGGCTTCCGTCTGATTGTCGTAAGCGCGGGAGATTGCGATAAGCATTGGGCCGAAGGGTGCCAGCGGCTGGCAACAAACTGCAATTGATTGCCTGGACCGTCGTGCACCCAAGACACATAAATCGGCCCTCTGGTGCTTGCCCGACAGCGCAAGCCTTTCCTCTCTCTCTCTCTCTCTCTCCTCTGGCTAGAAGAGATCCTGGGGCTTTTATCAAGGGGTGTTGGGCGCACAGACGCGCCGACATGTCAAAACAACTTGTCGAAAAGACAGCAAGCACATTCGCTGCTCACTTTGACGCTGCGACGGACAATATCGCCCTCCCTTGCGTCGGCTTTGTCGTCGGACCACTCCGCGGGTAGAGCGGACATAGGCCTGGCAAACATGCCTGGAGCATATCGGCGTTGCTTATGCCCAGCAGGCGTATGTAAGTGGACACAGCTCCCAAAGCAGGTCGAGCAAACGAGCCGACTAGTACGATTCAAGCATCGAAGGATGACGGATAACAACGCCTCAACCGCTCCTCAGCACCGTCCCCGCGCGCTCTTCTTAGGTATAATATGCCAAGGTGTTCGTGTAGAGGTTGTGTCTCCCAGCTGAGGTCTTCCCGAGCTGCCCCACGATAGTTGCACGGGATGCCATTACTACATAGGCATGTTAGCACGAGGGCCGCGGAATTGGACCGAAATCTCCCGCCCCGATTGCGGAGTATAGGGGAGCGTAGGATTCTAGGATAACGCCGTGATATGCTTTTGTCGCTGGCGGTATCGTTGGCGGGAACCGGACCCTTGCTTGTCTTTCTCCCTCATTTCTCCCCTCCTCTCCTCTCTTTTCTCTGACCGTTCCCTCTCTCTCTCTCTCTCTCTCGTGTTTCCCCCCGTTGCCTCGTCCAGCTTCAGCAGTTGACAAACTCGGCAAACCCTGCAGACGTTGCTGGGTGGATTCCCCGAGCAACCCTGATCGGGAGCGAGAACCAAGACTAGGCAAGCAGCAGCCCTTTCATTGATGGCGTTTCCCTTGTCGGAAATTTCCCTCGCATTTTCTTTTCACCTGCCACATTCTCTCGCTCTTTAAGAACTCCCGTCCCACTGGCCGCTACACCTCAATGCGCCTAACTTAGGTCCCGTTGTAAAACCGGGTTCGCATCGTCTACGAGGTCTCTGGGCCTTCGCGCATACAAGTTACGACACCCGAAACAAAGCAAGACACGGCACCCCCTCGGCTAGCTAGCTTCCTTTATCTGCTCACGAGGGTCCTCGTAGACAATTAGCCAGAATGCGGGCGAGTGTTTCGCTTCGCCTCGTCGCGGCGACGATCGCTGCCGTGTTATTCGCCGACGCGGCAGTGGGAGCAGCAGTGACCACCGCCGCCGCCACCGCCGACGGAGACGTTGTCGTTGACGCCTGTGTCACCAAGTACTCGGTGTGGATGGCCACGAGCATCGCCTCCCGGCGCCAGGGGATCATGACGGGCAAGGGCGGCTCGTCGGAGCTGCTGCAGGCGGGGGTCACGCAGCGGGCGCTCGCAGCAGTCGCGGCGCAGTACCCGGACGACGCCTGGGCGGGCGAGGCGCGGGCGTACGTGCGGGCCAGCGTCGAGTCGGTGGTGCCGTTCACGCTGAACGCGACGCACAACGCGCTCTCGTACCCGATGGACCGGCTGTCGACGGGCAATGCCATGCTGGCGCTGTACGCGCCGGGCGACGCGGCGACCGAGCCCTTCCGCGCGGCCGCGGCCGCCCTACGGCGCAGCATCGACCTCAACCGCCGCAACCCGGAGGGCGGCCTGTGGTACTTCGTCTACCCGCAGTGGAGCTACCTCGACGGCATGTACTCGCTCGCGCCCTTCTACACGCTCTACGCCACCGCCGCGCCGTCCGCCAACTCCTCCGACGCCTGCGCCGCCGACGCCGCCCTTGACGACATGTATTACCAGATCGACCTCCTGTGGAACCGCACGCGCGACGCCGCCTCGGGCCTGCTCGTGCACGGCTACGACGCGTCGGGCACGGCGGTGTGGGCGCGCGCGGGCACGGGCGCGAGCCCGCACGTCTGGGGCCGCAGCCTGGGGTGGTACGCGATGGCGCTGGTGGACACGCTGGAGGTGCTGCCGCCGGCGGGGGCGGCGCATGGCGGGGGTGCCGCGGCCCGGCACCGGGGCCCGCTGCTGGCCAAGTTCCAGGCGCTGGCGGCGGCCGTCGCCGCCGCGGCCGACCCGCGCACCGGCGCCTGGTGGCAGGTGCTCGACGCGCCGGGCCGCGCCGGCAACTACATCGAGTCGAGCGCCAGCGCCATGTTCGCGTACGCGCTGCTCAAGGGCGCGCGCCTCGGCTACCTCGACGTGCCGCCGCCGCCGCCACCGCCCGCGTACGGCGACTCCGGCCGCCCGCCGCTCGCCCGCGCCGCCGCCACCGCCCTCGCCCTCCGCGCCTACCGCTACATCAACCAGGCCTTCCTCGTCCGCGAGCCCAACGGCACCCTCAGCTACGACCGCACCGTCGCCGTCTGCAGCCTCAACTCCACCGCCTCCTACGAGGTAAGTACACGCGCCCAGCGCACCCGTGTCGGACGGCAATGAGGAAGAATGCTAACTCGTCCCCTTTCTTCCTCTCTCTCTCTTCGTCATAGTACTACGTCAACCAGCCCATCAACTACAACAGCGTGCTGGGGTCCGCGCCGTACGTGCTCGCGTCCCTCGAGGTCGAGCGGCTGCTAGGCGCCTCGTGACGGCGTCGTCGTCGTCGTCGTGCCGTCGCGCGCGAGTTAGCCAGAATTTGGGGGAGAAGTCCGGCCAAGCACGTGAGAGGCGACTCTAACCGCGAACGAGGATGTCTGTCGGGAACCGAGGAAAAAAAAAAATAGAGGCTAAGCATTGCCGGCGCGCAGGACTAGGCCTAAAGCCGCCTAGACGCGTGTGGTTAGACGGATCGTGAGGCTAGAGAGGTTTTTTCTAGCACGATGGCTTGTGGCCTCCCGTATTCCTTTCTTCGACACTAGCACGATTAATAGATACATGCATTGTAATATACCTAGGAGTCCGTCTTCTATCCGCACCTGGTCGTAACCCGCTGCCGCTGCATATACCTACCTACGCCTTCATAAGCCTGCGACCTGTAGAGGTTGCTTAGGCTCGCCGACCCATGCTATCTACCTACGTAAAACCCCGAGAGCTGGCTAGCTAGCTACCTTATTATGGGGATGGCGGGGGTTTAGGTACCGAGATCCCTCGTCTACTGGATCGTTACGAGAAGCGCAGTGGACGCAAGACCCGGCGGGGCCATCCCGGGTGCGCCAGATTACCGTTTCCAACGGGCGCGGGTGGAGAGCCGTGTGGCAACTGATATTTATTTCCCCAAGGATATAAATACGTTGGTGGCTGGCCTTAGAGCTAGATAGGGGATACGCGAGCCGCCAAACCAGGTCTTGGCGTTTGCATCCATGATATTCGTTATTATCCCACAAGTACACGCGCCGGCCTCTTTGCCTACGTCCGTCTAGAGGCCTAACCCCGAACCTCTTACAAGAGTACCACGCACCTCGACAAGCGGACGCCCCTCTCGCTCTCTTGACCTGGCCCGGCCCGACCCTTCTAGGCCTTAGTTGTACAGACCCAGAATCTCGCCGACGATGCTCTTGAAGGTGCCCCACGGGTCGAACTTCTCGCGCACGGCTCTGAACTGCGCTAGGTGGCTGGGGTCGATGTTCTTGGTCGCATTGGCGAACACGGCGCGCGTGTTCTTCGTCCAGTGCGGCCGCGCCGGGAACTCGTCGATGAGCGTCTTGGCTAGCCGGCGGTCTGCCACGTCGCCACCCCCCTGTTAGCCCGGCGAATTCACGGTAGACATATATATATAGACGTCGCTACATCGAAGGCGATGTGAAGCAGTTATACAACGAGAGAGAGGGAGAGGGAGAGGGGGAGTGTCAGGCGCTTACAAAAGTCCTCATTGAAACGCTTCCCGTCGCCGATCGTGGGCTTGAAAGACGGGAAGTCAAACATGATAGCGCCCTTGCTCCAGTCGGCGCCGTCGGACGTGTTGTAGGTGACCTGGCCGAGGAAGTCGTAGTAGGCGCGGCCGAACTTGATGTTGATGCCGCTGCGGTACGTGCTCGTCATGATGATGCCCTCGGCCGCTTCCTCGTCAAACGCCTGGCGCACCCGCTTGAGCATCTTGTTCGCCAACACGACCGGGAACGCGAGCTCGAGCGTTGCCCCGTGCATGCCGTACTCCCACTCCGGCTTCTGGTCCGGGTACGGCCCTCCGATCAGCACGTCGTAGTTCCATCCGTACACCGGCCACTGGTTGATCGCCTTCTGCGTTTTCTTCTCCCGAAAGTTCGGCGACGACCACAACGCGAACGCCGTCGCCTCGAATAACATGTTCGACGTCATTAGGTACTTGCGGTCCTCAAGGATTGCCTTCGCCGTGAAGGCCTGGAAGTCCGTGGTCGAGAATGTGTTCTGGAACCCCTCCTGGTTGCTGAGGTCGAGCGGGACCTTGTCGTAGTATCGCCAGTGGAATTTCCTCAGATATGGCCACCACTGTGAAGTGTTACAAGTAAATGCACCTTGAAGTAGGGAGGGCGAAGACTCGCCGTCTCCGTTGACGATGTCCAACGACAACACGCCAGCCGCGACCATCGAATCTTCGCGGATAGCGGAGCGGTGCCCGCCCATGGCCACCGCGCCCGCCATGGTGATATTCCAGTTGACTAGCGTATAGCCCATCGACGCGTTGTTGGCGTGGAGGTACTCGGCGAATTGGAGGAATGTCACGCCGGCCTCTATCTCGACCGTCCTAGACTTGGCACCCTCTTCGAGCACGAGGTTTGAGATCCTATTGACAAACTCCGTGCGGATGATGACAGTGTCTAGGTTGTCCGAACACATGGTGTCATACCTTCACAGTAGTACATCAACGTCAGCTTTTCGCAGTTGGTGTATATTTAATAGCAAGCCTTAATATTTCACGGTCTGTGAGGCTATTCGCTCTCTCGGCACGAAGGCGTGTAGCCGTGGGATAGAGTAGAGCTATAAGCGTATTCCCGTGAATTTGCACCCGTGACTCACCACATGTGGCCGTTCCCCGATGCCCTGACCGGCGTGCCATTGGCGGCGGCCCGCTTCACGAGGCTGACGATATCGTTGACGCTTGTGGCATTATGGACAGTGGTGACGTTGTTGCAAGCGGGGAATCCTTCGCCATCAAACGTGTTGTACGGTTCGGCGGAGATGCCGATTATTTCCGCCACGGGAAGGACAGGGAATAGGACGCAGCGAAGGGCGGGCATGGTGTCAACGTCCACGTTATTCGTTATCGTACCTGGTGAGAGTCTCCTGGCTATAATTGGAACAGGCTAGGGCTTGGGTGTAGTTGAGCTAGCCCTGGGCCACCTACATATATATCTATGCGGGTTAGGTAGGAGGTAGGTAGCACTTGCAGAAGTCATGAGATTCTTGCTCGTACACAAGGAAGCACTGGGCCCTTTAAATATCAGGCTTTGGTTTCCTTGTGATAGGGGGATACCTCCTCCCTCCTCACTTTCGTCCAACTTTCGTCTCCATTTCCATTTCGTGGACGTCAGAGTTCCCTGACGGCGCACCCTGGGCTAGCGTATCATAGCAGAAGAGGGCGGCACTTGGACTAACAACTGCCTGCGGGAACCAAGTGCTTGCCCATGCCCTCGTCGATGATTTGCCTCGGATGTCACAAGCGTGTCAGTACACACAGAGAAGCTGGTGACAACGATCAACGCAAATTTGAGTTGGGTGGTTACGGGACGACTGTTTTACCGGATCCTTCTTGACAGACGTGTGAGATGTAAGGTAGGACGAGACCTCGCGAAGGCTAGCTAAGCCGGGGGTTCGTGTGGACTACCAGTGGGGAAGAGGTCAGGAGAGGCCAGGAAGTGGGAATCCTCCAAGACGGCCCTTCGACATTCGAATATAACGAACAAGGGCGCATCTCACTGATGTAACAGCCCGCCAGCTACGGGGAAAAGATGACGGGAGAGAACCGCGAGGATAGTCATAGGGGTCGCACTCGACTTCTAAAATACGACTGTGCAGTCGATATTGTTGGCGCAAGAGAGCTGCGTGCCGCACCGAAGTACACGGCGGAGGAACCGAATGCATTAGTAGTGCATGCCCGACTGCCGGCTGCCTCGAATGGGCGTTCTTACGAAAAGGACTATTCCTAAAGGTCCGGTAGTCAAGTAATTGGTGATAGCCAATGAACATAATCATGTTGTATACCCGAAGCACGGGAGACATAAGATATCCATCTAGGATTGCCGACGTAGCTAGCACTCTCTGATGTTATAAGGTTGTAAGTACGCCTATCAATCTGCTGACCAGTGGCTTGTATATGAGCGGGTGGCATTATACACAACAGCATAACACATCGTTCGAGCCCGTAACGGTATAGCAGTGTCACCGGCGCGGGCGGAAATGCCCGCCGGGGACCAGGGTTAATAGTACCGAGTATGGCAAGTCGGTCTCTACGGAAGTGCCGAATGTATCATGCTCGCTCACCGTTATACTGCCAGCCTCGCAGGGAATCGTCGGGAGCCTTGTCAGCTCACGAGAGCTTGCTCTGAGACGAGTGTCTTTTCAAGGTCGTAATCGGAATATTCGGCTCGAAGAGGCTTCGAACTCCACATAGGAATATGGAGAAGACGTCGCGGGGGAATAAGGGCATGTCGGTTCAATTCCCTCTAGAGCTTCATCAATAGAGTCATAAGCATCGTTGGGGACGAAATGGTGCCTCTCCTAGACTTCTATGGGGTTAAATCAACTTCCACCTTGCAAGCCAGCCGATATTCTGACCCGCATTCCTGACAATGCAGAGCCCGGGGGCCGGGTCGTCTTTCTTCTCGTACCGCCTAAACTCCTCCAGCGCTCTGGTGGCCGACAAGCTACCTATGGCCTCGCCACGTCCGTCTCGGAGGTTGAAGCTTCCTGTCGTTACGAATCCGATCAAATCTTCCTCGTCGGGGCACAGCGGGTGGCCGTTGATGTCCGCCGAGTTCGGCGAAGGTGGTGGGAATGGCGCCGGCGGTCCCATGAGCTGCTGTGCGAGCAACTGCTTACGCGCCTCAAGATCCAATTTTTTCGGCCTTGCAGCGGCAAATTTCCTGACCCCCCTACCCCTCGCCGGCTTTTTCGCTACCCACTGACTGTATAAATCGGGAGGTAGTCCGTTCTTACCTTTGGGTAGAGGCGGCATGGTAGCGGGTACTTCTACCTGCGTTGAAGCGATAGCAAGGGGCGCATCTGGTAGTCGATATATTCTAGCACAGGTAGCGGGAACTCCACGGGCGAGCATCTTGATCTCTACCGTGATGAGCGAGGTTAGAGGGAGTTCGGATTTTGACGACTGGCAAGACGTGAATATGGGTTTGGTGACTTGCGTGACGCTCTCTAGAGGCTGAACACGCGCTTGGTTTTCGTTTTCGGGGGCAGCTTTTGATCCCCTATCTTCGGTGTGCCCATCCGCTGGCGTTTGATCGGACGGATTCGCTGTCTCAAGACCAAAAAGTAACTCGTAGTCGCAGCTCCATCCAGTTCCAATCTCGCCTTTGCGTCCTGCTCCTAGATCGAACGATTCCCAGTTCACCCTCTTTCCTTTGGGCATGCGATCCCACGCCTTATACCTGACACACCGTTCGTCCAGCTCCCAGGTTTTGCCCGCATCCGTGCCGGGCATGTCGCCGGGAAACCAGGGGAGGCCGCGTTCAAATGTGAGTTGTCGGATCTCATCAAGACCACCAAACCACGGGTTGCCGCCAGTTGATAAGGGATAATGCATTAGGCTGTGCCATACGGGAAGAACACATTTCCACGGCAACATCACAGTCCATACACTAGGCGATTGTGAACTCGTGCAATGGTGAGAAGCCAGCAGAATTACGGGGATGGGAGGGTCGGCTGCAGTTGGCTTAAGCGCGGTTCCCGGGGCACCTTTTCCACGACGACGATTAAGTGATCGCTGTGATGGAAGTTTAGACGCCTTGAATCGTACGTCTCTATCGAATAATTGGTAAGGCTTGGTGGCTTCTTCTTTTCGAAGGGCCGAAATAGTCCCCAGAACTGTCGCCTGTGCTTTCTGGCCGGGCAAGGATGGGATGGCCACTTGTCGAGGGGGATAACAGAGACGAGGGTCGACTATCGAGAATGCTAAAAGAGTTCCAGCAGGTAAGGCCCCGGGGTCCCTCAAACCGGCCAGCGATTCAAATCGTGAAGCATGGGGTTCTCGAGATTCGGATTTTATGAGATAGGGCTTCAGCACCCCGAGAAGGGCCTCTGTCGAGTCAGGGCCGGTGACGTCGATGCTCCCTACTTCGAATCTCAGGTCTTCCACGAAGGGTCGGGGGTGCTGCATTTTTGTGAGTCGCAGAAGCTCGTTGAAGGTCTCCAGGAATGCAGAAGGGTGGACTCGGACGTAGAGCTGTCTGAACCGCTTCGACTGATCTACGTCGTCCACCTTTCCCACCGGATTCCATATGATAGTCCCGGGACCGATAACATGCGAAACACCTTTGCTTCTTCTACTCAGCATCCCGGTCCAATGCATGTCTCCTGACCTCCAGCGCTTGGCCTTGTCGTTCCACAGAGCTTCCTGCGTCAGTCCCAAGGATTTGAGGACGTTTTGGACGCTATTATGGGCTCCAGATAAACCAATCGTGCTCATATAGCTCATATCCCAAGCCATAGCGCCCTTCTCCCATTGGATACGATGTGTTGGGCGGTACACCTTCTGCGTCGGCGTGAGAGGGATCGCAAACCTCCACAGCGGCTGGGTAGGAGGTGTCATTCTCGCCCTCTTCGCGTGCCACAGGTGAGTGGGGAGCCACGTCTTTGAAATCTGGCGCTTTCTGAATTTTCTGGCCGTGATGATGGGTTGGTTCGTAGCGTTCCGCCGTATCTTTGGCCTAGCCATCCTCACGGAGATGGTCTCCTCGTCGACACCAGAGCTCTTCAACTTGCGCAGCTTCTTCCGCCTCGCGAGGATTTCCAACTTCCGAGCCGTCTGAGCTCGTAATCGGGCCCTAGTAGTCCCCGGCTTCCTCGTCTTGGAGTTGACAGTGGGGGTGTTGTCCTCGGCCATCTCTCGCTTGGCCCTCGCCTGGAGACGCCTCGGGATCCGTTTATGGTTATGGGCTGCAGCCCTGCGCCTCATCCTGAAGGGCACGCGTTGGAAAGCCCGACTAGCCCGGTTCGTCTTTGTCCGTCGCATGCTCTCGTCCATAGCATTAATCTCGAAGGAGAGGGAGTTGACGAACGACTGGACGTTGAGCTCGCCATCTTGCAGGGCGGCGTGGGATGGCTGGGCAGCGATACTCCGGTCGTCGACGAGCTTTGCACGCTTCGCATCTCGGGCACCACCAGGCCGCGAGCCTCTCCCCGGGTTCCCGAATGTCACATCTTCCCGCGGAAGATCCTTTCTCTTGGCGGGCTTGGGTGGTGCTAGATTTCCAGAAGCTCCGGGTGCAGGATTCTGTCGCTTCATGGAGACAGGTTTCCAGGACGGATCTCCGGTGAGCTTCGCCTATACAGCCTTCTTAGGAGGTGTCGACTCTGCATGAACTAGGTGGGGGGTCGACGCATAGATACGCGGCTGTCTGGATCGATACGAGGACCAGGCGCCGCAGTGAGAGCGAGAGCGAGAGCGAGAGAGCGAGGTAGACTCGCAACGAGTGACGCAAAAAGGAATGTCTATCGGTATGTAGGCTGCCAGGAATGGAGCGGCTCGGATATCCACGAGGAACCGAATATGCTTCTCTATCGAGGCAGGCTCCTTACCAGGCATAGGCAGGGAACATATAAATTTAAGTGCATATAGGTAGGCACCCTCGATACTGCAAAAGAACCCGTTACTACGTTAGATAGTATACGTAAGGTTGTTCTTGAAGTTACGCGCATCCGACGGTTGCGAATACGCGTTATCGGGGTAGTTGTAAAATTTGTGGACGAGCGACCTCGGGATCGGATCCATCCGACGCGTGCTGGGATTAACGGGTCCGGTATATATCTGGTACCTGCCCAAGGTACATATATGTAGGTAGGTACACGACATATATAAGGAACGCATCTCCAAAGCCGGGGTTTGCTGGTATGTAGATACCTATAGATGAGCTAAATGACGAAGACTACCAAGTAGCGCTGTTAGGAATCGAACCTATTCTTCGTTAAGTAACTTACTGATCTCCTGTATCGAGGCTGTTTATGAGTAGATGACATGAAGATAAGTACATACCTACTCCATATCACCAGGTAGCAGAGAGGTAGCACGGGAGGCACATGCCATGTTGGCGTGACCCCACGTACATAGGTACCTCCCCGGGCATGTGCTGGGTATATCCTAGGTACCTCTTTAGGTGCCTCCTCCTCCCTTGTCCAGGGTTTGACACCTAATCTGCTGGGGTACCAGCACTAACGCTGGGGGTGTCTGGGTAGGTAGGTACCTAGGTACCTACCTACCTACCTTTAGGTGGGCATAGTGCTATCGAGGGGAGATCGTACCAGGTACCCCTAACATGTTACCGAACACCCCGGGTCGCGTTTGACTGCCTTCGAAAATGACGTCTGTCGCTACGACGCGTAGTATAATAGGGTACTCGGATCTCTGCTGAGGCGCCCGAGGAGGCCGTGGAAAGGCACTATCCTAGTCAGCATGCCTACAACGTAGCACTGGCCCCCTAGAAAGCTAAGGCGTAGGTACCCTTAGGAAGTGGCACGAGGCGGAGTTCCAGGTACGTTGTCTTAAAAATAAAAACGAAGAATAAAAACGGAGGGGAAAGACATTGACAGGTACTTCGGGGGCAGGTATCTGTGCTATGTGTCGTGCCTGGCCCGGGTACCTCCTGTCGTGGGCTGCGTATGTACATTCCCTTTTCGTGCGCCTTAAATCTCTCCTAATCCCCTCCCTCCTCAATCTCAGCCTATCAAGTCTCCGTCCCCTTTCCCCCTTTTCGCCCTCCAAGATCTCAACCCGTCGCCCTTCTAATCCCCGACCACTTTGCTTATGCTGCTGCTTCTGTCATGTCCATTTTCAGCTCGACGGACCGGGGTGTCCCCTCCTAGAATCGATCCGGCATCTAGGAATTGCCTTGTCTTCGCCTCCTTCGTGAAATCCCATCTGTTGGACCTGGCCTGGCTTCGACCTTGCTTCCCACCTGGCTTTCGACCTTCGACCAACGCACCCGCTCGGTTCCGGTGCAGCCGAACGCAACGAGACGCTTCATCCTACCTGCCGACCTGAGTACGTCGTCTCATCACCCTGCCATGACTGCATCCCGCCATCAGCACACTACTGCCGTCGTCCGCATCTGCTAGCGGAGCTAGTACGCGCAGCTATTCTGCCTCCGGGGGTGAGTGCGGCGTTGCTATCATGGCCTCCCTGAGTATGTAAGCCCGCGGCCCCCTTTCCCACACCCTCTCTAGGCGCCATCGCCTCCTGTTCCCGTCCTCGTTCTGCCTTATTCTATCCTGTCCCATCCCACTTCCTCCCTGTCATCTCTCTCTCTCTCCTTCTTTCTCACACACATAACTCACACTCCCCCTCCTTCGACATATCCCCGCCCGGCAACATCCTTTTTGGTGGCTTCTTGAGCCGCATTCCAGTCTCACCATCCGCATTGCGCATTTCAGCCTCGTTTCCGCGCAACGGGCGAGGGTTGTAATCTGTGTAATTTCGCCGTCTGATCATGTATAATTACACCCAGACCGGCCACTTGTACACTATTCCTCTATACCTACCCTTCGTTCACTCGTCTTCTACCGTTTGGCTTTGAGAGGGCAACTATGTCTCTGGCCGCGACGCTCATTGCTATGCGCAAATATCACCACCTGCTTGAGCTAACATGCGTGTTCTTCCCATAGTAAACAAGGCGCGGAAGGTATATATTTCTACGAGGCCCCACTACGTCGCTTTCACGGTCGTTCCGAGATTCCCCCAATGCTGATCCGTCTCTGTATCGCATAGCCAAAATTCGAGCTTCACCTCACCATCTATGATCTCAACAATGTGCCTCTGGTCGCGGGAACCTCGACCGTTAAATGGTATCTCCCGAGCTCGATGCACGGCGAGCACCGGGGCCGCACTGCCAAATGCTCCATCGATAAGATACACCACCGAGTCGTCTATAATTATTCTAAAGTCATCCCACTCCGCATCTCCATAGATCGCAACGACAACCTGACGGAATGCCCCATCGAATTTGAAGTCCTGCAGGAGTTTCCCATGGTCCCCGGGGGTCGCGACGAGAAGATTCCTCTAGGCACCGTTAGGCTGAACTTGAGCGAGTATGTAGAAGAGAGCGAGAACTTTCCGCGCCGAAGCATAGGCGTAAGAGCTAGCATGAACCTAGATTATCCTCGAGAAAAACCAGTTTCACAGAGCATGACACACCGGAGACAAAGCAGCAGCAAATCAGGCGCCGACTCCAGCATCGTAGAGGCCAGTCCGACAAACACCGCTGCCGCCCCGTCGCATCCAGAGGAAAATGACGTCGTGGAAGATGATGCCGAAGAGGGAATCGTGCGGCGGTATCTGATGCAGGAGAGCAAGATCAATAGCACGCTCAAGGTCGGCATCCTAATGGTGCAGATCGACGGGGAGCGTAATTTTGTCGCGCCCCCGCTCAAGACCGCCCCCATGTTCGGCGGAATTGCGGGTATCATGAAGGGCGAGCAGGTGGAGCCCGAAGACGGCGGTGCGGGCAGCAGCCGCAACCTGCCCAATTTCAACAAGTCGCGCGACGCGTCGGAGCTGCAGGACATGTACCGCCGGGCCCTGACCGCGAGCTGGGCTTGCCAGCCGGGAGAGATGCCGGCGGACGCCTGCATCGAGGACATATTCTCGGGCGGCGACGGTTGGAACGACAACACGAGACCTGGAGGGACCGCGGCCGCGGCCGCGGCAGCGGCAGCGCGGGGTAGTCGACGGTCGCACGCGGGGTCCATCAGCAGCCACAGCAACAGCGGCAGCGCCATGAGCGGCGACGAGGCCAACTCGGGCACGCTGCGACCGGGCGATGTGCGGCGGATTCATCGCCACATGCGCACGCGCAGCGGCGGCAGCGACAAGACCTCGATGACCACGGCGGGGGGCGGCAGCAGTAGTACTAGCAGTAGTCTCGGCCGCCACGGCGGTAGCAACAGCAACCGGCACGACCCGTCCCAATCCGGCCACCGAGGCCCGCGGCAACCGCCGCCGCTGCCGCCGTGGTCCCACAAGGAGGACAGCAGCGGGCACGACAGCAACGAGGGCCTGGGGGCCGGGACGCAGCGGAGCCGCGCGGGCAGCATCGCGAGCCTGGCGACGACGCTGGGCAGCGACCGCGGGCGCGAGGGCTTCCGCCGGCCCAGGGAGGTCAGCGAGTACGAGGAGCGCGAGGATCTGGTCGCGTGGACGCTGCCCGAGGCCGTGTGAGGCGGGCGTGCAGCCGTGAGGGTTGCATCCCCGAGCAGGCTTAGTTTTTTTTATTCTGTCTAGAACATCATCTATCTATCTACCCATCAGCAAGTTAGACAGCACGGCTTCCGGAGGGCAATACCGAGGCGCCGAGGGGAAAAGAGGAAAAGGATGGGAGTCGATCTCGAGGGCGAGCGAGCTAGAGAGGCAGAGGGATAGAGACGCGAGGTCGCGTCACCGTATATAGTGCGTGTACTGGTTAATACATAATAAGAAGACGCCCGCATACTCGGCTTCGACCCATTACTTGGCCACACCACCTGCGGGCGTGCTAGGGGGGGGGCAATGAGACTTGCAGGCTGAGAAGACGTAGTAGACTGCATCGATCAGCCGTACGTCCTACCATGTCTCACTTCTCTCGCGTTGCGCCATATCACGTACCTCTATATATTTATCGTACGTTAAATTGATAAATGGGTAGTATTTTTTCCCCTTCCTTGTTCTATCTAAATCGGCTCACTCATCCCCTTATATCTGCGCATATCTCCTCTCTTCTGTTCCCTCTTCGCCCTTTCCTACTTTCGCATATTTCCAGTGTCCCATCCACGCCCGTTTTACCCGCGTAGCTTTTGGGCGGGATACGGGGGGGTAAGTAGTTTATTCACCACGCACGTTGTTCGGCCAAAAAAAAAAGACTATCACACCACAAGAGAAGGAGGAGGGAAGAAGAGACACAAAAAAGGCTGGTCCCACCTGTCCGTCTAGATGTATATCTACCTCTACCCGCCCGTCTATTGACCTGTCTATCCACGCATCGGACGGCCTAAGGCGTGTGCGGAAACCAAAAAGAGATAAGCAGAGAAAAGTTTGTAGATCGAGAAGGTTGGGAGTACATAGCCAAGTAAGCGTGCTGGTCCCGAGAGGTCAAGACGAGGCAGGGCGAGGTGAGAAGAGAGGGAGGGAAAAAAAGGCAAGGGTCGAAATGCAAGTCAACGACCTCTTCTAGTCGTTGTTCTTATTTTTGCTTTCTTTATTATTCTCTCTTCTCCCTCTCGGGCAGTTCTTCTCTCCCTCCCCCAAAAATTCTCAAGGGGCTTTCAGCACTCCCCTGATTCCTCCTTTGCCGCCGACCTCCCTCGTCGTAATCGTGACTGCCAGATCACCGGAAACATTGACCGTGACCTCGACCTTGCTGCCCTTCTTAACACCACGGATGGCCGCCTCGGCTAGGGCGCTCCCAATCTTCCACACCTTCTCCCGGGTCTCCTCCTCCTCCTCCTCATCGTCGTCCTCGTCGTCTTCCTCATCGTCGTCCCCGTCTCCCTCGCCGTCCTCCTTCTTGCCGTTCTCTTTCGCCTTAGGCTCCGGCTTGGTGACCTTGATGTGGGTGTTCCCCTCGACCACCTTGACCAACACGTCACCCCCATTCTCGGGTGCCGCGATATGTATGGTTCGGCGGGTCGGAACGGCGGTCTCTGGAGCAATTATCGGCGTAAATGACTCTTCACCTTCTCCTGAGAGTGAGAGAACCCCAATCGCGTTCGTAATGTGCTTGACAGTTGTAACCCCGGGGTGGGTTGACTGATCGATATCGTCCGATTCGTATTCTTGAATCAGCGAAGCTTGGAGGGCAGCGCCGCGAGCCTGAAGCTCGGAAGGGTTAACGGCGCTAGCGCTCGTTGACGGGGCCTGGATCGTAGTTGTTTCCGGGAATATAGATCGGAAATTGGCAGCGATCCGAGGGGTGTGGGACGTGCCGCCGGACAGAATTACCTCGTCGATATCGAGCACGTCCAGACCAGCCTTCTTTATGACCCCTTCGACTAACCGGTTGAAGCCCTCGAACACCTTGCGTGCAATGGTTTCGTACCGCAGTCTGTTAATCGTAGTCTGGAAATCGATGCCCTCGGCCAAGCTCTCAACGCTGAAACTGGCATTATTACCAATACTGAGAGCCTTCTTCGCTGCCTCGGATTCGGCCTTCAGCTTAGCTAAGCTTCTCGCGTTGGCTCGAGGATCGACGTTGGGGTGCTTCTTCATAAATTCCTTCGCAAAGTGTTCCATGAGAACATTATCCAGGTGAGAGCCGGAGTACTCGTAGTCATGAGCCGTCGCGAGTATAGTATAGAGTCCACCTCTTGAAGCGACCACGGCGACGTCCGAACGTGTACCGCCAAGCTCGGCCACCACGACTATCTTGTCTTCCAACTTTGCTTCTGGCCTCGCATCATAAGCGAGAAGTGAAGCGATCGGTTCGTTGATCAGCTGAAGAACTTCGAGTTCGGCATCATTCGCCGCTTGGATCAGAGCTTCCCTCTGGGCCCCAGTGAAATTGGTAGGCACCGCTATCACAGCAGAAGTGACCTTCTTCCCCAAGTAATCTGAAGCGGATCGTAGGAGGCGGCGCAAGTATCGCGTAGCTACTTCTTTCACGGAAATAGTCGACGGACCCTCTTCTTCGGCCTTGTCCTGGACGGTGAACGAAACCGTTCCGTTCACATCTTGGGGGTGAGAAGCAGCGTGGCAGTGGGTAGGGTCGATGGACTTGAAACTGTGGCTAAAATCAGCGATCTGTAGGCAATGTCGGTTGCTAACTAGGGAACAAACTCTTGTCCGAGGAAGTCCTTGAAGGAGACAATCGTGTTTTTCGGGTTGCGGACCAGCAGAGCCTTGGCTTGGTTTCCTGTATATTCCTCACCCTCGACGTACGACAAAATGGTAGGGATCTGGCGGTCTACGGCAGGGCAAGTTAGTGAACGACGAAGACCTGTGGAGTATTTCTGTGGATTGCCGAATCTCACCTCCGTCTTCATTCGCGATTACCACGGGACTGTCGTCGGTGGTGCTGGCAATGGAGCTATACGAATTGCCAAAGGATATGCCAATAGCGCATCGCTCGCTCGGCGAAACGCCAAGCTGGTTGGCAGCCTTCTCCGTCATAAGTACAAGCTAGTTTCGCAAGAACTTCAAATATGTATGTCGTCGTCCCCGTAGAGTTCTTGCTGGGAGGGGGGGGAGAATCCTGGGGGGGGGGGGGGGAGGTCCAAGTTGCGTCGGTAGTGGGGTGGAGGGGATATTAGAACAGACGAGACGCCAAATTGTAGGAATGTAGAAGAAAAAAATAATTATTCGAAATAGTCAAGTTACTCGATGGTGGGACACGTCGAGTACGTACCGCTTGACCTCACCTTCTGCCACAAGCTTAGTAGCGCCGCCACAAATAAACCCCACCGCAAGGTCTCCAGCCACACCATGCAAAGTACGAGGTTACGAGGTACCTTACCTTATCTACGATAGGTATGCCTCTGCTTAGGTAAGCGATATCATCTTATTACCATTATTTCCGTCACCTCCCCGTACCCTTCCAATTCCACTACATCTACTCCGTCGTCGCCAGTAACCTCGGAGTTTCTCTCGCGTAACATAAGGCACAGAGCTGGAGATGGCGGGCCAGACTGAGAGGATCTTCGTCCTCCCCGGCGACCAGATAGACCCCTCGCGGGTCCCATCGCATCCCAAACGACCGTTACGGCTCGGCCCAGGACTTCGGCATATACCCCCGAGCGAACTCGTGCCTACAGTCGCCGGCCAACTTATCACCGATCATAAGCGGAATTCGATATGGGTGGAGTACAACGGCGGCCGAGTAGGCTTTTCATCCTAGCCCACATCCGCGTAGATATTATGCTGAACAATCCTCTAGTACATACCAACCGTCGGTGACCTCGTCATCGGGACCGTTCATCATTCAGCAGCTGATTACTTCTACGTCACGCTGTCCAGCTACACTTCGAATGCCGTGCTGCCCCAGCTAGCATTTGAGATGGCCACCAAGAAGACGAAGCCTAACCTGAATCCCGGGGCCTTGGTCTACGCGAGGGTCAGCCTTGCCAATCGTCACATGGACCCCGAGCTCGAGTGCGTCTCGCCGGAAACGGGCAAGGCGGGCGTCCTCGGCCCCTTGATCGGGGGTATGTTGTTCGATATCTCGCCAGGAATGGCGAGACGGCTCTCAATGCGAAAGTATGCCGAAGAAGGCAAGGTCGTCATCCTCGACGAGCTCGGTGCGGCCGGTCTCGCTTTCGAGACTGCCGTCGGTAGGAACGGGAAGATGTGGGTCAACAGCGAGAGCATCAAGACGGTGTTAGCGGCGGGACGGGGCGTGAAAGAGACAGATGAGAAGAATCTCGGTGTCGCGCAGCAAAAGAAGTTGGCGCGCAAACTCATCAAGGATCTGAGCTAGGCAGCGAACGTTTAGGCGGTTATTTCTCGATATTTTAATGATACCCGGATGGTCTTGGCCAAACTGTTGTATTCGGTTCCAACCCTCCATCCCTAGGTCGTACCCTGGCCCATCTCTCATCAAGCAACCTTGACTATATTTGAATACGGAAACAGCCGGAAATATAGGGTCACTAGGGGTACGATTCTGCCGCGCTGGGGTGAAACCGTCAGAAATTCGCTGGCATCCACGAGCACTTACATTAGCAGGATTCGACTTGCCTTACATTGACACTTAGAAACGGCGCCGGCACAGCCACTACGTCACCGTACTGCAAATTGAAAATAATCTAATCCAGGCTATTCCTTACCTTGACACGGGGCCTCACTTTTTTTCAATTTGTTTCAAATAACGGTTCGATTCGTTTCTACGGCATCGGTGGATAGAAAGGATCGCTCCACAAGACTTCTTGCTCTCCGAACCGAAAGTAGCCGTTGTCATCGTCAATGTGGCTCCTGAAGAAGTCCTGGGCCTCTAGGGGCACACCGAGGCCACCCAGGACGCTGGTCTCGCCGGTGAGGACGTTGGTCACGTAGTCCTTGAAAGTTTCGGCAGATGCATTCCGGGCGAAGTTTACGACGGCGGCACAGGTCGTCGCCCAGCTCATGAGATGGCTGGCGTCAAGCGTGTTGGCGCACTGTCGGAACTCGAACACACCTCGCCGCTCGTCTACTGGGCGGAACGGCGGGCCGCCAGGCGGTAGCGGCCATCCGACCTCCTTAGCCTTAGCCTGAACTTCCGCCTCCCCCGGAGCGGGCCCCGTCGTCGGCCCCTTGCCGCTACACTTCGTGACCATCTCTACCTTGCGGGTGCGGAGCTCGGGGTTCATAGCCCTACTAATGTCGTCCACATTCGTGTACATCCAGAGGGAAAGGTAGAAGATCTTGTCCGACAGCTTGTCCTCTGTGAGCAGCAAATCCAAGGGCAGGTATCGCTTCATCTGATCGAGGAGGTAGTCCCGTGTCGTCTCTGACGGGTGTGGTACCACCCCGCGAGGGTCAAAGCCGTCGATCCACGGGACCCGGCGTGACAGGGCGCCCAGAGCAGACTGGGTCTTGAGTGGTCCGCAGACCCGGTCGTACTTGCGGCTAGACCGGTAGCTCTGGTGTAGTCGCATGATGTCCTGGTCTCCGAGGATCGCCATGAGCGTGATGACCTTCTTCATCTCGAGGATGTCGAACCCCGCGGTGTGCGACACGGTGATCTGCGTCGTCACCGGGATGGACTCTAGGTCCTTGTGTATGCAGAAATTGTTGCGCAGAACGCGGCAGAGCCGCTGGACGACTTGGTGGTTCTCCTGAGGCTGCATCCGCAGCACGGGCGATGCCAATTTGATCACCTCCCATCGGTACTGGGTCGCCGGGTTTGACTCGGGGAGGTCCGTGTAGTCCCTGCTCTTCACGGCCGATAGATCTACGTTGTTCATTATGTATACGGAGAAAGCCCTGTACCGTGGCTTCATCCCTTCGAGGAAGACGTGGTCGGGGTCCCTGCGCGCCCGGTAGACCTCCGCCCGCAATAGGTTTGTGAGACGACGATAGATGCGGTTCGTCTCCTTCGCCCCGACTATCCCCCAGGCCTCGATGTTAGGGACTCTATTCACGGCCCTCTCGACGTCGTCCTCGGTCGCCAGCGGAAGGAACCGCCCCTCGTGGGGCCGGAAGGAGCTTTTGGCGAAGACGAGCGCATCTTGCGCCGCACGTTCGCTCCCGGCGCTCACGGCCCCGTCAGCCTCGAGGCTCTCGAGGTTCGCGACCTTGCGCTTGTATAGCTCGTCGTCTTCATCGTTGTCCTTGCCGACGAATACCGAGCCTTCCATCTGCGAGTTGAGGACCTGTAGCATCTGCGCAACTGCGGCTTGCCTGAACACCTCCTTGTCTTCCGTTACGATGTCCGCCTGCCACCGGGTCTCTCTCGGGTGAGGCTTATCTGCCAGCAGGCCACCTGCCGGCGCAACTGCGACAGGCAGCTCGAGCTCGAACCCCCACGTGATGAATCCATGGCTCAGCTCGGGCGCGCCTGTCCCCTCCGCCTCCTTCTCCCTAGCCGGTGGCAGCTCCGGTCGGCGGTGCTCGTCGGTGCGGTCACGCGGGTTGTCGACTGTCCCTGGCCTCGGGGCGACTAAGGATATGACTTCGGGGCCGATGGCGGTAACATGGGAGGGCGGAGCTGAGTGGTATAATAGAGAGGGAGAGGGCTCGGCAGTGGCAGCGGCGTGGGTCTGGCGCAAGACCTCCCACCGGCGTATCTGCTCGCGCCGCGCGGGGCTGTACCTCCGGTCGTCGAAAGGTAGGTTGGCCTCGTCGTAGGCGTGGTGCCGCCGGACCACTTCGTCAATCACCTCGTCGGCGAGGCTATACCACGGGACCCGGTCGAGGTCGTACAACCGCCAGTCGTGGTTGGCGAAATCCATCCGTAGCACACGTACATTCCAGTCGTAAGTTTCCGCGCGTTCGCTTTCCCCGGGGTGTTTCTTGCCTTGTTTCCCCCTCCTCTTATTGCTCGGAGCGTGACGCATACTTATGCGCTACTACGGCTGCTCACTTGCGTCGTGGATACTAACGAAACCATCGCCGTTCCGCTTGCCCAGACCAACTAGCCGACCTTGCCCAAGGACCCAGGTGTCTGCCCTCTAGTTCCGCCTAACGGAGAGAGTAACGTGTCCAATTTGTCGGGCAAATTTCGTGGTGATGGCATAGCCGCCATCGCCAGAGCGGTTGGAGACCGAAAAGGCATACCTATACCTAGAAACCGTCTCAGGACAAAGCGCGCCACAATAACTTTGTTGAAGTGCAGTGAAGTAGCTGCACAGCGCCGAGGCGGCTGGTCTCCCCTCTTCTCTGGAAACAAAGACGCGGTTCTTCCTCGTTGCCCTCAGTCACCTGGTGTCCGACCATGGGCACAGCTAGCTTTTTCCCTTCGCTCACTCAACACGGGCGCGTGGTACAACTGAGCCGGATCCACTGGCTTAGGTATTTTTATCTTTTATCATTCGACTCGGGAGGGTCGCCAGATCTCCCCAACCCTCTCCGCGCCAGGGGAGCAGCGTGGCCGAGTAAACCGCCGCTACCTCCAGACTAGGCGGATTACGCAGGCCTTCTTTATACGCCGTGCCTGCACATCCACCTGGTCCTTTGTCCTCGAAAGATACGGCGGCCTAAAGACAAGCCAGCCGTCAGGCTCTTCGCCGGAGACATCGATGGTGCATCCCCGGCCAAGAGAGATCCGTCCATCTTCGGAGACCGCCGTCGATCTTCCTTTAGAAGACGGAGCGAGAGCCCTCCTCCTCCCTGCTCTTGGCCTTCCACAGGCGCCGCGGGCCGGACACAGGACTGTACGTACTTAGCTACATGCCTTGTCTTCTTTCTTTCTCTCTTTCCTTTCTTTCTTTCTTTCGTAGAAATAGACGGCACAATAACAATCGGATGCATCTCGCCTCGCCAGATCCGTCGCGGGGACCACGGGGCGAAGCATGTGCCACGATGCGCTCGCGCGTGTGGTAGCAGTGCCTGCGTCAAGCAGTCGTAAGCAACCCCGTCATCGCCTCCCTCTGCTCCTCTCTCTCAGCCTCGAGCGAGCGAGCCAGCCAACCGGCCAGCCGTCGCAGGTCCCCGTGGAAATACGACCCGCGCAGGCCACCAATCCCCCCCTTTTCCCGGCATGTATGTGTGGTGTGAGCAAGTCCCTCTCCGCCCTCGCCCTGTGGGGTCCGTCCGTCCGACCTCCCCGTCGTCCCTCTGTCTGGCGTCGTCGTCGTCGGCGTCGTCCCATCCGCTTCTCCTCATCCGCCTTCCCAAAAAAAAAAAAACGCTACCGCTAACCGCCCGACGCGCCGCACCCAATCGCACCCGCACGAAGCCGAGTAAGTACCCCAGGTGCCTACTTGCCTGCCGACAGCTTCCTTTTTTTTTTTCCTTTCACTCTCCCTCTTTTTTTTACGAGCTAGCACCCCGGGAGCCCACAGCGTTGCGTACATGCGTGCTCGCGTACATAGTACCTACAGGACAGGCAGGTTACTTAAAAAGGTGCCTATTTAGGTTCTGGCGATCCGTCGGCGTTGCGGCTGGGCGATACCCTGAAGGCAGTAACGTGGTAAGAGTAGGCCGGCTGGGCTGGGCTGGACTGAACTTGAACTGAACTGACGTCCCGCTGCTGCTACCCAACGCCATCCACCTTGTACCAACCCCAGAGCGCGCACCGGATCTCGGCGAATGCGTGCGACGTAGACGGATTCGATTCCTAGGTAGTGATATCTAGAAAGGAAAGGACACAAAAAGAAAAGCAAGAAAAAGAGAAGCGTGTAGCTAGCAGAACAGGCCATAGGTTGGTTTACATATGTAGACTCATATATATATATATCTAGGTGTACATAGGTATATATCAATTGCGTGCATGCGTGTAGAGATCCGTCGTCGCCGTCGTCCGTTCGACAAAAGTTACTACTGCCACTTGAGACTGGACTTGGTGCTCTCGGGTCTTAATCGAATTAGGGGGGTTTTTTTTTCCTTCATCGTCCTCGCCTTTACTTTCCTGAGAAGAGAGAATCTTCCCTCGCAGTAATAAACACGAATTGGCCAAGCTGGCGGGAAGGGGATCCTTTCACGCCCTTTCGCCCGATCGACTAGGTTTGTCTGGTAATCAATCCTCCTAGCGTTGCTGCTCTCGTAAAAAAAATTTTCTTTCCCCTTTGGATGATGAGGTATCATTTGAAAGCCTGTAAAAGCAACGCGATAGACAAGAGATGACAAGTAATCTTGCAAGCAAAAACAGGGCGTCAACCTCGGATATAGCGCATACCTTCTCCCTTTCGCGTGAGTCCTTCTCCTCTTCCTCTCTCTTGTTCCCTACTCTCTACCTAAATCTGGATCGGCAGCGGCCCATAACCTCTCCCTGACAGACCAGTTCGGCACTGAATTCGGAACCATCGAGAGTCAAGTAGATGTCGAAGTATACTCTGTAAAACGTCCCTTGGGGCGTGTCCATGCGCTCGAAATCCTTTTCTAGGTTCTTGCGCGACAGATCTGACGTGAGGGTGACTACTTCTTTTATACCTGCGAAGCCGGTCAGCAAGCAATGCGCGTGCGGATGGGGGGGGGGGGGGGGGGGGTGGTTATCGGAACAACTTACGGGGATCTTTGGTATACTCTGGGCAACCGTCTTCGTCGCAAGCGTACAGGATGTCCTCGTACATGAGCGTAGCGCCGGGGGCCACCTGTCGGAAAAAAGAAACCTTGACAGGTTCGCCGATCTTGACTTTCTGACCCTTCTGCACAAAGATCTGCCGGGTGAACTTGCACCTGTCCTTGCCGTCGAGCGACGGTACGCGGTACGCTTCGGGGTGATATCCCTCTTTGAATGGCTGCAGAGTGGCCATCAGGTAATGGCGACGAGCGACGCGATGCGTGATGACACGCTCGGTGATGCCGGCGGTCACAGCGCCCTTCACGATGGCGGCGACGGAATCCATAGGTCTTACAACCTTGGACTGGAACTGCGGCGGCACGTGCAGCTTAATTTGCTGGAAGAGGTATTCCGACGCGCCGAAACCACCGACAACCAGGATGTTCTGCAGCGTTCGGTTTTGAGCTTGGATGGCGATGATCTGGTTTCGCACGAGCTCGAGAATGCGGTTCACAACGGGCTCAAAACACTGAAGGATTTCCTCGTTGGTGAACGTCATGTATCCCTCCTCGATGCCCGCCTCGGGGAATTCAGCCTCGATGCCGACATCGACGGCCCATTTTTGACCGTTATTCCTGAAGTCCGCCTTGATTCGGTTCTCGAAATCCATAATGCACTTGGCGTATACGCGGCCCGCGGTCTTGGAACCGTCCGGGAGCTTCATCTTCCGGATTTTGGTCCGAAGAATGTTGCTGAAGTTCCTGTTAAGAGCGGTAGACCCGCACGAGTCCCCAGAGCCCGCCGTGCATTCTGCGACGGTGAAGGGGTTCTCGTCTTCGACTTCGTAGGCAATTAAATCGACGGTGCCGCCACCACAGTCGACGATGAGAATAGCATCGTGGACCTTGAGGTTCAGCAAGCCCGTCTTGGCACAGAAGAGGGACGCAGCCTCGGGTTCGCTGACGAGCGTCAGCCTGTTGTCGTTTTCGTCCCGCAGGAAGCCGGCCTGAATGGCGGCCGCCCGAGTGGCAGCCTTTCCTGCATCATTCCAGATGGCCGGCACGGTCAGGTAGTATCGGATGTTGCGCTCTTCTCGGTTGAACACTTCCCCGAGGGTCTTCTGTAGCGCCGCGCGCATGGCCTGTCGCAGCTTGAATAGGTAGTCTGCGGCCACGTCGATCTCCGACTTTCCCGGCGGTAGGGGCGGTAGGTTGATCGGGTCGATGTAGGTATTGCCCGAGAGCATGAGCTGGAGCTTAAACCATTCTACCTTCTGCACACCCGGCTTCGGGTATCCCGTCGGCGCTAGCGCCTCGGCGATATCCGGTCCCCATCCCACAACCTTCTGGTATTGATCATAATACAAGACGGTCGGGATCTGCTCGAGAGGTTAGCCGCTGCTTCGGCTTCGCGGATTCGACCAGCGGAGAACGTCTCACCTTCTGCTTCGTGTACGACCCGGCGCCGGGCCATTCTGTGATGATATCCTCTTTCGCTTCGTTGTTCGTCGCGAAAGCGAAGGCGACGCCGGAGAAGGTTGTGCCCTAGATACCCCGCCACAGTTAGTCAATTGATACCGCGCGGCTGTCAATTTTGGCGGACGGCGCGTGAGGAGGTGCGGGGAACGTACGAAATCAATTCCGACGATGAGCTGGGCCTTACTCCGACTATTGCCCTCGACCTCGGCTGGTCGCCCGTAGGACTGCATCGCGTTGGCGGGCTGGGGAGTAGGAGCGGGCGGCGGGTAGCCGGCGTATCCGGGCGGGCCGCCAGCAACACCGGGAGGAGGTTGTGTGCCTGGCTGAACGTGCATCGGAGGGTAGCCCGGCACGGGAGCGCCAGTGTTGATGGGAGGAGGACCGCCGACCATCTGGGATGGGGGTGTGCGAGCCGGGTTGGAAGTGAGAGGACTGGTTCGACCGACGGGTGGTTGTGGACCTGGCTGGAAGTTCGCAGTATAACTCGGCGGACGAGGTCCAGCGTTGGGATGGTTCATTATCGGGAGGCTCGTCTGGGACGACGTAGATGTGATGGAGGGGGCGGGACCAGGATGGGGTTGGGATATCTGTGGGAACTGCTGCGCTATTTGAGGCGGAGGGGTCGAAGTCGCAGGCGGTGGCGGAGTATTAGGCGAAGGTATGCTGGCGGTGGATTTCCGTTTACCCAATCCTAGGCCCTTAAAGCGAGAATTCAACGAATTCATAAGGACGTAGGATAGAGGGAAAAGGAAGGAAAGAGGAAAAGAGAGCGAGAGAGCGAGAGAGAGAGAGGGAAGAAAAGGAAAAGGCGAAAGAGGTAGACCGGCTGGAGAGGGTGGGAAGGACTTGTGATCTAAGTGGGATCTGGCTGTGGGATCACTATGCTGATTACTGGGTCGTGGTAAGGCGGGCTGGGCTGGCCTGGGCAAGGGGGGTTGCCTTCTGCTGACGGATCGAGGATGGATGGAACCCAAGTGAGGGAAGGATACGGGAAGAGAATCTGAGCGAGACGCAGAGAGGGAGAGAGAAAGGGTACCGCAGTTCAGGAGGGCTGCTAGGCTCGGGTCGGCTCCATAAACGAGAGTGGCGGGACGAGAGTGAGCGCGAGAGAGTCGCTACGGAGAGAGAGACGGGGAAGAAGAGGGTGCTGGCGTTGCTGTTGTTACTGCTATAACTTGCGTTGCTGGGCTGGCGGTGTCGCCTAACAGTGTACGTGCGGCGCGCGTACGTGTATGTATGCTATGTGCGTGTGAATATGTCTGCAACGTGTGGAATGAATCCTTTGTACCCACGTTCGCACCTTGGCCTCAGGCAGCGAAGATAGTAAGTAGCGAGGAGACTAACCGAGCGAGCGCGGATGCTGCAGCGCCTAGGAGTCCTAGGTGGTGTGTTCAGTACCCTGAGTCGTCTCGCAGCGCGGGAGGGTCCTGTAGTGCCTTAAAACCCCTCCTAGGACTTCTGGGACGGGCTTGAAGAGAGGCGGGAATGCGCTTGGCTGGGCTCGGACGGGTTTGAGATAGGTCCGGCGGGTGAGAAAATAGCAGTAGTCTGTGGGACGCTACGGTCAAGAGCCAGGGTCTAGCGTTTGCGGCACCAGGTCGTCTCGCTCTCGCGCTCTCCCTCTCTCGTCGATTCAATGTTACCGTGGCTTGACGGGCCCGGCTGCTGCGCTGGAAGACGGTTCGCGTAGGTGGTCGTAACGGACTGCGAAAGAATGCAGAGTCAGGTCTCCCAGCACATGATCTGGGCACTGTACATACATGCATACACGTACTTCGGAGGGGGGAAAGGTCCAGGATAAATCGTAAGGCTGAAGGCGAGTCCTGTTGACGTGGGCGAGGAGAGTGGTAAAGTCCTAGATTTGTAAGGAGGGGGAGTACAGGGAGGGACGAGGGCCTGTAGGTAGGGTAAGGTGTGGGCAGGGAAGATGAGACGATGCAGCGGCCAGACAATACGACGTTGTGGAGTGCCCAGGCGTGTAGAGGTATGTAGTACCTATATATGCATTAGGGATAAGTTGGGGATTGGGGGTTGTGGTGGTGACAGTGGCGACAGTGCAATAATAACTCGAAACTCGGAAAACTGGCCGCTTTCTTTATCGTCCCAACAACCAGATTCGTCCGTTCATTCATTCATTCACCCGCCTGCCCGTCCCATTCAACTCTGGATGGGTTTGGGCCAACCACCTACCAGCACAACCCGACGAGCCACCCGACACAGCTTACGTACGTAGGCCCGGCCGTCTCCTACACAGATACGGATCAGAGCTGGCTGGCGCGGCCTCGCCGTCCAATAGCTGGTGACTCCCGTCGGAGGTTTTATGCGAGTAAGCGCTCGCGAGAGTAGTCAACCTCGATATGGGAAGGATAACCGCGCAGCAGGGATTTGCGAAGGATGCTTCGATGCTCGCGGCCGGCGCTGTGGCAGCTCGGTATATATCTCCCTAGCGCCACGTGAAGCCCCCGCGAAACGACGAGGCGGGAGGGCTGGCGTGAGTGCGTGTCTGCGGTAGTGAATATGGGTAGCGAGGTAAGCGGCCAATGTTTTACACGATGACGACAACTGTCTCGCCCGTATGATAAAGGGGAGAGGGGGGAGGGGGGGAAGGGATTTGGCGTCTTCAGGTCTCTCTCCCGCTCTGTCCTCCGATTTAGCATCACCGAGAGTCGGGTCCCGTCTCTCCCTAGTCACAAAGCCGTCAGAGGCCTAAATAACGGAGTACCTAAGGGTTACGGCGGCGAGCGGTGGACGTGACGATCGTCCTTCGCACAGGATAGATTACGTAGGATAGGATGCGAGGGTACCTATAAAGCTCCAACGCCTGGTTTGCTAGGCAAGTACCTAACGTATAGCGCAGCAAACGGCCAAAGTCCTACTACAGGTACCTACCTAGATGTAACTACCTATACTACGTGTACTCACCCACGTGGGCCTGGGTTCTTTAACGAGGGACGGAGTCTTCATCGAGCCGGAGGAGACGCCAATACCACCAGCCGTTACTACGTCGTAGAGAGGTAGGGGGCCAGGTCCGGTCAGGTATAACCAGGTATGACCTTAGGCAGTCGATCACTCTGTTCCGGCCGGCTGGTCTGTAGGACTCGTCGAATCTGTAGCGTTGAGAGGTAACGCTGTTTTAAGAGGTTGGACTCGTCAACATGGCAAGTCACCGCCTTGCGGGTACTCGAGCAGCCAATACATTGTTACCGCGCGAGGAGGGAAAGAGCTGGCGATGTTGAAACATGTACCTAGAGGGAGGGCCAAGAACAATAGAACCTTGGGCGGGCAACATCTGGGAGTTGGGCCCATTACACAGCTCCATAACCTGGGTAACTCTCCATAACTCCCCATAACTCCCCATAACTCCCCATAACTCCCCTTACCTACCGACGTATCTCGAACGGCAACCTAGAGAGGTATGTAGGTACATATGCATATGAGGTATAGAAGAGGTCCGGCCGCCGGTGCTGCCGCCCAGCCAGGCTCAAACCATCCCTCCTAGGCATACGCTAAGGAGGTAGGTACTCGCTACCTCATTACCTCACACCTGCCTACGATTCGATACATGCTTGCCTGCGCGAGACAGCCGCACGAAAGACGGTATCTCGGATGCCTTCAGCAACCGCAGCCAGGTATAGGTACTCAGGGACCTCCATCCGGGGACGGACCGTAGATGGATCTCGCTAAGTACCAAAGAATCCGCGACTATTTCCGGCGAACGCGAGCTTCATCTTGCCTAAGTAGTGAATTGTTTTTTTTTTTAATACAATTTAAAATAACACGAAACAAAAATAAAATAAACCCCCCAAGCAGGTACTCGAAACGCACACTAATTTCCCGCATGAACCCTTTGTTGGCGCCCGATATGAAGAACCTACCTCTGGGTGCCTAGAGGTACCAAGTACATATACGTAGGTACATAGGTAGGTACCTACCCAGGTCAAAGGTACCTAAGTACCTAACCCCCTCAGGTCTGCCCATAGGTCGGTGCCTATTGGTGCCCGACCTCGAAGTACCATCCATTGTGACGGCGCAGACCTGGACATGCACGGTCCCATTACCTAACACACCAACCCTATCCTCTACTCTACTATATATATTATATTATATTTTATATGTACCTACACATATATGGCCTTGAGTTAGGTAGGTACTTGCAATGCGAGGTCAGCACCCATCGCCCTGCGAGTTATCTCCGCTTTTTGGAGCCGGAGGGGGGCTTGGTCTCGAAGCTCAGCCTCAATATTCACAAGAGACCCATTTGGCTTCCAGATGGCAGCAATCTTAGCTAAGATGTGAGCTTGGAGAGTTGCAGGTCACATTGGATACTTGGGTACCTAGGTTAGGGCACATACCTGGTGCACAGTTACTACCTACCTTAGGTAGGTAATTGTAGTGCACATGAACATACCCAAACCTTTTTTTTTTTTTTTTTTTTTTAAATAAAATCAGCCTCTAAAAGTCCGCTTCGCTAGAATCTATCATACTCAGTAGATACCATCTTCTTACCGTCTTCTACCGGCCGGTAGCGTAGGCATCCTGAACCTAACCCATCCTACCGCCTGGGGTCTTATCTTCCTCTCGTCTTCCTGTCTCTCGCGCGTTCTCTTTTTCTCTCTGCCTCTCTCCTCGCCAAGTTCCCACCGCGAAGTTGGCCGCCGTCCCGAAACCACCACGGCTCGGCCGTTTCCCTTCTACTGCGATGCCAGTCTTCCATTGCATGGAACGCACGTGCTTACGACGAGGTCGGCATCCTCACAGCTTGAAGGATTGACCAGCTGCATACAGCACTGTTTCATCGTCTGGCAAAATGCTACGCAGTGTCTCTAGAGCCACGCCGCTTGCATCGCCCCCATGTCTAGCTATCCCCTTCGAGTTCTCGCTGCTCACGTCAGTCGACCGAGATACTGTCACCTTCTTACACAGGAACAGCTGCTTTCCCTCTGGTACCTTGCATATTGTTGCACTAGGCCGTAGCCTTGAGTACCCAAGCACTTGGATGAGGGTCCGTTACCCTATGTTTCGGTCAGCTTGCGCACTATGACGGTCCTGCCGAGCCTGGACTCGGCCGTCGCCGACGAGACAGCAGGGCCTGCCTGAAGTCGGGGGGGTGGGGGCTTGGGGTCCATCGGACCACGTTATGCTAAGCAACAGCCCCCGAGCCGCCTCGTGGGAGGAATTGTTGGTGACTTCTTGTAGTTTGCTTGATCTTGGCTGTCCCGTCATCCTCGGGGCCGCTTGCTTGGTAAAGGATCGTTCGGACCCCTTACACAGAGCGGCCAGGCCTCGGCTGTATCCCTTGAATATTAGGTATGATCCCTACGTGGGAGAGCGCACTAACCCCGCCGAGACGTCAACTAGTGGCATGGCCGATAAACAGCAGATATGAGTGTTCATCCCGCGGAATAGCTGATCCGTCCACACTTCCCTATTGACTGCGGATACGACCATTTCCGCCCTGGCGTCTACATACCTCCTTTCGGGTACGCGATCCCACTGAGCAGTTCAATATCCGTTGCACACCGCTGTTCTGGCTGAATTTCAAGCACTCAACGGAGGCCTAATGGGGCAACGGTGGAGGAAGTGCCAGTAGTAAATCCATCGGGCATCAATGCCGGCAGTATCTCCGCCGCCTAGTCGAGAGCACCCGCGATCAATAGGATAATCCGGGGCATGCTAGAGTCTACGCCGGCCACCGTTATTCCGAAATAGCAGGTTGGTCGTCGGGTTATCGTCGCCGAATGTCTTCAGTGTACCTATACGTGTAAACTGCCCGTAGACCCGATAGATATCTAACCCGGCTCACTGCTTGACAGTCGTGGCAGAAGTCTCCTGTATGCAACGGCCGAAATGCACGTGAAAGCGAGTGTCCGTTCGCCACCCCGGGCGGGGTGGCGAGGGGTTAAGCGTCAGCTATCGTGGGACAATAGGGCTGAGGATAACGCCGGGAGCCGTATCAACCGTGATGGATTGGTCTCTAGCTGCTAGGGTTGTTTATCATCGCTCGTTGTGGGCGGGTCTCTGGTTATACCAACTATTTCCCAATCTATCACGACTGTGGTGTTTGAACAGAAGCCACGCGAAGGCAGCGGTGGGAGTTGCTAGCCGGCCGAGGCCACCTCTTAGTTGATTCGTAGCCGCTATAATTGCTATCCGTGAATAAGGTGCTCCCATTTACACCGAAGACCCGCGCCTACGGGAGTTTCGTCGAGGCGCTGTTCGGTAGATTGGCAGGCCGGCCGTTATGATAGCAGGGCCGCACCATCGGTCTAGCACGGTTAGCGCCCCCTTCCTAGACGTCGTCCGGGGTGGGGATGTCCTTTCGTTGTTCATTCCATCGCGTGATCGAGGTATCATACGCGATATCGCCGCGATCACGGGTATGGGCTTCTTCGGCGGCGACTTCGGCGGCGATGATAAGCGGGATGTGCTCTCTTTATCTGCCGCGGCGGCGTGAGTTCGGGCTTGGGAAGACGGTGTCAAGAAACGGGAATGCGTGCAAAAGGGTGGTGGTTGGGACGGGCATAAAGTCACGAACGGACACCTAATTGCGTAACCTGTATATGTAGGTGCCCGCAAAGCTAACACCAAGGATTGCAGTATCTGTATGCTTGTCTTCTCCATCGTTCTCCTGACAGAGAGTAGAGAATCGGCAAGATTTCTACGATGCCGGCTTTTCTCGAGGTGCCTCTATTAGTAGCTGTAGTACGTCATCAGCTCAACCTGCACGTTGGATAAGGAGGTTTGTAGGTACCTACCTCCTCTCTGTAGCCTCCGTGTGGGTATGCGCTTACGTACATATGCACGTGTATGTACATCTCGTACGCGTAATTACAATACATACATATAACAAGGCCTATACATCTATTAATAACAGGCCTCACGCAAAAGATGTCCCGGCACCCTTGTCTCTTGCCTCCCTATTCGCTCTCCCTGCTCTTCGTCGCGCAGATGGGTTAACCTGCTACGGGCATGATCGGGACCTGGTAATCAAACATGTTCCATCTAGCACATACTTACCATAAGCCGGTTCCACGCAATCGCAATCTCGATGCGACCTCCTAACCGTCAAAACGACAGCTCTCACCATCCACGGCCGTGTCGGTTGTCCGACGGATGGTTTTCGCTTCCTCTGGAGGGAGCTGACGCCGGTGACTTCGGAGCGACACGAGAGAGGCCGAGAGAGCGAGCGCGAAAGTATAGAGCCAGGGAGAGAGGGAGACGGCGAGGAAGAGGGAGAGGCGAAGGGGGTCTGCTACCAGGGCGCGAAGGAAATGTGTAGGAAATGCCTCTCGTCGAAAGCACCAGAGCTGCGACACGCTGGATCACCCGCGCAGTCCCCCCGATTCTGGCCGCGGCCGTGAGCTACGCAACTTATGTTGTTGTCGGGCGCGTCTGCTGTATGTTGCGGCCAAACTCGCCCTGAAGCCTCGACCGGACCGGATTGTCGCTAACTATCCTCGGGAAATCTAGCCAGTGACCTCATCAACACGCGAGGCGATGTCGGCCCAGCCATTGCCATCCTCGTCCTATACTTTCTGCTCCTACTCTTGATGATCGCTACCTATCTCCGAACCCTCACCACCGTCCTGCTCGATCCTGGGCTCGCGCCCCTCGGCCCACTAGCGGTAGACCGCAGGAAGAAAGAAACCGAGAAACGAGCGCGAGCGCATAGGCGGGACGACCTCGAAGGCCAGCCCTACTACACCGGTCCCGATCCCAATCCGGACAGCCCGGGCCTAGAACAGTTCTACACCAAGGACGTCTTCGTTTGCGAGAACGATGGCCGCCCCAAATGGTGCTCCGAATGCTGCAATTGGAAAGCGGACCGAGTCCACCATAGTAGCGAGATCAACCGATGCGTCATGCGCATGGATCACTACTGTCCGTGGGTCGGTGGTATGGTCGGGGAGAACTGTGAGCCACAATGCACGCTGCCCTACGGAAATATCGAGGGGTTACTAACGGTCAGCCCGCAGCTTTCAAGTTCTTCGTACAGTTCGTCATGTATACCGCCTGCTACTGCGGTCTCGTTCTCGGAGCCGTGGGCTCTAGCTTCCGCAGGGGGTTGAATGAGGGCATCCCGCTGGATCCCCATTCTGTAGCGGTCCTCGCCCTCGCGGGATTCTTTGGACTCTTCACGTCCCTGATGACCATCACATCAACACGATACATCATCTACAACATGACAAACGTAGACATATTAGGGTATCACTCCAAGGTGTATCAACTGGCGGTTTACGTGCCCCGCGGCACCGAATCGACGGACAGATACTCCACAGTAACCTACCCGCTTCCGCGGCCCGGCGAATCGGCCAACAGCCGTTCCAACAGCGCGGCGGGCCCCCGAAATACCGAAAGCGGTAGCAGCTTCGGCATACGCCCGAGTCACTCTCGCCCCACCGCCCGTGACGATCTAGCAACCCGGACTTTCGCGATACTCAAGACCGAACCGGGAGAGAACCCGTGGGACCTAGGCGCATGGCAGAACTGGCAGGCTGTGATGGGCGTTCGCGTTCTCGATTGGTTCCTGCCCTTCCGAAGGTCGCCATGTGTCAATCACGAGAGTCATGCTAGTTTCTACCCTATGGGTCACGTCTTAGACGATATTCGCGCGCGATATAATCTCCCTGACACTGCGATAAATGACGGCGCGGGCCTCGAAATGAGGGAGCTCCGAGCAAATCGGTTTTCAATAGCACATTAATGATACCCCCCTTGGGAAACTGGAGTTTGACACGGGTTTGGGGGATTCGGGACCTGGCTATACCACACGGCATTTTGGTATCATTCATACCTACAGTATATAGATAGAGAGAGAAGGGCGAGTAGGTATCGCCTACCTATTAATGGCGTAATTGAAGTAATCCTAGCTCGAGAATGGGCATCTGTCAGATCCGTGACTAGGTTGTCAGCGGCTTGTCGTTTCGATCCAGCCTATAAGAAGATTTCCCTCTGCCGCGTTCCAGGATATGACAGCAGTAAAACAGGCGAACTTATGTGTGCTACGTACCTATATACAGCATATGCGGTAGGTTGGGCTCGTATTCCCGGCGTTCATTTTACGGAAATACAATATGTCCTTCACATTAGAACACCTCGGTATGTCAACAGGCATTTCGCGGGACATTTTGTTGGACGAATATACGCCGTCCGTCTACCTATAATGAACTACACTTTCTACTAGCCAACCAACACACCCACAGAAACTACCACTATGTACCGACTAGGTATGGATCGTAATGGGGGCTAGAATAATGGCACAAGCTGTTAGGAAGACGAAAGTTAAGGTGCAGCACATACGCACACGGACCGGGACTTCTTACCTGCCACCTACTCGGCCTTTGCACGTGATGTTAATGCTACATACTATACCTACATTAAGGGGCAAAAGGGGGCGGGGGAGGAAACTCTCCCTTTTCTTCTTATTCCCCCCTTTTACGGAGCCTCGCTACGATTCAGTTCATCTCCAGCAACAGTATCGTAGATCTATTCACTTCGGATTCTAACACTTGTAAAGTTGAAAGTCCGGACTTTATTAAAAGAGCGTATGCTGCCTATACCCGATTCGGTATCATGGCTAATAAACCTAATCGTAGGTGTGTTGGTGCGGGAGCGCCCGATATCTCATCTAACAACAGTAGCTGAACGAGGGCAATAACGACAGAAAAGAAACCGAGCCTCTATATAGGTAGATGAAAGAGACCTCCAAACCCTCCGCAGCCAAAGCCTTATATTAGCTAGGTTGACCTGTTTATATTGAGACCCATTTCTCGGCATCCAAACGTGGTGACTACTGACGAACGCACTCGTCACACCCATGAGAATTATGGCTGCACTCCGGGCATATTATCCTGTCCTCGCCATAGACTATGAAGTCATGTGTCCCCCCACAATCGGAGCACTCGATCGTTTCGGTTTGTTCATCAGCAGGTGGGTTGTCTTGGACGTCGTCGGGGTCTTGTGGATCATTTTCCTCGTCCCTAGAGCTTGTCAGGTGAAAACTTTCAAGTTGTCAACACGGCCTCCTACATTTTGGCGAGCCAAGGACGAAGCACACGTCGTTTCTTCGTTTGTAGAAGAAGATATAGTCTCCAAGATGGAAGCAATTCGATAATGTTGAGATAGATATCGAGACGAATCGTCTTGTCGACTCTGGCTTCTTGATCTAGCTCAACTGACCATGCCAGAGACTCGATGTCCCCTTTATAGAGGAGGGGAAGCATAGGTATGAAACCTCAAGCCTCACGACAGGGTCATCACAAGTGTAGTATTACTGAGCATATTCTCCTATGCGGCCACCAAAAGGCCTCTCTGATAGAGCAGAAAAGCCGCAGAGCCTCTTGATTCTATGTCCGATCTCTTGCTTAGACTCTCTAGTCCTTCTATTATCTTCAAGGTGTTTTCTCCCCACGCCATAACGTTGCGGATGACAGGATCTGTCTTCCATCTGACACATGCGACGACGCCTCCGGTAGGCAATTCGGAGGCTGTGTGTGACCGCCGAGGCCTCACCTTCGGTATGAAAATGTGCTGCGGTTGCTTTTGCTGTAGAGGCCCTACGTCGACGGAGGAGTTATGGGGCTAGAGGAACCTTTTCGAATGGAGCTAGGAGCTCCGAAGCAGGACCTCGACCCAGGAATATTTGAACCCGGGAAGGGTCGTCCGCTTATTTTCGTGAGCTTTTGAGGAGAACGGGTCCGAATGTGGGTGAGGCTAGGAATATTTCGTCGGATGGTCGTTAGGGAGACTTCGACAGTTCAACCGCGGGTACTAGCTATGTGTATTAGGCGCTAAATGGGCAGTCGGCCCCGACTGTCTGGTTCGTGATATCCTAAGCCCACACTCGATGAAAAGTGCAAGAATAGGAGAGCTCCACCGACCTCGTCCAAGGAGATCATCAATCCTACGAGGCAGCATGATGCGATTACCACGTCGCTGCCTTCTCATGAGAGTAAAGGATGTGTAGAGAGGTGGGTAGAGGACACACCGCCCCCTGGGACGATCCGAATCCCATCGAGTCAATGGCCGCGGAAAGCTAGGTAGGCACGCATGCGAGAGAGGCCTCGTGAGTCCAAAGTTGGCAACTCAAGCTAGCGGTACTTTCCATCAAGGTTCACCTCGCCGAAAAGCTTCACCGCGAGAGGACAGAGCGTTGGGATGAGTCGTCTCGGAGCAAACTGGGGGCCTCAGGGCAAGGCCTTGGCCCCTGAGAAGCACGGTTGTGGCTCGGTCCAAGCCATAGTTTCATATATTGGATCTCGTTTACGAATCCAGTGAGACTAGATGATGATTTTGGCGATGTCACCGAATCGGGGCCATTCTTGGCTCAGAAATGTTGGAACCGGCGGGCAGGTAGAGGCGTGCGTCTGCGACTCGCACCAAGTGTACCTTGCGCATTCTCCCCTCTACTGCGGATAGACTGCTTGATAATATCACGTACCGACGCCACGGATGTCCAATAAAGTAACCCGTAGCCATGACCTATACGATATCCACCGGCACCGGACGGTTGGGTTCTCTCGTCACCTGTCCCTGAGATCCGATCCCCACGTACCGACTACGATATATCTACCCAACTTGACCCCCAACGCTACCGACTCTATACTAAGCCTACGAACCGGAAGAGGCAACGATACAGGGACCAGCATCGTTAATATGGGGAACGTAGGAAACACGCGCTCGGTTGACATACGTGGGGCAGACATGCTTATAACATGGGGGCCACGCTACGGGGCCCGATCAATGCCATCATCCCAGCCTTACCGGGAGTAGGGCTCGGATCCCCCGTTGAGAGACGGTTTGTACTAATGCCTAGCTGTAACGGCATAGTGACAGGCTCGTGGGAGATTTCGGTAGATGTGTGATAAAGATCTCAGACAGTCAGATGACGAATCTTACGGCTGCCCGCATCGGTGGTCCGAAAGGGGGATAGCGAGACTAGCCACAAGCGACATGGGTGCTCGGCTCACGAAAGTCCAGCAAAAGGGGCCGCCGACGCGCTCTCAACGGGGGTATAATCCCCCGAGGGACCTAGTGCCTTGCTAGGTATACCTAGGTATGATAGGACGAGACTGCGGTTGAAATATATGCACTCCGTACTAGAGTATTGATCTGTTCTACAAGGAGACATAAATTGGGCTGCTGCGAGGGGTGGTGGACGCCATGGATTGTCATGTGGGTGGCACATGTTAGCCGCAGCAGAGCCTCATTTCCAACCCGGTCAAGCCTCAGATCTGCGCACAAGTCAATGTGAATGCGCCTCTCTCTGCGAACAACCCACTAGCCCGCCCTTTCTGCTGGTGCGTATTGTTACGCTATTCCGGGCCTGTCTCGAGACGCTCATTTATTATCTCGAGTCAATAAATACCAGGCAATTCCGGAGATAATATTTGTAGCGAAAGAGATGCTGTAGGCATAACGTTGTTATGGCCGTTCTACACTGCCGAAATCTCGACCTTGTAAATGAAACCGGGCTTCCCTGTCCGAGCCCGCCTACCTCCCTCTCTCATCAGCGGCTAACGTGCAAAAGGAGGGGGCCGTGCCGCCCAGCTTCATCGCGCGCCATCGCCCTTCCCGGTATGATGTGCTCGATTGCGCCAGGAAAGCCAGGTACTCGGAGGACAAGGCACGTAAAGAGGCGGCTTGGCTGGTCTAGGAAGGCTCACGCGACCCGGGCAAACCGAACATTATTGCGATATCGGCGGTGAAGCTTTCTTTCGTTAGGAGACCGACACCTGTTCAGGTTGTCCAGCCAGGGACGTCTTCCTTTTCTTCCTTGCCTTCCTTAAGGGGGTCGCGGGCCGCCGCGGGTCAGCGATGTATAAGGATCCCAAACTACCTACCTAGTGAGCAGCCTTCTACTGGAACAGAAGGGACAGGCGCAGCTAGCCGGTGTAAGACTATTACGTGAGGAGCGAGGAAAAAGGAGAACTTCTGCAAAAGAACCCTCATGCTTCCTCAGCCCGCTCTATAGGTAACTAACAGTTACGGCCATGACGAGGAGGCACTCCAGCCCACGACGCTTTTCCGAAGAAACAAGCGGTCTACGGCGTGCGTGACGGCTTCTTAATGCATGAGATGATGCGGAGGAAGGAGAGGAAGAAGAGTGGTTAGATAGGGCAATAGCAGGTTACGAGGATGATGCTATGCGAGGAGGGAGGCTGCTCTCCTGCGGGTTCCCGCGCGAAGGACACGATAGGTTCATGGCGTAGGGTGCGGGATAGAAGGCCATTGCGGCCGTGCGCATATAGAGAGTTTCCTAAAAGGGATGCTGACATTGTTCGATCGCCGTTGATAGACCGACGCTGAGGATAGTTAAGAGAGGAGAGATAGCAGAGTGGCGGCCTCCAACCACAACTCCCACGGAGAGTTACATCGTGAATGGCATGACATGTCTGGGAGGGGGGGCACCCGCGCAAATGAAGGCTCGACGTGGGAATGTTAGTCCGCCGACGGGGTCTACTCGATCACATACCTCTCGTAGCTAAGGGGAGCCGGCTCTCGCCTGTCGGTAGACCTATGTTTGGATCTATCTTTGTGTATTTGGTCTGCGTATCCGACGATGGTGACAGCTCTCGCCTCACACCGGACAAGACGTAGGTAGCGAAGAAAGCGAAGGGGCGGTATCGTAGACTATCATCCAATAGTAGTAGCTAGCCGACCCATGGAGGAAAGGGATCGGACGCCCAATCAACTCCGCTTCGGCCCCGTCCCCTAGCCGGACTACGACGAGAGTAGATGAGAATGGCTTCCGGAAACAGCCCTAGGACGATAGATCCCACCCACTACGAAATGGGCGATGGAAAGTTTGGGGGATGTGAAGTAGGGGAAGGGGAAGAAGCGATAGGACAGTAAAGGGAGGGGAGGGAAGACGAACGAGCAGGGAGGAGGGGCCAGAAGGGGGTTGCTAGCAAGACGAAGAAGCTACAAACAGGTAGGTCATGGAAGAGGTAGGTACCCAGGCAGGTATTTAGGCTTGGGTACCTCCACATGGGTAGGTACCTCATGCCTGCCTAGCCCACCCGTTACGTAGGTAGGTAGGTACCTACCTACCCAGTACCCAAGGTCCGTAAGGCTGGGTACATCCCTACCTCTGGTAGAGGTATTATGCGTATGTACATAGGGTACCTGATAGGTACCACCCACGTACCTAAACTATAGGCGCCCACCTAGGTACGTACCGACCTCCCTCTTGATTACATAACACAGATGAGTCACGTCACATGATTGCCGTCCTGCCTTGTTCCCGCTTTTCTCTTTCTCCCATCTTTCCTATGTTTTGTGCCCCTAGTTTTCAGCCCTGCCTGGGGGTACCTAGTACCTACCTCTACCTCCTAACCTCCTAGGTACGGGTTATGTATAGTAGGTACTTAGGTACCTAAGGTAGACTAGGTCTAGGTAGGTATCGGCATCCGCGACGCGTTTAGTCTCTGGCAACAAATCCTCAGTTTTTATTCCTCTTCTTTTCCTTCAATTCCCTACCGCTCTCGCCCTCCATGCTTCTCCCCATCGCCATCCCCGGAGATCGCCATCGTTCGTCACGACTTGTCCGGGCCGACCCGGTGATCGATTTAGCTGCCGCGTCTACCTGCGATCCTTGCGCTCCGACCACGATGAATCTGGAAAGAGCTCCGTCCGTCTCCCTGGTCGTCTCCCTGGTCGTCTTCCCGGTCGTCCCTCTCCGTTGCCCACGGACCTGAGAGCTGCCGTACTAGGCTATCTCCGGCAGCCCTGCCATTCAGTTCGGCATGCCCTCGCCCCCGTTCCAGATGTCGTCGCCGCTTCACGGCACCGAGCGGAGGTCCCAGTTCACGTACCGGCAGCTAAACCTGCTGGCGTCCTATTCCACCTCGTCGCCTCTGCGCGTGGTCGCGCACATCGATCTCGATGCTTTCTACGCCCAGTGCGAGATGGTACGTCTCGGCGTTGCTGAAGACCAACCTCTAGCCGTCCAGCAGTGGTGTGTTTCATTTTGCCCTCCCCTCGCCACCTGTGCGCATCGCCTCCATTGGCTCACAAGAAGTGCAGGCAAGGGCTAATCGCGGTCAACTATCCCGCTCGCGCGTTTGGCATTGGTCGCCACTGCACCGTGACGGACGCGAAGAAGCTCTGCCCCGGGCTGCTGGCGCAGCACGTCGCTACCTGGAAGGAGGGCGATGATCGATGGGCGTATCACGAAGACGCGGCGTCTCAGATCGGAACTCACAAGGTCTCCCTGGATCCCTACAGGCTTCAATCACGCAAAATCATGACGCTGATCAAGGAGAGTCTCCCCCCCGATCTGCAGAAGGTTGAGAAGGCAAGTATAGACGAGGTCTTCCTTGACCTGTCCGCTCAGGTTCATTCCATCCTCCTACAGCGATTTCCCGAGCTTTCCCGCCCTTCCCTCGCCGATGATCCCTCGGAGAGACTGCCTCCGCCCCCGATAACCGCTCTCGACTGGCAGGCTGACGCGCTCGTCGACCTGGAGGATGCAGAAGCCGAGGCTGACGATCCAGACTGGGACGACGTAGCTATTCTCATTGGGTCGGAGATTGTTCGAGACATACGAGCCAATATCCGCCGAACGCTGCGCTATACCTGTTCCGCGGGCATAGCAGGCAATAAAATGCTCAGCAAGTTGGGCTCTGGCTACAGGAAGCCCAACCAGCAGACGGTCATACGGAATCGGGCCGTGAAACGCTTCCTGTCCGACATGAAATTTACTAAAATTCGCAATCTGGGAGGCAAACTCGGAGAACAGATCGTTTCGGCTTTCCACACGGAGGCGATCGAGGATTTGCTGCTGGCGCCGGTAGAACAGATGAAGCGGAACCTAGGAGACCACACGGGAGTCTGGCTCTACAATACGATTCGCGGGACTGATGCGACAGAGGTCAACTCGCGGACGCAGATCAAGTCGATGCTGTCCGCTAAATCCTTCAGGCCTAGCGTCAATAATTACGAGCAAGCGGTCAAGTGGCTACGAATCTTTGCCGCGGACATCTTCTCGCGATTGGTGGAGGAAGGCGTCTTGGAGAATAGGAGGCGGCCGAAGACGATCAGCCTACACCATCGCCATGACGGGCAGACCCGCTCACGACAGAGTAGCATCCCCCAAGGCAAGACGCTCGACGAAGCAACGCTGTTCGAGTTAGCCAAGAGCCTGCTCAGTCAAATTACCCAAGAAGGTAGAGCGTGGCCATGTGCCAACCTGAGCCTTAGTGTCGGGGGGTTCGAAGACGGCATCACTGGGAATAGAGGTATAGGCGACTTCTTATTGAAGGGGCCTGGGGTACACGAATCGGGGGAAGCCCCTCGGGACGCTTCGGTAGAACTATCCGCGCATGAACGGCCGGAGAAGAAACGGCGGGTCGATAATCCCGGTATCCAACGATTCTTTCCTAGGAAGAGGGGTTCGTCGGGTGGGGACGACGAGGGAAATATCGACGTCGGCATGGCTGATACGGGTAAAGCCCAGATTGAGACGAGGGGGACGTCGCCAAAGCGAACGGGAAGTAACCCGAAGCCAATGACGGATTACATGTGTACGCGCTGCGATGCAGGGCTCGTGGATGCCGAGGCCTTGCAAAGTCACCTCGACTGGCATTTCGCCAGAGACCTCCAGGAGGAAGAACGTGGCAGGCAGACATTTGCCAGGAGCCACGCGGGAGCACCACGCGGCCAGAGATTTGTAGCCGCGCCATCTTCGTCTAGAAAGTCGGCGAGAGGCAGTGCCTCGGGCAAGAACAAGCTCGAGCAAGGGCAGAGTAGATTGAAGTTTGGGTGAATCCATTTTTTTGGTCTCCAGGTAGCTTGCCGCTCCCTCGAACGGAGCGCCGCATGCATTTCCCCGTGAACCCAGTCGTGTCATCCTGTCCCTAAGCCCTCTAAACGAGGGCCCCCGTACTTTTTTGTTTCCCTTTCATCTATGTCTACCCGACCGTTAGGAGAGGGAGGGACAGCCTATCGACGAGGATTACATGGAGTCGAGGGGGGGCCTCGAAATAACAGGTCGACCCCTACTGCTTCCCCTCCCCCTTTTCCCCTTAAATGCCCTCCGCCTCTCCACTCTCCCCATCCCGTGGGCGAGAGGCGGCGAAGCTACGTACAGGCTCTCGTCGTGGGCGGCGATGGCTGGTGCTGATGGCGAGCTATTCGAGGTCGGCAAAGCGTGCTCGGGCAGCCGGCGCGGAAGCGAGAATAGTAGCCCAAGAGAAGGAGAAAAAATGTCGGTCAGCAAGACCCACAGCCAACCCAGATACGTATGTGCGTGTGTACGACTGTAGCATATCAGCAGTGCGGAACACATCAACCTAGTCGCGTTAGAAGGCATTCGCTGTCCTGCACGCATGGCTGGATCCAATCTTCGGTCGCATCCGGCTTCCCTAAACCAAACGCAGGAACGCAGGATCCGGAAACGCGTACAATCGTGATTTCGCTGCGCGAGCACAATTTGTGGGCCGCGATCCCTGGGCACGCGCGGGTCTCACGAGCGCTCTCTATCAGCTACTGGTGGCCCTATGTAGAATCACATGCGGCACGCACACGAGGTGACTGGGCACCTACCAAAGACACGAGACAGCAGAGTCGCCGTAGAGGCCCTACGAGCATAAAGGCAGAGAGAGAGGAGTTGTGCGACGGCGCGGGAGGAGGCAGCGGGAGGCGCCTGGCGGGACGGGAAAAGGGGAATTGGGGGGTTTACACGACGACCCGTCTCTCGCAGCTCTGGATAGCGGCCGGATCCATTCGACGCGAATGGTGTCGCATGGCGACACCGCACCTAACACACAGGAATGACGAGAGCCACGAGAGCCAACCTGTGTTGTTCTTTTTTAATCCTCAGCAACTTCAGATTCGGTATTGTCATCATGTCAGAGGGATGGGGCTGAGGCTTGCGGTGATTGGCCGACCGGGGTCTTGGGCACCCACGATGCAGAGGCCGGGTCCTACACACACGCGCACACACGTATATTTTCAGGCTCGGGTGCATTGATACCCAACGGTGAGGGAGGGAGTGAATGAATGAGAGAGAGTGAGAGAGAGAGAGAGAGGAAGAGGAAGAGGGAGAGAATTGAGGATGAGCCAGTGGGCGAGTGGGCGAGCATTTCCAACTTTTTTTTTTTGGCTTCTTTCCTTTCTCTCACCCCTTCTCTCTTTTTGCTCCCTTTGCTCTGTCGCGTGCTTTTTTTATTTATCATCGTCATTATTTTGCTCGTTCATCACCACTCTGATCATCCTATGCCTGATTACGCCCAGGCGTTATGAGGATATCATGAGGCCATCGTTCGTCGGTGGTGGACGGGCCATCCCAATGTGAATCCGTCCATTTGGGGTTGTCGGGACCTCTCCTGGGTTACCCCCGACTACGACGATGCTTGTGATCCAGTCGAAGGGGGTTGCCCCGATTCAACCCAAAGCGGCATCCTCCCCCCTACATGATATGGATTGCGATTTTCTTTCTCATCCGAGGGAGGGCAGACGGAGAGAGACAGATGCGCGCACGGGTGAGTGTAAGTACGTTAAGTGCCCGTGTGTGTGGGTGTGAGTAGATGAGTGTTTTTTTGGTGGTCAATCTGGTAGGGTATCAATCCGGATCGCAAACGGAGGGTAGATGGAACGCGGCTGGCGCCTTTCGCCGATGGTAGGGGGCCAGAAGAATAACGTCGAATCCGAGGAGATGTGGTATAATAGGAAAGTCCAGACGCCGCACTCTGTCGCGGATCACGGAGGGTGGGAGGAGGACGCCCTCAATCTCTGGCGGATTGCCAAAGCTGAACTAGCCGGTGTAAGGGAATCAATCATCTGGTTTTTTTTCTTTCTTTTCTTTTCCCTCGACGCGACCACGAGGGAGCCCAAACCACAACGGGCCACCGACGAAAAGCGATAGGGAGTTTCTCCCCCACTCACGGCTAGCACGGTAGCCCAAACCGAATGCTTCGGGCGCGGTAAGCTGTTAGGGCAGAGGTGATTTCGCCTCCCAACGTACGACCCGTCTCTAATTCACACCCCCGGGCCTTTTTATACTTACCTATCCCAATTCTTTTTGTCGGTCAGCCCTAGGTTAATTACGCCAGGCTGGGGAAATCCAGGCCGTTACGGGAAAGAAGGGAAAGTCGGGTAAAGTAAAGTACACGTAGGTGGTAGCAGGGGAGCGGGGAAAAGACAGAGAGAGAATGAGGAGAGAGAGAGAGAAACAGAACCTCCAAAAAGAGGAAAGACTCGTCCCCTCTCCCATCCAAGTTGGTAAGGTTATATGTGTACGTACGGCTTGGATGATCGCCCCGACAGGACAAGGAGCGTTGCAGCGAAGCGAGGAGACAGGATCGTGTGTTTGCTGCCTCTTGGATGCGAGACATAGAGGCGTCAACCGCCCATCTTGCCTATTCCAGAGGCGGACCGTCACGTTGCCACTAGCCACACCTGTCGGGGCTACCCTGGCCGGTCGGGAAGACGATTGGGATTTGGCATAGCGGTAGCAACGCTTTCCCCTCTTCTGGCTTCCCAGCGTGCCGGACCCGTCGCTGCGCGTCAACTCGACCACGGCTTCGCTTCCACCTCGTCCGGTGCTCAGCGCACCTGCGTCTCGCGCGCGGCACCTCGAGCACCAGCACCCGGATTTGCCTCTCTTCGGCAGCCGCCTAGGCTACGCTCGGCTTGGACTCGCTCGTCGCTGGCCGCGATGGCCTCACTCAATGGCACACGTTGCGGTAGCCACCCTACGCGCGTTGCCTCGGGTTAGTTAGGGTTAGGCGCCTAACCCAGGCATGGACAGTAGGGAGGACACCCGACTTACTCAGTAGACCACCTCACACTTTGCACACTTTGCACAGCGGTGCCACCTACGCACGACACTACGTATAGCACAACACGCACGCTGCACACACAGCGCGCACGCTATCTTCGGGCCTCTTCTCTCAACCCTCTCGCGTCCCAGCATCGTCGACACCCCCCTCCTACCGGCCAACCACACCCTCCCACGCACCCCTTCTCGCACCGCGACACTGCTCCACCGTGTCCCGGCGCCAGACCGATTCATTGGACCGACTGGTCGGGTTGGCTGCCTGCCCGGCAGAGACACCGCCGCCCATCCCAGCTGACAGCCATGCCTCTGCAGCTAATAGCACGCTTATCTGTCCCTCCATCACCTGGCACCCCCAAGTCGCAGCCGGGCTTTTCGGTGCAGCCGTACCGTCCCATCGCCAAGCCTGCGCAGACTGTCTTTTCCTTTCTTTTTCGGTTTCCTCTCCTTTTTCCCCCCTCCCCTTCTCTCTCTCTCTCCTCTTTCTTTTTTTCCCCCTTTCTTTTCCCGTTCTTCGTCCCCTCCCTAACGTCGGCTCAGGTCCAGCTGTTTGTGACCCTGCAAGCCCTGTAAGCCCGTCGCCACCTGTCTGACGATTGGCCCGCGAGCCACGCCACCATCCCTGGCCTCCCCCCCCTTGTCCCGGTCGACTTCTGGTTGTCGCCATTGTGCCTTGTCACTCCCCCTAATCCGGTACCCCCCCGCCCTCCTGCAGTAGGACTTTTTTTGTACCGCAGGCCCATAACCGTGACCCACCCCAGGCAAAAATCCGCTGCCGCCTTTTCTCCTCCCCACCACCCACCACTATTCAGTTATCCTTTCTCTCTCTCTCTCTCTCTCTCTCTCTTCTTCTCACCCTGCCTTCTCGACTACTCCCTCTTCCTACTTCTTTCCCCTTCGTAATTCCCTTCCTCTCTCTCTCTCTTCCTCTCCACATCCCTCCTCGTCCGCCAGAGATCTCCTCCCCGACTTGACACCTGTCAACGAGTATTCGTTTATTCTGCCAATACCCAGACATGGCCGCGAGACGACCCCCAGCCAGCGGGACTATGACCCAAAATCGCCAGAACGAGTACTTCGTCCCGAGGGACGGCATCGATCGTGAAGTTATCACAGCTGATATCTGTCGCTACCTCGGAAACGATGCGCTCGTTCGGCCGGGAACCTACGAGGTGCGAGCCCCTCCCCCCTCTCCTCCCCTCTCGTCGCTCCAGCTCCGCACTGTTCACCCCGATTTCCCCCGTCCGACGCTGACTTGGCCTCGGCGCTTTCCAGAACCCGCAGACCGGTCAAGTCATACAGGGTTACTACATCAATGCCTACCGCAACCTAACAACAGTGAGTGGCTTCGTCGCGAATGATCCGGCCGGGTGGCGGCTGACCCCGACCCCCCTTCCCCTACCACGCAGGCAATGATCGAAGATTTGAAGGCGGATTCCGCGCGATGGGATCAGGAAAGGCGTCAGCAGTCGGCGAGCCGGAATAACGCCGCCGGAGGTACCATTGCCTCGAGAGACTCTAGAGACGTTCATGTCAGGCTCTCTAACTCCCCTATAGTCCAATACCGCAATTCGGACACGCACCAATCCCGCCAGTACTACGGACCTACCGAGAGTGGATTCCAATCGTCAGGAGACCCCAACCGGGATCCGTATGGTGATGTTACGCCGCGATATCCGGGGACCGGTTCTGGTGGATATACGGGAGCCGCTGGCTCTTTCGTCCCGCAGCAGTATCCGCAAGGTGGATACAGCACCCAGCAAGGCTATACCACCCAGTCGCAGTTCCAACCGCCGTCGGCCGGTGTGACGTACCCGTCTATGCCCGGTTCCGGATTTGGCCAGGCCGGCCAGGAGCCCCCTTTCCAGTTGGTCGGGGCCGACTCGAGAGTGGCGTCGGCGCCGCAGCCCATCTATAACGATCCCTACCAGGGCTCGAGGGACCCGAGAGACCACAGGGCCCCCATTACCACCATGCCAGCTAGTAGATCTACTTATGCCGTCGCAGGAGCGCCAGCGCCTCAAGGTTACCCGCCAACATCGTCGAGCGGCAACTACTACCCGCCCAATCCTTCGACCGCGGCTCCTACCTACGCCCCGACGGCAGTCCAGCCCGGAGATCCTCTCTATGGTCGCGGTGCGTATATATACATGAACAGCGCGGGAGCGGTTTTGCTACTGATCTTGTCCCTCCCCGTTTTTTTACCCTCTGGCCGTGTGGTGTTTCTGACGTGTTGCTCCAGCAGGCACAGGCGCGTACAATTCCGCACCAGATCCACAGTATGAGAATGCCCCTGCCCCCCCTCGCCGTTCGACGGCATCCACGGGTAATCAACTACCAAGTAGTGGAACGACGTCTCGTGATAAGGACAGCGTTGACCGTCAATCCGACTCCAGGCACCCCTCCCAGCGTACCCATCGCCCAGGCCGATAAATTGACCAAGCGGAGTGCGCGCGCGGCATACTTGCCTCGTGCTTGTGATTCTTGATGATTCTTTTTTCGTGCCAGAGATTCCCGGGATTTGGATCCACAACACCGCAGCTTGTTCTTCCAGGATATTGCCATCAGGGACAGGACCGGCTCGTGAGATTTTAAGCGGACCATTTTTTTGCGTCACGCGCAGTTGCAAGTTTGCGACTTTGAAATAATGTGTTAAAAAAAGCCGAGAAAGCAGCCTGGAAACCAACCTTCATTATTACCACCACCGGGACGGGTTTCTTGCTACGATTACTCCACGCATGATCTGGGGCCAGAATGGATACGGCGTACTATGAACAGGGACTTTGCGTCACGACTTGCATATGGGTGGACCTCTCGACTGGAACGACGACCATTGTTACTGCTATGCTTATTGTGCGAGTGGGCTCTTTGCCACGCATACACTACCATATACCAGGCTTGAGGCCGGCGGGGAAAAGAAGTTCTCCTTGTTTCTTTTCATCATCATTGGGTTAGTATTTGCGGATCAACTCCTGCCAACTTGCTGTCCGGATCCAGCCGACGGAGGCTACTACGTTTGTTTCGAGAAAGGAAGAAAAAGAGATTCCCTGGCTTACAGATAATTCCCATGACCGGTCGAGGACACATCCACCATGGTGAGACGAGGAAATGATCATCACTACTAATAGATAGGGCTCGCGATCCGGACAGCAAGATGAGCGCTGGACGGATTGTATATATATGCCAACCACTCCTGCGAAGGATTGTCTCCCAGTTCACTCAAAGCTTGCTCTGTTTCCTCCTTCCATCGCCCGGTTCTCATGGATCTCTTCAACTTTGGTTTCCGTGCATGTACTACTGACTACGCAGGTTTACGCTTGTCTTTACGCTTGTCTCTGGGATGATACGCTAACCGCACAGCACCCTCAGCTTCTCTTGGATCTCTCTGAAGGACTACTGGCCTAGGATATACCGACTGGAACATACCGGAGAATGACTTACCTGGGATTCCGTCCCGGGGGGGAGCTACGAGGATTCAACATCACCAACTGGGGACTGCCTTGGGAATTACAGCCGAACTCGCCTTGGACCTTGGATATGACATACCCGCCATGGATCACTATTAGCCCCCGGACCGTGGCTAATGGTACTGAAAGAAGCATAAATGACTAGCGGAGGCATCGTTAGTTATGATCTCGTAGGTAAGACTTTCCTTTCTCGCTTGCCCCGAAGCTACTTCTGCCTGGATAATTCATCCCCCCCCCCTTCCCTTCGCACCCTGATGTTTTTGTGGTTCTTCCGTGTGACTGCGATCCCGTCTCTCCAAAACAGGACCATACCCCGTCAGATGGGTTGATAGCAAGTCAGTACCCAGGCACACGCCTACACCCTAGGGCATCATGCTTCTGCCTTGAGGCGGATGGTGAGTCCAGCACGCGACCCGTCGTTTCCGCTGATCCCCGCAGGTCTCAAGATGGCGAGACTCGGTTTTCTCACCTGTTCCCCAAGGATGGACTTTTCCCGCGGATTTCTCGGGGCCTCCTCGGCTTCGCGCCTCCCGCTTGGCCCATAGTGTTCCCGGATACAGTCAGGTCTACCTTGTTGAGATTGGATCGGTCTAGTGGGCTGGTTGGTTTTACGCTGTCACGTCTGCACATACACCCGCAGCACTTGCTTGCCTCGGGAGTACGCTGTGGCGTGGGTTAGCGCCTAACTGCCAACCCTTCCTCCCTCCCCTTGCCCTCCCCACGTCTGCTGCTCTGTTATATATCCTTCCCCTGTCTCACTTCCTTCCCGTATTGGTACGTCTTGTATACCAATGCGGGATAGGGCGGGGAAGGGGAAGGAGACACAGACGGAGAGAAACATAATCAAATTGAGAACAACACGAGGAGGCAACACACCAACCTGGTGCCTAAGAAACGGACACTCCTCTCACCCGGAGATGAAAGGGGGACTAGTTCTACCGCCCGCAGGACATGGACCTGGAGTGCCCGTAGTAACCCGACGCACCCTACTTCTTACATGCCTGAGGAGCCAACGAACCAGCCAGGATTTAAGCCTCTGCAGGCCCCGGATCCAGTCCAGGCGTGCTGCGACCGCGGATAGAAAGACGGACCCGGCCTGACGTGATGGGGGAACGCCTAGGTGGATGGTGAGAGACGGGAGATGTGAGTGGGGGGAGGAAGGTAGGGAGATGGATACGGTCTTGAGGCAGACCTATCGTACCCGGAAGATCATGGCTGTTTTTTTCACCACTGCCGCTCACCAGGACCCAACCGCGGACTTGTCTCCTTTTCGTCCTGTTTCGCCCGTATAGCGGCGTCTATTTTGGGGGTTTTTTTTTTCTTTGTCTGAGCCTCGTTTCTCTTTTACTTCTCTTCCTGCTCTTACAAGAGCCAACCCGCCCACTTTCTAGTTAATTTATCCGTCTCTCTTGTCTGGCTTGTTTCTTCTCTCTCGTCGCTGCCGACCCTCGGCGGATGTGTGTGTGTGTGTGTTTTCTCCTGGGAACTTCCGGTGTCTCGTCTCATCTTGTAGACGTCTCTTCGTGGTTACGATTCTCTTCTTATCCGCCGGCTAACATGCTTCTTCTGTCTTCATCTTTTTACCTGGGTCCGGGGCTCCCTTTTAACACATTCTCTGCTCACCATCTATCAATCTGTCTATGCTTGATTATACGCTCTATTCAGCATTCTACCCTGTGCTACCAACCTCACCGCCACCTACTGTCGGTTCTTCTCATCTTCTCGGCCCTCTTTTTCCTCCCTCTCCTTCGCCTCTTTTCTGCGCTGTTGTTCTCCCCACTTCATTCTCCGGAGGCTCTGCGTAGTTGGGACTCTACCATGCTAGGGTTAAGGACGGGGTGGGCAGGAAGGATGGGCGGCGGGGTAACGTCGTGGTGGGACTGGATTTGTTGGCGATGATGGATGGGGGCGATGGAGATGCGGGATATGGAGGTCGCCCGTGGACGGAGTTCGACAGAGGTGATGATATTATGTATGTATGTGTGTGCGCCGCGTCGGCAGAAGTGTCTTCTGGTCGCGCTAATGATAACCTCGGTCGCCCCGAAGGCTTCCCCCCCCCCCCCCCAAATCCTCAAGTCCCCCTTCGTGCCTTGTGTTGGCTTACCATACTCTCCTTCTATGTTACGTGCCATCGTAGTTGTGCTCGCGCGTGATTACAGAGCCGTAGCGTCGGGCAGCGAGAGCACGCTCTCGCTCTCACTCTCCCCACACCCTCCTAGCGTGGGCGCGCACGCGCCACCACTAGCGTTCTTGCGCGCGTCCACGTCGTCGGATTACTAGTGGACGAACATACCCCTGACGTCCCCGTGGACTCTCCCGCCCGGCTTGGTACCCTCGGGCTGGACTGCGGCTACTTGACGCGCGTCCACCTCTACTTCCGGGGGGCGGCGGACGGCCCAGAAGCAGGCGGTTTGGAGGACAGCGGCGGCAGCGGCGCCGGGGGGGGGGGGAAACGTACCCCATGCGTGTCCGGTGGCGCCTGGGCCGTGTTATCCAACGGGCTGACGCACATCTGTCTATTACCTACGTGCCTACCTAACATATAGGGCACCTACACACCGCGCGCGCCAGCTTCGAGTCCGCTGCCGGCGCGCTGAGCGGGAGAGTGCGCGGCGTCTCTACCTTGGCCGTTGGCCCCGGCGCCGAGGTCGCACACGCGGGCGCACGGGGCAATGCGATGTGTCGCTTCGCCTGCTCCGACGTATCTTCGGACGCCCCGTCTTCCGTCCGGAGCTGCGTCTCTAGCTGGTTGGAGGGGAAAAAGCCTCCCTCCCGCCCTCCCCCTTCTCCCCCAGGGGGACATTACGGCATCTCGTAGGCGCGAGGTCTACTCCCCCCCGCTCTCTTACTAGTACCCCCGAGAGCGTGGTTATTGGAGACGGGCCAGCGTTGTATCGTACTTACACACGGGTACTACCTACCTACGTCGAGGATCTCGCAATTCCGTCCACGTTGCGCTAGGATCAGCCGGGTGCTCCGGTCGCTTACACGGGAATGTCTTCCTGCTTCTGCCCCAAACATGAGGCTTCTACAAGAGCTCGGCCGCTATTCTGGAGAAGTACTTATATAGGTGCCTCCCTGTCCTATTCTGCGGGCTGTATATCTCGCAGGACGGGTTCTCGGTATTGGCCAAGCACCCCGTTTTACCTACCCTATACTCTTCTTTTCCGGTCTGCGGGCGTTATTCGGCCTTTGCCAGGGCCGAGACGGTGGGAGGGCAGTAGGCTCGCGACGCGATCGAACTGGCCATAATTCTCCTAGAGTGCTGGCCGTTGAATTATGATATCATTTGGGGTAGTTACGCGCCCGCCGATTTAACACCCCGAGAACTTAGTAGGGATAATATAGCTCTCACGATGTGACGGGTGTGAGTGGCTTGCTTTGTACCGTATTAAGCCGATAGACGAGAAAACTATACCTACCGTGCCTGATCCGCGCGGGCTGAAGTCGAGTTGATGCCCAATGCCCGTGGGGGGATTTCCTAGAAGGTGCGAGCACCACGCTGCGAAATAAGTTGAGACTGTTGTGATGCTTGTGGATCGGATCGAACCGGACGGCCGACAATTCGCAATATACTTATATAAAAGGACTGTCGTTAGAAATCTCAGCCCCTAGCCTCGAAGTGCGCTTGTTGGGAATGCATTTCTCACAACCCTCTCCTCTCCAGGTGCATTTGACGGTTGACTCTGGTGAGGACTACCTAAAGTAGGGAAGCATGCGGCCCCGTCTCGTCGGTGACTCACGTCGTAGGAGGTCCGAGACACGCGCATCACCGACGGACGGGCGGTTGTGCTCGCACAGGCGGGTAGGCACCTGAAGGCATGCCAGTCGCAATGAGATATGAAGCTGGGGTGCATACTATAGACCGAACTGATCCTTGTCCTGGACTCAAGGATGCCGTCATCTACGAACGTAGGACGAGGCTGGCTGGGACTAGGGGCAGCTGCACCATAGGGAGGACTGCATGGCTTCCAGTGTTCCGTCAGGACGCCATGTCATACCGCAAGCCCGAGATTTGTCCCCGAGTCAGAGACCGAGGCTATAGAAGCCTTCCCTGCCCGCTCAAGACGCAGTCGGGAAAGCGGCAAAGAACCGGCTTGCGACGGAGTCAACCCGAAAGTTAAAGGGGAGTGTCATTAGACAGCGTAGTATTCGCTGCCACTATAGACTACCGTCTCCAAGGAGTCAAGCAGCGAAACGTGGTTTGCGCCCAAGGACGGGATGTGTCTGAAACTCGGAGGCGGGAACGGCAGCGGCTCGGCATCCCATTGGTGAGTGACAGTGATGGGAGTCGCAGATTCGGATTCGATGAAGAGACATTCGTGATCTCGGTCCGCATGTGCACGCACATACATATATACATACAGGTTTGGCGAGGAGAAGGACAGGATGGGGATGACGTAGGTAGGTATCAAGATCAAGGTCAGAAATTGAGGACTGGTGAGGAGGAGAGGGTGCTATGGCGAGTGAAGAGGTAGGTTGGGTACTCAAATGCCTTGGGTACTCAAACATGAGGATAAAAAGAGTAGAAAATAAAGACGGGATACCCGAGAAGTACGATGGGCGTGGACGGATGTACGTAGAGAGAGCCTCACGTAGACGTGCGCCAAGCCAGGATGGCCAAGTATATGTGTAGGATATAGATTGTATACATGACAGGCGCATGGTAGTAGGTGGACGAGGTCGGACCATGCTTAGGTGATCGAGGGTCCGACTCATAAAGGCGGTGACGCCAGCCTGCGACTGTATTCTGCATATGTGCATAGATACCTAGGTAGGTAGGTATAAGTATGTACATACCTACGCGTAAATGTAGACGTATACGTGCTCATATTGTGCGGGTATCGTTGGATCCGATCCGCGGGCGATGGTTGCTATCGTCAATCTGGCTAGGTCCTCGATTTGATCGAGAAGATAGGTAGGTATAGGCATGTAGGTATCCGGTCTAACGAACATGCCCGATGGTGCTCTCGCTTACTTGATCTTGTGGGCATTGGACCGGACCCGATCCCATGCCGTGGTGCTGAGTGGTTGGGTTCGTAGACTGGACGCGGAATCGATCTTCCCTTCCACCCATCCTTCGTCCCTCTCCTCCCGCAGCTGGACGAGACGGATGTAGGTAGACGTGTACATTATCACAGATGCTAGGTAGGTAAGCACCTAACGTAACCTAGGGTTAGGCACTTGATAGAGAGGGAGGCATACACACCTTGCACGAGAATAGGCCGTGTTCAGTGTGGCTTGGGAGTGACCTACCGACAGCCATTCTAAGCTGAGGCAGATGCCTTACCTCCGATTCTGGTCCGCCTCCCTTACATGCAGGCATATATGCATGGTACCCATGTGTGCGTGCGTGTGCGTGCGCGTAGGTGTAGATGTAGGCGTTGACATATGTCGATATGTAGATATCGATTTTCGTATGCGGCATCGCCAGAGGTTTCCATGCCGTGATCTCATCCACCCACGCCACAGTGGTAAGTCAGGTACAGGCTCAAGTCCGGACACGTATTCGAGGCCACCCCGGAGAGCTCTCCCGCTTCTTCGCCTTAATTCGTGGGCTGTCTTGTGTGCTGGACGTTCCGGTTCCTTCGAGCTGCGGACCCTTGCGGCACGCCTACGGCTCCATGGGTAGTTGGATAGAAGCATCACCGAGCAGGGAGGGAATGCCGATGCGGATCTAAACTCCATGCTAGGTAGGTAAGGCAGGTGTGCAGTGTCCTACAGCTGAGTGAGAGACGGATGGTGAAAACGGGACAGGCCCAGGCGCGGTCACCAGGGAGGCTAACGGAAAAAGAAGAAGGCAGAGAAAATAAGTAGATGGGTAGAAACCAACGGCAACTCGTAGAACGCGAACTGAACAGGCATCTAAGCGGTAGCCGCCTAAAAGGTAACCACAGGGCGTATGCACCTAGTGTACGTGATGTGGTGTGTATCGCTACGGTGCTGCTCTACACGGGGATCAGGTACCTCTAGGTACCTATTTCACTAAAACCCGACCGCAAATGCGATCCCGAGAAGGGAGGGCATTTGCATAACAGCTGCATAGGCACGTCAAGTTGATGAGTGGGTTATGTCATCCTGCCTAGGGGAGGTGTGGTATCGTCAATCATTCTATAGAAAGCATCTCATCTCTCGCCCCTCTCTTTCTACCACTCCCCCCTCCTCTCCCTCTCCCTCTCCCTCTCCCTCTGTCCTAAACACGTTTTCCCTTTAGTATGGGGTTGGAGAGAGGACGTAAGGTTGAGTGGGTAGAGGGAATTCCCTCGTCATGGCAGGTTTAAACGGCACTGCTGGGCATCTTCACCTTAGGTACCTTGCACAAGTGTATAATACGGTATACGGTATGGATGTGCCTGCATACAGAGGGCCATTGTCTGGATTTAATCCGGTTAGGCAACACGCACAATACATTAGGTCGTTACCTGATTAGGTGCCTGCCGAAGGTACACCTAGCCTCCTACCACGGCGCTTGGAGTACCTATGATAGTGCTACTACTCATACTACTTCTGCTGCTGCTTACTACGTTACGTGCCTCTTCCTCAGCATAGAGGTTAGGTAGTTAGGTCCATATTCGCTGCGTATTGGTGCATGTTTGCCCTACAGTGGCCCGAAGCAGACCTACCTGGAGGTATCCACCGATCTAGATACCTGCCTTGGGTACCTGACGTAGGCAGCATAAAGGCAGGTAGGAGGTACCTAAGGCATACCTCCTCCTACCCGTGGGCAAGTACATCAGGCATCTAGCAACCTTAGCCTATTACTAGTGACAGCAGTCATAGCTCTATTCTTTACTACACACCTGCCTGCGTGCCTGCCTACGTCTGCTATAGATAGGTGCATACAGGCATTACTATAGCTAGGTATTTTGCCACAGGCATCGCCATTAAGGACTCCATTTATTGCCTCTACCCAAGGCACTTGAGGTACCTACTCACCTACTATATACCAAACTCTATACCTTAGGTAGGTAGGTAGGTACCTAGGTAGGTACACACCTTCCAATGCAATACCTTAGGTTAGGTAGGTACATGCTATACACACATACGTACCTACCTGAGGTGCCTAAGGTATCTGCCCTCTTCTGCTCGAGGATGAGGTACTTACCCTACGTATGTGCACAATGCCTTCATAGGAGGCAGGACAAGTAGGTATCTGTCTCATACTTTGGGTACAGGTACCCACATTGACGCGAACCTGATAGGTAGTACCTGGGTTTCCTTTCCCACCCTTTCTTCCCACCTCTCCCACCTTTTTCCGTTGCAGTTGTCGACCGGTGCCCCGTACGGACCCCGCCATCATCGACCAGCGGAAGGGGAAAAAGTGAAAATAAAAAAAATAAAAAATAAAAATCCAGCAAGAGGAAGCACCAAACATTCACTTCGACGCTATTGTGTATTCCGTTTTTCCCTATATCTGGATTGGGTGCGGTTCCTGGTAGCTGAGCCATCCATCCCTCCATCCATCATCATCATCATCTGTCATACACATACACACACGCACGCACAACACGCACAACACACACAACACACACACATACCTACACATAAACACAGCATCCACACACAACGCATCCGCTGCGCCTGCGCACACACGTACATATACCCATAGGCGCTATACGCACCCGCACAATAGAAAAAAAAATATCGCCAAAAATCGACTGAACTTCTGGTCGACGGAGTGCCTGTTGTTCCCTTTCCCTGTCCCGCCCCTCCCCTCCAATCCCGTTACCCATCCGTGCTGTCTACCCTCCATCCCATTCCACCCGTCCCTAACACACCTCGATTCGACCCGGTCGAACGGGCACCGTTCCCGATCCCTCGCCGAGCCACAACAACAACAATAACCTTCCATACGGCAAACAGACCATACCGCCGCTTCGCCAGCGTGCAACTACCACCTACGTCCTTATCACCATTTCCTAGTTATACATGCTGCCATCTCCCCCCCTCAGATCCTGGCATCTCTACGAGGAACCATTCGCCATGAATGCCGAAGCCGTTCGGGCTCGCATCGTCGCCACCCTCTCTCCCGATGCGAACGTGCGAAGAGCCGCCGAGATTGACCTCAAGCAGGTATGTCCCGCCCTCCCGTCGCTGTTCTTGACCCGACCTCTTTCTGCCATCCCACCTCGAGATGCCGCCACACCACCTCCCCCGACCCCCGATGCCGCAAACCGTGCCATGCTGTGTCGTGTTAATTTTCTGCAATGCGATGCCATGTGATGCGCCTTCCTCCTTATGCTTCTCGACGCCTCCCTCGTTGGGCGTGACTGCTGACAAACCCTCCGCTTGGTGGTGGTCATTTAGGCCGAGGGGCATCCCGGCTTCACCGATGTTCTGCTCGACGTCCTAAGCGCGGAGCCCGAAGATGCCGTCCGACTTTCGAGTACGAATGCCACCCCCCTCTTGGCCCACCTTGCTGACTAGTTCGTCTACAGCCGTTATCTATCTTAAGAACCGTACAAATCGAGGCTGGTCGAGAAGCGACCATTACCCCGACGATCCCCTGATAGCCGAAGATGAAAAGCAACGCTTCCGCGACCGCATCCTCCCCATCCTCGCCGCTTCTCGCGGCCCCGTCCGACAGCAGTTGTTACAGCTGATCCAGCGCATCCTACACTTCGACTTCCCAGGGAAATGGCCCAGTTTCATGGATGTCACGTTGCAGCTGCTCCATTCGAATGATGCCCCCTCTGTTCTCGCGGGTCTGCAGTGCCTGCTGGTCACCTGCCGTGCCTACCGATTCAAGGGTGCCCAGGACAACAGTCGGGCGGAGTTCGACAAGATTATCGAAGCCAGCTTTCCCAGGCTGCAGCAGATCTGCAACGAATTGGTCAACCAGCAGAGCGACGAGGCCGGCGAGATGCTGCATATCGCCCTGAAAGCCTACAAGCACGCCACCTGGGTATGTCTACTGTGTCGGGTTAAATGTTGAACGCATCTAGCTAACTCGGCTTGCAGCTCGAACTCTCGAGTTTTCTGAGACGGCACGACGTAAATATCGGGTGGTGTACCATTTTCCTGCACACCGTATCTAAATCGATACCCCCGTCGGCCATGGCCGAAGACATAGAGGAGAGAGAACGTCATCACTGGTGGAAGGCCAAGAAGTGGGCCTATTTCAACCTCAACAGACTGTGGATCAGGTACAGCATGCCAACGCCTGCGAGGGCGCCGGACGAGAGGACTGACAGTTGCTAGGCACGGAAACCTCCAGGCCGTCACCACTAAGAATAACGAAACGACTAGATATGCGAAGGAATTCGAGAACACGATCGCGCCCGAGGTCCTGAAGCACTACCTACAAGAGATCGAAAAGTGGGTCTCCAAGACGGCCTGGCTGAGCAAGCCGTGTCTCTCGTACACGCTCGTTTTCCTCGACGAGTGTTGTCGTCCAAAGTCCATGTGGGCTTTGATGTACCCCCACCTGACGAACCTCGTGACCCATCTCGTCTTTCCCGTAATGTGCCTGAGCAGCGAGGACGTCCAAAAGTTCGAGGACGAGCCGGAGGAGTACCTGCACCGAAAACTGAATTTCTACGAGGAGGTTTCTGCCCCCGATGTCGCCGCCACGAATTTCCTCGTCACCTTAACGAAGTCCCGCAGGAAGCAGACGTTCGAGATCTTACAGTTCGTTAATAGGGTGGTTACCGAGTACGAGCAGGCGGCCGACGACAAGAAAAACCACATTGCGAAGGAGGGCGCGCTAAGGATGATAGGAACACTGGCGCCGGTCCTCCTCGGCAAGAAGAGCCCAGTTGCCGACCAGATCGAATATTTCCTAGTTCGTTACGTCTTCCCCGATTTCAAGAGCCCCCTAGGATACCTTCGGGCCCGAGCTTGCGATACCATCGAGAAGTTCGAGCAGCTCAACTTCAATGACCAAAACAACCTTCTCATCGTCTACCGGCATATCCTGGATTGCATGGCCGATACCGACCTACCCGTTCGCGTCACGGCGGCGCTGGCCTTGCAGCCCCTAATTCGGCACGACGCCATCCGCATTAGCATGCAGCAGAGCATACCTACGATCATGCAGCAGCTACTGAAGTTGGCGAACGAATGCGATATCGACGCTCTCGCTAACGTGATGGAGGATTTTGTCGAGGTGTTCGCCACCGAGCTCACCCCCTTCGCCGTGGCTCTGAGCGAGCAGCTCAGGGAGACGTACTTGAGGATCATTCGTGAGCTCCTCGACAAGAACGACGCACGGAACGGTGATGACGATTTCGGCGACTATCTGGACGATAAGAGCATAACTGCTCTCGGCGTCTTGCAGACGATCGGTACCCTTATCCTAACCTTGGAGAACACGCCGGATGTGCTGTTGCACATCGAAGCAGTCCTGATGCCTGTCATCCAAGTCACGCTTGAGAATAAGTTATACGGTAACCGACAGGATCTCTAGACCTCATTGTAGCTCGATAGACTAACATAGGTGGACAGATCTCTATAACGAAGTGTTCGAAATTATCGACAGCTGCACGTTTGCCGCTAAGAGCATCTCGGTTACGATGTGGCAGGCCTTCGAGCTTATCCACGCCACGTTTAAATCTGGCGCCGAGCTTTACCTCGAGGACATGCTCCCCGCGCTTGATAACTTTGTGCAATACGGCGCCGGCCATCTCATCCAGAAGCCCGAGTACGTTCAGGCACTCTACGGAATGGTCGAAGATATGTTCCAGGACTCAAAGGTGAGCGGGGTCGACCGCATCTGCGCGTGCAAGCTGGCCGAGGCTATGATGCTGAGCCTGCGCGGCAATATCGACCAATCGGTTACCGGGTTCATCACCATGGCCATGATAGTGCTGAGCGGCCACGATGCCAAAGTCAAGTCGTATAAAATTCACTTGATGGAAATGGTGATAAACGCCATCTACTACAACCCGGTCCTGACGCTGGCCGTCCTGGAGGGTAAAGGTTGGACAAACAAGTTCTTCAGCCTCTGGTTCGGCAATATGGACCACTTTAGCAGAGTACACGACAAGAAGCTCTGCATCGTAGCCATAGTTTCCCTATTGAATCTTAACGCGGACCAGATTCCTGCCAGCGTTAGCACGGGGTGGCCAAGGCTGCTGCAAGGGATTACGGGTCTCTTCAAGACCCTGCCCAACGCTTTGAAGAACCGCGAACAGGCTCTCAAGGAGGATTTCGCGTACGATTCTAACAATTACGACTACGAGGACGAGGACGAGTGGGCCGATGAGGACACCAACTGGAACGCCGAGGAAGGGGCCGAAGCGGAACAGGTAGACGCTAGGGACGAGAGCACCGCGTATCTCGAGTTCCTGAACGAAGAGGCGGCGAAGTTCACCCAGATTGAAAACCAGTACAAGGAGCAGGGCGAAGAATCGGACGAGGAGCTCGGGGAGGATAGCGTCTTGCTCGAATCGCCTCTAGACAAGATTGAGCCCTATCAGCTCTTCCGGGGAGTGCTCCTAAGTAAGTTTTGCACATATGCTTTCGTGGTGGGCCGCGTATTGTCACATGCTAATGGACTCCCGTTTATAGAAGTGCAACAAGAAAACCCTCAGCTGTACTCTAGCCTTACGGCAAACCTCTCGGCCGACGAGCAATCCGTCATCCAAACCGCCATCCACCAAGCCGAGGCCCACGCTCAGGCTGCTTTGCAGATGGCAGCCCAGGCTGCACACAACCCGCAAGGAGTTCCCAACGGTGGCGCCAGATGATGTCGTCGAAGCGGGACGGAGCTTTACCGGGGCTTGTGAGGCTCCCACTACTACGAAGCGCCCCGGAGTTGTGGTACCGTAGGCGCAACGTGGGTACTCGTCCGCGGCCGCCAGAACTAGGTACGCGCGACCACGTTGACGAATAGACATTTAAAAAGCGGGAACCCGTCAGAAAAAAAAGATCAATACCCAAAACAGAGCGTCAGGAGCCGGTGGTATTGGTGTCTGTTAACAAATGCCCTTCTTGGGTATTACCTTTCTGCGTATAACAAGCGGCAGTGCAGTGTGTCCTGTAATATCGGTAACCTTCACCTCCCTATGGGAAAGAGCCGCACTGTCTGCACGGTATGTAGGTAACGTATGTAGGCTTGAGGGGACAGTGACGACGATTCGACGACGATGCATTGGCAGCGAGTCTGGAGAGCTTAAGCGTGTGCGTGCATCGGTGTGTGTCCATGACGACGCGGGAACGGAGCAGGCAGGGGAGGAGGATATATCCGGAGGTACGCGATGTACGCGCGCGACGAGTACGACGTTGTTTCGGCCAAAGATGGATGCGTGGGTCGGAAGGTCGGATGCGGCGATCGTAGGGGGAATTTCTAAAAGAAAAAGAAAGCCAAAGACAGAACCCCATTAAGATTTCTAGGCCGTGCAAACGTATATGACTCGTCTCGTCTCTACTCCTCTGTCCTAGATAGCCGTGAAATGGCGCCTTTCCTCCTTAACCCCTGTTCCCCATTTTGACCTGCCGTTACGTCTCGGTTTATCGAGTGAAATATATATCAGCTACCGGGCAGCGGCACAGGAGAGGGAGTGGAAGCGCTGGGTCAGTTCGGTTTCCGAGGGTGATTCTCGGCTGCCTATCATCGTGGACGGGTGGGAGAGAGAGAATCTCGTATATAATACCTACCTACGATACCCGGACCTAGGGGTATAACCGGGCGGCTAGGACAGACTCGCGACGTGGAAGCCGGGGGCATAGCCAAGGCAAAGGCGCGCCGTCGCCTATGAGAAGCGCCGAGGACTACACGCACATGTGCACACATAACTATGCATTGCCGGCTTTAGTTTTATACTCGGTAACGTAGACACTTTTTCCCGGACCCTCTCGCGCCTGTACTTTCCCCCTTCCCCCCCTTTCCCCCTTTCCCCACCATTTTGCCCCTCCCCCTTTCCCAGCCTCACCTCGGCACCCAGCTCAGGCTGAAGACCGGAGCGCCGGCCCGCGAGACGCCGACCTCGAGGGCGCCGGCGGTGCCGACGGACGCCGGGACGGTCTCGCTCCGGCGCTCGAGCCGGATGGCCTCCTGCGGCGGCGGCGGCGGCGGAAGCCGGTAGAAGGCGCGGCCGTGGCGGCTGAGGAACCCCTCGAGCCGGGCGCGGACGGCGTCAGCGTCGGCGTCGTCGACGACGCCGCGCGCCGCCGCCTCCTCGACCGCTAGCACCACCAGCTGCGTCGCCACCGGCTGCGTGAAGACGCCCGCGGGCGGCGGCGCGGGCGGCGCCGCGCGCTTGCTGGCGAGCGGGTGCGGCGCGCTGTCGCTGCCGCTAGAGGTGGGGTTAGTACGGTTTGCTGCTTGATTGGGGGGAAAGGGGGACGGGGCGGCTCACAAGAAGAACTTGGGGTCGCCGCTGACGACGGCCCGGAGCAGCGCGTCGCGGTCCGAGGCTCGCTTCGGGATGGGCTTGCAGAAGGCGAGGGGGTCGACCTTGCTGTCGTCGCCGGTCAGGTACAGGTGGTGCGCGGTGATGGTAGCTGGCGGGCGTTAGCCGTGGGGAGGGGTGGTGGTGGTGGTGGTGGTGGTGGTGGTAAGCCAGGCCGTGCGTCGCGCCTTTTCAGCGGGCAAGCAGGCACGTAGACGCGCGGCGAGGGACGGGCGGGGCAGCGGGACATACCGGCGACCTCGGGCCCGCAGGCGCGGACGGCGTCGAGCGCGCCGGCGGTGGAGCAGTGCTCGAGGACGATGCGCAGGCGGGGGAAGCGCGCGTGCAGGTCCGCGAGGGTCGGCAGGAAGGCCTCCTCGAGCGAGCCCGCGGCCGCGGGCACGTCCCCGTGCGCCTCCCCGTGCAGGTTCAGCACCAGCCCGTGCGCCTCCATGGCCGCGAACGTCGCCGCGAAGTCGTCGAACGACGACACGCCGTTCTCTGAGTTTGTCGTCACGCCTGTGCTCTCGGGGGAGGGGGGAAAAGCGTGCGTGTTAGCGTACATGTCTGATCGTGTGGGGAGTAGTTTTTAGGAGACAGAGAGAGAGAGAGAAAGGGGGGGGGGGGGGTGGAAGCATGCGGCGGGTGCGACAAGCGAACACCGAGAAAGGGGGACCCGCGTACCTTGAGGGTAGAGCTTCACACCCACGATGCCGGCGGCCGCGGCCTCGGCGATCACGGAGGGGGTCACGGAGGGGTGGAGCTGAGACCGGACAAGTCAGAGACGGAGCGGGTCGCGAGGAGGGGCGGGGCGGAGCGGGGGAAGCTGGTGCGCCCCCTCTCGGCCCGGGAATGCCCCGCGCGGCGGAGGCGTGGCGGCTACTTACGAAGAGGGACATGAGGTACGTGACCCTCGGCTCGATAGCCTGCAGGAGGGCCTTGTACTCGAGTGCCTGGGCAACGGTGGTGATGGGTGGTTGTAGGTTGGGCTATAGTTGTGCAGACGCAGGAGGATCCACGGGTTAGCGATATCGTTGCTGGGCCTAGTTTGGGAGGGCGTATTTTGTATGTAGATGGTATGATATGAGATGGAATAGGTATGGATTTTATGATATTATGTCCTATATCCTATTATACGCGAGATATATATGGAAAAGGGGAGAGGACCGAGCATGTCGTGACGCACCATGACGAAGACGGTGTCGACGCCGCCGCGGCGGATCTGGGGCACGACGAGCTCCATCATGGCGCCCTGGCGTAGGTGGACGTGCATGTCGGCGGAGGGCGGCAGCTCCAGCCGCTGGACGTCCCGCAGTTTCATGGCGGACGATCTGGGCGAGGCGGACGGGAAGGACGCGGTAGCGTGTAGCGGGACGGGGGGCAAGCCGATGAGGAATACAAGAGCCCTGCTGCGTTGTCAGCGAGGGCGAGGACGAGGAGGAATTGGGAGCTCTCCTCTTATTATACAGGTAGGTATATGTGCACCCTATAATGGATGACCTCAGTCGATTGACGTCGTATCGCACAGATGGAGGGGTGGAGGGGTGGAGGGGTGGAGGGGTAGAGGGAATGAGATTCTCTGGTTCGCCCACTACATTGCGTATATGCATATCGATAGCCTAGAACCTCACTAGAAGCATATTGCATGTCTAGGTATTTCTTGTTGTCTTGCCTCTCCTTGGCGCACTCCTACCGGAGGCTGGCACTAGGAGATGCCCTACTAAGCTGTACGTAACTGGCTGTATGGGGAGCCTTCGCCTGATAGGCGAGAAGAAGAATGTGATATGGTCACTGTCGAAGGGGAAAATCAAATGCGGAAGCAATTCTGGTTCTAGTCGCGAGCTCTCATGTACCTAGGTAATGCCCAGCGGTCGAATATTCCCATGTGCTGCTCCTACTACACGTAGGTACTCCACGAGCCAATCACTACCCTCGAAGTCGAGATTACGTATACTTTCCGATGATGACTCATCAGAGACTGTACTCTGCGCCGAGACACGGTATCCTCACCAAGTGCTTTAAGAGTGCGCGCGCGATGCTTCGTGGCCGTGGATTGTTTCTCTACTGTGCAGCCTATTGACGTAGAGTGTGATCTCTTCCCGCTAAATGGCTTGATAACCACGTGAATCTATCCATCCGCCTTTTAGCTTCTATTCTATCGCCATGGCCCGAACGCGTGCCCAGGTAATTAGCAAAAGGGGATGTAGTCCAAGGGATCAGGGTATTCTTTACGGAGCGAGCGCTGACAGACCGCAACTGACACTGTGCGAACCAAGATCTTCCGACACGCAAACACCAACATCGGGAGTCGTCCAAGGAACCCCCTATCCAGCGCCAAGACCGAAAGCGAGCCAACGAAGATGGACCCGATAGACCTTCTCCGAAGCGACCGCAGATATCAGGACCGTCCGCCACCGAGACGCTCGGTAACGCCGCAGCAGATAACGCCGATCCCGATGGCCTAATCGATTTCCGGAGGAGAGAAGGACGTTGGCCGCGTTAATGCCTTGAACCTAGACTGGAGCTCTTGCTTGCGCGAAAGCTGTCCTTGTCCACCTTCGGCGGACGTGGGCGATCGAACTCTGGCTCGTGTATAATACGGAGCGACCGGAAGCCGCGCGAGATACATCAATTACCAGCACCAAAAATACGGAGCGGACCGCCGTCATTGACGAGCCTGCCACTTGCGGGCAATGGACAAGGCTGTGCTAGCAAGAGTCGCGTCACCTAAGATGTCGAATAGGGGCATGTCTATGCTGAACGACTTGGCTATCCAGTTGCGCAATTCTACGGCGGATAGAGAGTCTACGCCGTGGGAATGCAGCGGCTTTTCTGGGTCTAGCCGGCTCTCTTGCGTGCCGAGCAAAAGCGACAGACGAGCCGCGAGAGCTTCCCCAGCGATGCCCGCGGCGTCGGACAGCGACGCAGCAGACGTCATTTTTTCGCTGATATTATTCTGCTGTCCCTGGCCGACTGATCGCGCATCTTTGCCGCTAAACGACGGGACAGGTATATGATGCATGTGCCCCCACAGGGGCTGTGCCATAGTGAAGAAGACGTCGTCGATGTGCTTCCAATGGGAGGGAGGCCGGATGCCGACAACGGCCTGGCAAGAGATGCCGGCTGTCGATAAGGCGATGGCAGACTGGTAATGAGTATCTAGAAGGGCGTAGATCTCGTCAGTGTATATCAGCTCAACCTGAACCCTGCCCTGAAACAGAGACATGCGATCTGCATGTGTCGCTAGGTAACCCTCGTCGGCAACCGGGCCTAGGTCGAGAACTGTACCCCGTCTGCCCATGGAGACACGATAGTGGGCCAAAGCATCCATATACGTGTTTCCCGCATTATACGCGGCCAGCGAGGTCCTCCCAATAATCCCGGCCATCGACGATATCATAAAAAAGAAGTCGAGCTGCTCGGGAAGCTCTTCGTGGAGGTTCCATGACCCAGCGACCTTAGGGTCAATAGCCGCTTTCCAATCATCGTAACTGAGTTTCTGGAATATGTTCTCCTAAACCATTTGGTGAGCGATTCCTCGAGTGAGCGCAGAATGTCTCGGGCAAGCTTACTTTCATGACCATCGTGGCTTGGATGCAACCTTTGATGGAAGGCATGCTTTGCGAGTAGCCCAGTAACAGCGACCTCAAAGCGACCCTATCAGTTATGTCGCAGCGTGGCGTCTCGACCTTGATTCCTAGTTCCGCACATTCCGCTAGAAGGTTCAAAGCCTCTGGCGTCTTGGGACCGGACCTCGACAGTAAAACCATGTAGCGGGCACCGCGGCTCACAAGCCAACGGGCGAATGACCTCCCTAGACCCCCGAGGCCTCCGGCGATGACGTAGGTCGCGTTCGGGTCTAGTTTGCAACCGCATGGATTCGTAACATGGACCTGTTTTATCCTCGTGATCAGCAAAGTGCTATAACACCCTATGAGCTGGAGTGAGAGAATAGGAGAGGTCTCCAGGGTAGTTTAGTTAGATGGGGATATGGTATAACGTGGTCTTACATCGATGACATCCATATTATTGAACTCCACAACAACGGTCTCCCGGCCCTTAGTCTGCTTTAGGTGGTTGAAGATGCCAGTGACGTTGGAAGCAGTGAAAGAGGCTACACTGTGTCGCACGCCTTTCGCGACCCACGTAGCGACTAGAGTAAGGATATGCTGTAGCAGGTTTAGATCCGGGGCGCTACCGCCCGTGAGGCCCTCTCCGACTCGGACTGTCGAGAAAGACACGTTTGAAGGAACGTAATGCGCGGTTCGCGAATGCTCTGGGAGCGCCCAAGAAGTGAGGAACATGACACATCGGCCCCCAGGTCGGACGCAGTGCATCAGCTGGGTGGCGATTGAGTCTGTGTCCATAGCAAGCACGAGATCAAACTTTCTTTTCCATTCCGAGACGAGCATCGGGTTGTCCTCGAACCACTTCCGCGGTATTATGCATCGATGGGGGATCTTCAAGTGCTGGGCCACCCAGGCGGCCTCACCCTCGTCCGCGGCAGTCGTCCAGAGTTCCCTGGCGCCTTTTTGCCTCAGCAGCTCGATAGCAGCCTGCCCGAGCACGCTTGCTCCGAGGTCTACCAGTATGCGGTCGTGGGCTGGGGCCCACGAGCCCTGCGCTGTTGCTTGGTAGGCGGCGAGCATGGGGGAGAAGGCCCAGCAGGTATCGAGATAGGTAACGTTGGATGGGAGAGGGGAGATTTCGGTAGACTGCAACCGCAGGTGGGAGCGAAACACGCCCCCGCGACTAACGAAAACGCGGTCGCCGCGGCAGAAACGAGAGGATGGCCCGGCCTGCAGGACAAACCCGACGCAGAATGTTCCGTACGCCCCTGGCGCCTCCTCATTCCCCACCGCCAAAGCGCCGTCTCTCGACTGGAGGGAGACCGCTCTGACCATGACCTCAACGTCGCCTTGACCTTGTGCTGAGTATTCTTCAGCCGGAGATTCGATGTAGTGAGGACTGTTATATAGCGCGGCAGAGGATGTTGAGAAGGAAAAGGGGGCATGCTTTCTCAGGGGCGCCGTCTCGATTCGATGAGAGACTAGTTTCGCATCAACAGCCGCTTTCAGCGAGCCGGCCTCGACGAGCCGCCGGGTGTGCAGGGCACCGTCGATTTCGATGTATTCTTCTTCGTAGTTCTCGTTTGCAGCTCTCGCCATCATTTCTTCCACGACTTTGGCGATATGGCGTATCTTGTCGGTCTTCCCGTCTTGTGGGTCAAGATGGAGGGTGACGAGATGAAGCCCGTAATACTCAGAGCGCAGAGTTCGTGCCAGGCCGTCGAACATCCCATGGTTGGGATTCATAAGCCGGCCGCCGCCAGCAGACACCCAAAGGACTTGATGTGAGGTGCCAACTATGGATTTGAAGGTCTCCCATGAGGTTGAGTTCAAGTTCTGGATGAACGGGAACGCGTAGTCATAGTCGAGGAGAGAAATAATTAACCCGCCCTTTCCTTCTCCGTGTCCCGGCTCAAAGTTCTCTAGGGTGACCACGGGAGGGCTTATTCCGAATGATTCCCCAATTGAAGATACGAGGGAAGAGGCGAGATCGATCTGTAGGTGGGAGCCTTGATCTACCAGGATGGTCATCTGAGTATCGGATAACGGCTGGGCTGTCACCCCGTTTGTGCGGCTTTCTTCTACAGCGGTGGAAATGACCCAGCCAAAATCGGACGTTGTAGGCTGCTCAGTATCTTCCAGGGCGAAGTCAACACCCGAAAACCCACTGTGCTTTAGTACCGAATCCCAGGCGTCAATTCCGATATTTGGTGATAGAGCTCGGTTATCTGGGACGCCGGCCCACCACCCGGGGAGAAGTCCGAATACAAAGCCCAGAGTCCATGCCGTGGGTTCGAAGGCCTCCTGGATTAGGAGTTTCCCCCCAGGCCTAAGAGCCTTGCGTAAGTTCTTCATTGTGTTTTCGAGAGCCGACGAAACGTGAAGCACGCTGATTGCTATGATTAGATCATACGCGCCTTCTTGAATGCCCTGGTCTGCAAGGTTTCGTTCCATATCAAATGTGCTGAACTTCATCTGAGAGGAATGGCGCTCGAACTCTTCTCGGACGCCCAGCAACATTGCCTGGGAAATATCAGTAAAGTGGTATTCTTTACACCGCAAGGATGATGCGTTGTTGCTAGGAGTACTGTCGCGTAGGGCGTTGATGAGCAACCGGGTCCCGGCTCCAGTACCGCCACCAATTTCAAGAATGTTCATTCCGGGTCTATCGTGTGCCAACAGTTCCACATAGGTAGCGGCCTGGGCTGAACACCGGGAAAGAAGAAACTCCCTATAAAGCGGCTTCAGTTGGTTCGACTGAATAAGGAGCTCGAGAAGGTTCGTGTCGCCACGTATTATAGAGTCGAGGTTACGCGCCACTAAGGCATATACTTGGCCGATGGATCCCGTATGTTCAATGTAGGTAAGTGATTCCTCGAAAGACCGATATGGTGACAAGTCTTCGAAGTCTGCCTGTTGTTGACAGCGCACCCGCGCTAGGTGATAATGTGCCCAATCTAGGTAGTAGGTTTTCCATAGTTCCTGGTGGTCTGCTTTGTATGCATCATACCGATCGACCAGACGGGACAGAGCAACCGCGACAAGTCTCTCAAAACCCCGGGATAGCTCCGACACTGACTGTTCCGGCCGATGTACATTCTCAAGGAAAAGCCGCGTATCTCGGGGCCCCATCATATGCAGAGAAGGCTTACAGTCGATGCTCATGTAGGACTGTCTGGGGTTAGGGAATTGAGGACTAGAGGAGGGGGTTTCCGTCACGTTAGTGATCTCAAACCCTTCGTACCACAGCCTTTCAACACTCGAATCGTTCGAATCCACGACAACGCCGTTACAGGTAAAGCCCCGTTTTTTTACTGTAGATATTAAAACTGCAGCGGCAACAACGTCGTTTCGGGGCCAGCTTAGCCCGTCCTGAGAGATCCACATGCGGCTGAGATAAGTTGGAACGCTGGTGGCCATCTGCTGAGAACCCCCCCGAGACAGTGCCGTGAAGGAGAGTTGCAAGATAGCATCCAAAGAAGTCGGGTGGATCACATGCGAATGCCACCTGGCAGCAATTTCTGGATCTTCAGCCGACTTGAAAAGAACTACATCGGCTGTTGCGTGATGCTGTCGACTGAAACGCTGGTTCTGCAGCGCTTGGAATCGAGATCCGTAGTGCAAGCCACTATGCTCCAGAAACTCGTACATGTCTGTAGACTCCACGATTTCCTCACAGTGGGCTCCTACTTCCTGATAGCTTCGGGTAATGAGTTCGCGCCGCGAGTTCACTCTCTGGCTTATCCAATTATCTAGGATTTCTTCTTCGAAGTGTACCGAAACTAGGCCCTTGCAATTCAGGACCCAATCATCACCAACGTAGGTTCGGATGGCGAATTCGTATTTAGATAGACGCTTGGCTCCAGAGTCCATTCTTCGAAGCACTATCTGGACTTCAATTCCAGCTATACTGGAATCAAATTCCATTGCAGCGATAAAATGGACGTCATGCAAATTGTAGCCTTTTATAACGTGAGGCCCATCGGCTAGGCTCTTCGCAGCCTCGACCGCCATGACAAGCATTCCAGCGGCGGGATACAGCGTTCTGCCATTTATGACATGCTCGCTAATCCACGGGACCTCGGATGGCTTGAGAAAATGGCGCCAGTGAGCCTCTGCTGGGTTCCAATCGTTGGATCTAACGCCCACCAGGTCTGATGGCGGATGGCTCCTAAACCTGTAATTCCGGCTTAGTCTACCTTCGTGCCAATAGCCACGGGAATGATCAAACGGATATGCGGGAAGATCGACAAGCATTGACCGTGCGGTTTTTCCCGTCGGCTCATTCACTACTCTCAAGTTTAGAGGCAATCCCATAGAGAACAGGTCTCCCACGACGCGAAGCAAGGTGTCTGCGGCTGACTGCCCCCTTCGTAGCACGGAGCTGTAAGTTGGGCCGTCTTTCCGTGAACCCGCGCGCAATATATCGCGAAGCGGTCCCTCCAAGGCGGCGTGGGGTCCGATTTCGAGGATATGATTGACTCTAGGCGTAGAGCGATGACTCCCATCAATCTTCTTGACAACGCTGGCTGGAGGATGCTTGCACATCATTTCTATAGCCTCCACGAATTGTACGGTTGATGCCATGTTGCGTGCCCAATACGATGGTTCATTCAGGGCGTCGACTGTAACCAAGGCCCCAGTGACCGTCGATACCATGGGGATGTTCGATTTGTGCGGCGGCTTTGAAAGTGGTCGTATCATGTTAATATAACGATCAGATGCGGCCTCCATCTGACGAGAATGATACGCCACATTTACACGTAGCTTTCGCGCGAAGATACCGTCTTTGCTAAGCTGTGTTTGCAAGCCTTTGAGCATGCGTTCCTCGCCTGAGAGTGTCACATTGTTGGGGCTGTTGATGCATGCGACAGAAATACCATCCGAGTTTGAAGCGAAGCCTAGAGTTCGGCAATAATCCAAGGCTCGCGTCTCGGATAGCCCAACAGCCATCATTGCTCCTGGATTCGACAAGTCCGAATTTTGAGCGACTTCATTAGCACATAGGCCGCGGAAATATGCCAACTTCCAGGCAGACTCGGATGTGATATAACCACCGGCGTAAGCTGCAGCGATCTCGCCAGAAGAGTGGCCGGCGACAGCAGAGGGCCGGACGCCAAATTCGTGCAGCAGGTTGGCCGTAGCTACTTGCAGGACGGTGCAAAGCGTCTGGCTGAATTCGGGATCGTCGACCTTAGAAGTTTCCGGCGGCTTGGAGAGTTCATCTATTAATATCCAATGGTTAACACCAGGCACCCAACATCGAATCATCGCGTCGAGATCTGTGCCTTACCAATAACGTGCCATTGACAGCCCAGAGTCTGGAGATACTGATCCGCACGACATAGGTCGGCATAGAAGGAAGAATAATGCATCAGTTCTCTTCCCATCGCGTACCACTGCGCACCCTGTCCGGTGAATACGTATCCGATGGAAGGTAATATTTGCGAACGGACTCTGACCGGAGGTGACATTTCGGATCGAAGGGTTTTCATGCCTCCAGTCGAATTGAGGAGCGCAAATGATCTGTAGTGAAGATGGCTACGGTGGCTGTCCAGCGTATAGGCCAGATCTCCGAGAAAGTCTCGTTGACCTACGGATTGAAACGACTTTCGGCAATAACCCTCATACGCCTCCGCCATTCTCTTCGTGCCCTCTCCGTCAGCAGCTGACCAGACGATCAGTCTCGGAACCGGACTAGCTTCGAGGCCACACTGAGCGCTTGAATCTGAGAGAAGAGCTGGAATGGTGACCATTGGGGAGTAAGTGCAATGTCTTCCCGGTAGAGACCGCAGACGAAGGTAGTTGTAGGCGTCGTCAAGAACAATATGGGAATTGGCTCCTCCGTACCCGAATGAATTCACAGAGGCCCTTCGTAAACCTGGTGTCGGCCAGGGCTGGCAGTCCTCCGGGAACTAAGCGCACATAGTTAGCCTCTCGAAACTCTCACCAAAACAGTCGTTCATAATACGCCTCTTTTATAGATAGCAAAAAGCTCGTATTAGAATGCTCGCGATCAGAGTACTGGTAATATAAAAAACCCCACCTACCTTGATACGTAGATAGTCCGTGTCGATTCTGGGGTTCGTCCTTTCGAAGTTGGTGTTTGGAGGTATAATTCCCCTTTCCAAAATAAGAATTGTCTTGATGATCCCCGCCAGACCACTCGCGCCTTCAAGATGGCCAATATTCGATTTCACAGCCCCCCTGCGCCGTTGGTTAGAGCGAGTTGAACTCTAGAAGATGACGCAATGACACAAACACATATAACGGGGTTTCCGAAGACCTGTAGTCCCTGAAGGCTGAGCCGATCGCTTGTGCTTCACAAGTATCCCCTATGGGTGTGCCTGTCCCGTGAGCTTCGAAGTATCGCGTGTGCCGCATACTGAGGCTCGAACGTCGGTAAGTCTCCCGTATTAAACTTTCCTGCGCCGTACGGCTTGGCTGCGTTATTCCGGGCGTCCTACCATCTTCATTCGACGCCGTCGAGCGAATGATGGCCCGAATCGTATTGCCGTCCCGGATGGCGTCCGACAGACGTTTCAGGACCATGACTGCGATACCTTCACCGCGTGAGTACCCGTTGGCCCTGTGGTCAAAAGAATAACATCGACTATCGGGAGAAAGAAAATCGAGATTTGTCATGGCAGCATAGGCTTCCGGCGAGAATGTTAAGCTGCAGCCGGCGACGAGACTCTATATTAGATCGATAGCCGTTAGCGAATCTTGGACGTTAGACGACGAGGAGGGTCAACAACATACCATATTGCAAGATTTATTCTTCAGCGCCTGACAGGCGATGTCGAGAGCTGTTGCTGCACTTGAGCAGGCCGTGTCGAGACCGATACTCGGGCCGCGTAGGTTGAAAAACCAGCTCAGACGATTGGCAAGCATGCTGAGCCCAACTCCGACAGCGGCATACTTGGGCTGCACTTCTGCATCGCGATATAGCTGGATCATGTAATCGTAACCGAAGGATCCAGCATATACGGCGGTAGAGGTGCCCGATACCTCGGCCATGGAGAGTCCGGCTGATGCGTAATAGTCAATATATGCTCGCATACGCTAGCCTATATGAACATATGTGAACCATACCGTTCTCTAGAGCTCTGTACGTTGTCTCTAGGAGCCATCGCTGCATAGGGTCCATTGCTGCAGCTTCTGCAGGTGAGATTGAGAAAAAGTCCGCGTCAAAAAGCGATAGATCCTCATCGATGAAGTGACCCCCCCTGAGCGGGACCTGTCGACAATCAGTTTCAGGCGGCGTCAGACTAAGGTAGAAAACATTTGGGAACGATGGGTTGCGTACAGTGTTGGATCTATTCTCATGGTGGTGAAAACCCGCTAGATTCAAGCGGCTCGCAGGGAAGTCGGACGTGGCAGACTGTCTGTTCAGAAGCATCTCCCAAAATGATTCGGGACATGTTGCCTGCTGAGGGAATTTAATAGAAAAGCCACATATTGCGATAGGGTCGCTGCCATCGCCATCGAGTTCGTCTGCGCGAGTTGCCATGTCGGACGCTGTATGAGCGGTAATATCACCCACGGATGCCAGAGGAGGTAGGTCGTTCTTGAGTGAGAGACGACTGTCACATATATACCTGGGTATATGCCGTTTAAGAAAAAATTTCGTTAGAAGAATAAAATCGTTATTTAACTCAAGATAACATGGCTCTTGACGGGCTACGTATTATTAGGATGGATGTGAGTTAATGGCGCTTTCGCCTCCCCTACAATATACGCCACCGAGTAGCTCCTAGGCACTTATCCAACGGGAATAACACGTTAGCATTATCAGCATTCATAAGTATAACCATAGCATCCAGATAATGGTAGGGTTGACCCGTAGAAACGCAAGGTAATATAATTATTTCCTAGGAAACCTGAGCGCGATAGCCGCAAGTAACCGTACACCCACAAGTAACCTATAACCTCACTTATACTATTGTGATGCCCGCGTATGACCCCTCGTTTTCGTAAAATATCTCTTCCTCGCCGCCATCCATATTGAACCTGTATATGCGACCACCGAGGTCGGTTGCATAAATATACTGCCTGTTGATATCTAGTTTAATACCAATGGCCTCGTGCATGTTTCTTACGAGCAACTCGTAGTCTCTCCCGGGCCAGCTAACGACATTGCTCTCCGTCTTGATAGGCCTCGCGGCGTCTAGTGATAATCTGTTGATGCTGTTTCCCAACGGCAGCTCTCCGCGATCCGTCCAGTAAAGACTGCGCCCTCCTTCGTCAACACAAAGATTGATGGGCTCTGGTAAGTTCTGTAATAGACATTCTATGTCTGTCCGACTCTTTGCGGTTTGGCCGGGGAGAAAATCGAGATTAGCGCGAAAGATCCGGCCTTGGTTTCCCTTGGAGGGCCCCTTTTGAGTCCAATAGAGCTTGCCAGCTGGGCGAGATATAGCAACTCCCACACACCACCTAGTTGGGTCTGTCTTCTCCCGCGAGTTACTTTCGTCGCCCGTGTGCACTAGGACCTCTAGCTGCGAGCCGTCCAAGTTGCAGCGAATGATTTTCATCCCTTCCCGGTCCGCAATATAGATTTTAGAGCCCTCGTCATCAACTACAAGTTGTTTTGGAGTGTGCACCGAGCCCCGGGGAAGAATGGTCTCAACAGCTGTTCCGTCTAGCCCACAACTGAACACCGCTCCGTTGGGCAGATTGGGCATCCCCATACTGCCCCAGAAGATCCTGGCCGTCCGCAAAGAGACATCAATACCATCAGGTAGGTGTTGGTCTTTGATCAGCGTTCGCAGTCGAGAGTGCTCATTTGGGTTGGCGAAAAGAACACGGCCTGCATTAGCAGCATCCATAAAGTTAGGAGTATTGAGCCCGACGTCAATGACGAACAAGTAGAGGCGGTCATCGGACATTGTCGGAGGAGGGAGGCAAAACGGGTCACGAGGAGTAGGCTCTTGGGAATCTGTCCGACCTGTTGATTAACACAGGCACAATTTTAACATATAGTAGATGCAAAGATGCACAGAGTTATTTGTTTTCGGCCACTACCAACCCCAATTATGAAGCTTATTCGTTAGCTGTCAACGTTGTTTTTGGCTCGGGGTTTTGCGATTATGGATATTCTTATAAGAAAGTCCAGCGCCATCCAATCTCGCCTCGTTATCTACCTATGCATTTGGGCCGTGTTCTGCCCGTATCCTGCTGGGTAGGTATATTCTGTTGGATTCGGAAAGTCACACTAGATTCGTCAATAGGGCGTACCATACGGAGTGCAGAATACCTGGCTTGGACACTTGATGTACGTTGGCGGCAACAAAACGCAGCAAGTTGATGTGACAGGGCTTGTGCCGCTGCCCAGTCCCAGCCGGTATCAGCGCTGGCCGTCGTCGGCGCTGGGAAGCAATAGTAGTGGGATCAGCTCCTCTCTCCTACGACGCACCTAAGCCTTTGCTCGTCAACGCTTGGGGTAATTGTAGATACAAGGGTCTTGAAATGTAGGCCTGCAACCATTACCGGCATTTGTTATTCGGTGCCGGTCTGCTAATGCACGCCCGACTACCTATCGGGGGTAGGTTGCCTCCTCGCCTCGGGTTCCCATGAACCAGTACATAGAAAAACGGCAAGAATACATCTACGCATCTACGGAGCAACAAGGGAGTGTGTAACGTGTCCAACAAAGGAGTGAGATAACTACTGCTCTAAACCCCTGTAAGCCGGCGAACCCCTGTCATGCCCCTGCACACACTGATAAACCCTGTAGACTGCGGAACCGAATCCTTCGAACTAGGATCAAATCCTCCTTCCCAGCTCCTCGATGAAGATCTCGGCAGCCCTCTCACCAACAGACAACGCCAGGTTGTTAGTGTGAGCACTGACGTTGTGGGGTGCGATGCTTAGATCTGCCACCTTGAGGCCCGTCACGCCGTAGACGCTGAGACTCGCGTCCACCACCCCCTTTTCTTTCTGTGGGAGCATCTTGCAGGTTCCCATGGAATGCCAAGTAGTAGCCACGGTTCTGCGCAGCCATTCGTCGATAACGGCGTCGTCTTCGGCCGTATACTTGATATCGGCCACGTCGCTGGGCAAGGGCCCGTCAACGTCGACGCAGGCGGCTTGGGACTCCGGGGGAAAGAGGGGGTGGAAGAGGGCCACCTCCCCCCGATAGACGCCCATACGACGTGCAATTTCTCTCTGCTTCTTGTAGGCCCATCGGCATGTCTTTAGATCAATATCCCCGTCATCCGAGAAGAAGCCGATGTCGAAATCGATATCATCATCTAGTTTAGGACCCGTGATATGTACATAGCCGCGGGAGAACGGGTGAGTGAGGAAGGCTGAGGTGGAAAAATATTGGCCCACTGGGACCGAAAAGGGGTCGTTGGAATTGCTAGCGATGTCGAAAGAGTTAGAGCGCCCTCATCTAGGCATACTACTCGAAAAAGAGAGCAACTTACGCGGCAATAAGAGTCAGCATGACCATGGATTTCTTTGGCTCGCTCCTGAATTCGGCATCCCACGCCTTCTGAAAGTCGGGCCCCAGCGCGGCCACATCAGCGTCGTTGGGCCGAACTTTGCAAGTAGCATCCAAACAATTCCACCCTAGAATCTTGTCGTTGCTCGCGATCATCGACGGGATGTCGAATTTGCCATTGGCCAGCCCATCTAGAGTTTCCGGCACTTCTAAGCTGGACTTGTAGGAGACCGTAGAATTGATGTGGTCTTCGTACCCGACGCCGACTCCTGGGACATCGGCGACAGCTTCCACGCCCGCTTGCTTCAGAACTTCCGGATCGCCCACCCCAGATCGCTCCAGAATCAGAGGGGTTCCGATGGCCCCGCTAGAAAGGATTACCATCTTCCTAGCCTGGACTGTGCGAGCCGCCGAGCCTTGATTTGGCTGGTAGACGACGCCGGAGGCCTTATTCTCGGCAAAGAGGACTTTGACAACCTTGGATTCCACGAGAACGTGCAAGTTGGGGTGCGCGCCATCCTGCAGGCGCGGATGAAGATAACAAGTGGCTGCGTCCTGTCTCTTGCCGGCAGGGGAGATGTAGCTCAGTGCTCGCTGCGCCCCGTTGTCGGTGTTGAGGTCTGCCAAATCTTCGACTTCCTTCCAACCAACTCTAGCAATGGCATCTAGAAAATCGGCCTGAAGCCTGAAAGACCGGTGTGTCCCCTCGGAAATATGGATCGGGCCGTCGAATCCGTGCTGCTCTTTCGGACCTCGACCGTGATACGTTTCGAGCTGTGCGACTTAGTACAGGTCTGATGCTCAGGGCGGGGTTGTGCCGCATACCTTTCTCATCGGACCCAAAAGATCCTCAGCCGACCATCCGGGAGTCTTCCAAGCGTCCAAATCAGACCGCTGAGCTCGACTATACATGAGCATGTTGATAGAGGAGCCCCCTCCAAGTACGCTGGCGACAGGGAGAATGGGCTCCCGATCTGCTAGAGGGCTAGACTTATTTCCCTTGACGAATTGCGCTCTAGTGCTGTTGGGCATGACATGATTGATGTACAGGGCCGGATAGCTGATGAGGGGATCTCCTTCATTGTTAGCACCTCTCTCGATCAGCAGCACGGACAAGTCCGGGTCCGAGTCGGAAAGTCTGGATGCCACAATAGAGCCTGCCGTTCCGCCTGTTCGAAGTGATTAGGGATACTCGCGAGGAAATACTGTACGGCAGTCATGAACTAACCTCCGGCGATGATTACATCCACGGTATCAATGCCGTCCGGAAGCTCCTGATAGAGCGGCATGGCGGTGCGGAATTGGAGGACGGTTTAAACGTTAGGAGTAAATTGTTCACGCTTGCGTAGGATATTAGACGACAGGTAGGAACCTCTCGTCTACGAAGATAGCTGCTCAAGAAACAAGAGATACCCTACTTTTCTTGACGGGGCGTATGTGATATTTGACCCCTTTCTGCGGCTAGGAAGATGCTGGGTTGGGAGTGTGGCCGGTCGAGCAAAAGCCGAGGAGCGAGACGAGTGATGGTTCGATTCATGCGATGTTCCTCTGTAAATATCGTGGCGAGCCTCTTTAAGCGAATTAGATACATGGGGGCTACATGAAATATCGGTCTTAGGTACCTTGTCTGCCCTGGTACAAAGCGGCTCTCTGGTGTCGTCGTATTTAACTACCTAACCTACCTGCCAGCTAGCCGACTAAATGACCACCAGGTCGCCCCTGTGTCGCCAGGTCTTCCCTCTCTTCTTCTTTTAAAAAGATTCTAAACTGCTGCCCATATTACGAGTTCTGTCTGGCCGGCCTTGTCAGACTATTTCTCCGCAATGAAAATCCTCTGCATCCACGGCACTGGATCCAATGGCACTGTAAGTTGCCTCGATTACAACTACTAGCGCGCTGTCCAACGATTACCGCTACAAGTTGCAGAGGCTATCTCCATCTACCTAGGCAATAGTCGGGGCTGACCTAATCGCCGTAGATTATGCAGATGCAAATTGGTAGGTACCGTACCTACCAACACCCACCTCCAACCACCGGCTGGAGGCGGCTCGCTTAATTGAATACAGCGGCACTGCGATATGAACTGGAAGATGGGCACGAGTATGACTTTGTCGAGGCTGTAGCGCCGGCGCCGATGTCTGAAGGTGAGGGCGACAATACCCGCCGCACCAACATGCCGAACGTGCCAAGGGCAACAGCTCACCTGCATGGTTGGAGACAGATGTTGCATCCTTAGCCTCGCCCGACCAAGACTTTTATGCCTTCTACCATCCTGTTACTTACGGCGGGTTGCGGCAGGCGATTGATCATCTGGATGCCTTTGTCACGGCCGAGGGCCCGTACGACGCTGTCATGGGGTTCTCGGCAGGGTCGGTCCTTGCGGCTCTGTACCTGTTAGAGACGCAGCAAAAAGGGACAGGGATGCGCGCGATGCCCTTTAGATATGGCCTGTTTTTCTCCAGTGCCAAGAGCAAGGAAGCTATGAGTTCTCTGGGGATCGACCCCAACTCGGAAGCGATTCAGATTCCAACCATTCACATCTGGGGAGACAAGGATGAGATGGAGCCTACGGGCGGGAAGGATCTCAGCCAAATATGTCTTGCGTCTAGAAGGACTATTCTCGTGCACGAGGGAGGACACGAGTTTCCTCGAGACATGTCCCTCACTAAGGCTGTTCACGCCATCAGAAGGACGTTTAGCAACTAGAGGCAGGAAGGGACTAGATCGATGCTGACGGGCGGTTTGGCATATAACGTCGGTATGCCTAGAGGTGAATCTATATACAGTTGAAGGGTTGCCGTTGAGGAAGCCAGAGCTATATTACTTTTGCGCGGCACGCATAGATACCTACCTGACTCCTAGATAATAGGACTCACGTAGAATTCGAGACACACGGAAACATCACTCTACCGGGTGCTTATCTTCCAGCTATGATTCCTGCTCCTAGGTATATTATCACTTATTATCACTTATGCATGGCAGGACTTATTCCATCCAGGGTTAAAGCTCCGTACGCCGGCCAGTTTCCTATAACTTAAAAAAATAACTCCTCTTAAGTAGAGTATAGTAGTGCGCTCACCACCTTCCTTTCTTAAGCGAAGTCACAGAAGTAATAGTGGAAAGACTCCAAGCCTGACTTGCATGTAGTACTCGTCAGGCTGTGCCATATGCCTCTCCCCTCCTGAACCCCCCCCCTCCCTCCTAGGGACAGTCAGGGCAGCGTTGGACGGACACGCCCGCTGCATTTGGGATTGGCCCCCTGTAGTTCAATTTGTGATACGTTCCATCTTATATCCCCGTGATCTCACATAAGTATTACAAGATTACAAGGCAACAGATAATTACCAGCAATATCCAAGTTGGTGCAACCGTTTGGTTTCTTTCAAAAGCCAACAGGATCTTGTGCGACACACCGTCAACCTGACCGCCGCCAACATGCAGAATATCCAGATGGTACGCTGTGGTAGCATAGCGCCGAGAGGAAGCGTTCTTGCTGACAAGGCTGGGGCAGCTCGTCTTGGAGCGACGATCGTATTGTGTATGCCCCCCTCCTCTACGGGGAGCAGTCGTCAATCCTGTCGAAACTGGCTTGCCCGCAGAGCATCCGCATGCCCTTATTGGAGCACCCAATTTCACACGAATATGAGACTTTAGTAAATAAACGGGGATTCCATTTATGCGAGGCGAAGTCGAAGCTGTACATCAAGTTCGCGGCTCAGTTAGCCTGAGTGCCATTAATACTATATGAGTGATTTCCTCGTTGCTCCACCGGGTAAGCAACGAGTTGGCGCGGAACGATTACCTCTCTGCTGCCAGATTTACCCCCTAGTACTAGGCCACCGAATCTAATACTCCAGATTCCCAGCACTGATCATTATTGTCGTCCCTTGCATCATGCCCGCAACAGAGCTTCCGCCGGGCTCGTACGATGACCGCGGCCCTGCGTTCCAGGCGTTTTGTATCGTCGTACTGATCATAAGCATTCTGGCAATCGTCCTCCGCTTTTGGTCCCGTGCGATGAGCCAGCCGCCGCTGAACAAGAGCCGCTTTTGGTGGGACGATTGGGTCGCCCTTGCAGCAACGGTACGGCAAAAGGACCTGGAGGCGCAGGGGAAAAAAGAAAAACACTAACAGAGTCGCAGGCGACGGTGGCAAGCCTACTCAGTCTAACCTTGCTTGCTATCGCACTGGGAGGAGGAAAACATATCTGGATGATACCGCCAGATGACCTACAGCTCCTCATCAGAGTGCTGTTTTCGACCTATCTTGTTTACGACCTCGGCTTGGCGCTAGCCAAAGCATCTGCCTTGCTCTTCTTCAGTCGTGTGTTCCCAGCCTACACAACACCACGCTGGTTCTCCGTCATGATAAAGGTCACCCACCTCCTCAATGTTGCCTGGTTTATAGGCATTGTCCTGGGTACCTTCTTCATGTGCGACCCTCCCGCAAAGAATTGGAATCCGGTATTGCCGGGAACGTGCGGAACAATGAGCAACCTGTATATCGGCAGCGCAGTACCTAGTGTTGCCATCGACCTCTTCATCCTAATCCTGCCCGTACCGTTGGTGTGGACACTTCAAGTAAGCCGGGTGAAGAAATTTAGTATCACAGCGGTGTTCATCCTGGGTTACTGGTAAGCTACTAATATTGGGTATTGATAATATATCCTGATTGACCCGGCTAATATCTTCGTCGTCCCAGTTCCATCGTCGTTTCCATTGGCAGGCTCATCACTGTTCTTCGCGCTGGCGAGTCGGTGAATGACGATGTTACTTGTGAGTTCACACCATGACAGCGATAACCAAAAGCATCGTTGCCAACTCTAACGTGCGCACAGACGAGGGTATACCTGCATTCTTTTGGATCGAAGCTGAGATTCCCGTTATGCTTCTTTCCATAAGCCTTCCCGCTATGATGCCTCTCGCTCGCCACGTTGGGGTTAGGTATTTTGAACCGCTAATCACCGCCGTTTCGAGCGTTTTCTCCTCCAAAGCCACATCTTTCGACGACAATAAGTACAATCGGTTTACTCGGACTCCGCAGCACGGGGACCTTTCAACTACTAGTTATGGCCATACTCGCCTATCATCAGCCCACGACGACCGAGAGGAGCTGACCGGCGCGGAAGGCTCCGAGCTATACAACCTCCAGCCCTCAGGAAAAGTTGACAACAGATGTTAAATCGTTCCTCAGTTGATGCGCCGAGGAACCTGTTGGCCGAAGTTGCGGAGATGGAAATGGAGACATTGTGCCAATACCTGAGCGAGTATGATTTGTACCCTCACAGTTACGCCTTGAGCCATTAGATATTAGGAGCGTTCCTGGAAAGTAGAATAATAAGGAACACAACATTTGAGAATGTGCCAACTTGCAGCTAATGAGGTTTATCTCCCCTCGCCCCTACTCCTCCTCTCTCCGCCTCCCAAAAACGTGTGTGCGAAATATACCTATACATTAGACTAGGTACCTAAGGTACCCTCCAGGTACCTGTTTTAGGCACGTTAGAGAGGGGTCGGGTACCTAGGTATGTACCTAGGTGGGGCTCCGGATGTACCCGTACTATAGAGTGTGGAGGGGTGGGGCGGCTAAATGCTAGGGTACCTGTAGGTACCTTACAACTAGAAACCTAGCGCAGAAAAGAACCGATCCGCATCGCGACCTTCTCCGCGCTCGCTTCCCAACCCAGAAGATGACCCATCAGAAGGGTATCGTGCGGGGCGCCGGCTTCGTAATTCAACTCTATGCAATTCCCCTCCACGCGCTCCATCTCCTTGGCCCAGCGAGTAATGTCCATCTCGAATAATTCAGCGGTGCCGACGTTGACAAATGTCCGCACCGGGGTGGCGAAAGCGTGTCCCAAGGGTGAGATGTAGGGATCACTGACGGAGGCGTTGCCGGCATAAGCGGTGGCTCCCCACCGAAGTAAGGAGAACGGTAAGTAGTCTGATGCGAAATGGGGGTTGCTTCTCACCACCAGCTCGGGGCCTACGATCGCGCTGGGTGCTACCCACGGTGAAATGAGGACTGCGGCTGCTGGTAGAGGAATCCCGAGCTCTTTGCCGTGGGCTGAGAGGTATCGCAGAAGGCCGATCACGAGGTTTCCGCCTGCGCTATCGCCGGAGAGGATTATGTTCTCCGGAGCTATGCCGACTGTGTCCACGAGGTACATGTAGCTCGTCAGGGTATCTTGGAGTGCGGCAGGAAAAGGCTGCGATAGGGGGCGCGATGCCAGTCGGTACTGCGGGGCGAAAACGGCGACCGCACGCGTGTGCTTGAGCAGCAAGGAGCTTAGGAAGCTGATACTCTCTTGGCGACCATCCCCGGTGATGAATGAGCCTCCGTGCATATGGAGAAGTACTGGAGACGACGATCCTAAGCCCGTCTCCTCTGTCGAAGACTCCAAGAACCACGTTGCGCCGATCGGCGCGGGTAGTATGTCTACGCTACGGAAGGGATGGCGGTATAAGGATGAGCTCGCTGGTGTGATCACCACGAATCTTTCTCGTGAGCTGCGAGGCTTGAGCGAGAGGCTACAAGGCGTCTGAGTCCGACCGGTCGTGTTGATGTATTCCCGAGCCAGACGGGCGGATATGACTTGCCGTAAATTCCACGTTGGATGGGGTTGCCAGGACCGCGGCCCTACCAGGTAGCTCACGAACCAAAACGGCAGCAGAAAAGGGATGTATAATATACAGTATATAAGCTTGTAAACGGTGCTGAACGGTTCGTGAGAGATCAACGGCCTGGACTCGGAGGCTGCCATGTTGTAAATAAAACGCTGCAGGCCGAGAGGGACGCAGGCAGAAAAATCCGAAACTTGAATTCTGTGACGAACTCATCACCAACGCGTCGATCTCCTGGGGGGGAAGGTGACTGTTTTTCTCTAATATCGCGTGCAATGCACCAACCTCCTTATATGTCCTTCTCACAAGACGGCTAGGACTCCTAGAATCCGGCACTGGCCGTTATTATTCGGTGATTACCTGCCTATGCCCACCCCTGCCTGATCGACCTTCATAGTATTATTACCTGTTGTTCGAGGTAGCATGAGCACCAACCTGCATAAATAGAAATACCCGTAAACTACATACCCTTAAAACCAGTTAGCCCCCAGCATGGCGATCAGGCCAACTCGTCTGCATTTGACCATTTGTCTGTCTGTCTGTCTGTCTCTCTCTCTGCCTGCCTACCTGTTTGTCTCCCTGCCCATCGTCCCCTGCCGATCCGGTCTGTGCCCGATCGACTCGACATCCGGAACTAGCTAGCTATGGCCGCGAGCACTGTGCCATCGACGCTCGCCGTTTCCGACTCGGACAACACCGTCCAAGAGATAAAGCCAAACGAATGCCAGCCGGGCCAGCCCTCCCTAGGCGTCGTGACTACGACCCAGATCCCCATTCCTTCGAGCCATGACGCCCCGAAAGCCGGTCGGCAACTTCGGGGGTTCGCCTGGTTTATCATGGTTGTTGCCCTCATCCTGTCTACCTTCCTCTACGCGCTTGACAACACCGTGCTAGCCAACGTCCGGCCTAGCATAATCGACACTTTGGGCCGCATAGACCTGTTGCCTTATGTGTCTATCACCTATCCGCTGGGCGAAGTCGGGTCGAGCCCTCTTTGGTATGTTCTTCAATACCTGCACCAGTCACATTGGCTGCCCTGGATTTTGGGCTGACGGGCTGACTGACGCTTCCATTAGGGGCAAGCTCAACAACCTATTCAACAACAAGATCCTCTTCCTCATTGCGCTAGCCGTTTTCGAAATCGGCTCCGCCGTCATCGGGTCCGCCAGATCCATGGAGGCCGTGATTGTGGGTCGCGCCATCGCCGGGTTTGGCGGATCGGGAATCTACATGGGCACGATGAATATCGTGTCGGCCATGACCACACCAACCGAGAGACAGCTATATCTGAATCACATCGGCATCGCCTGGAGCTTGGGGACCATCTTGGGCCCCATTATCGGCGGCGCCTTTGCCGATTCCTCGGCAACCTGGAGGTGGGCATTTTATATCAACATTGTTGTCGCTGCTTTCGGCGGGCCGACCTGTGTCTTCCTGGTCCCACCCGTCCTTCCACCGGCCGCCAACACCAGGACCGTCTGGGAAAGAATAAAACAAGTCGATTACGTCGGCGAGATCCTCTTCCTGGGAGGCGTCCTCGTCCTGGTCATGATCCTCGGGTCCGGCGGCGCCGTGTATTCGTGGACCAGCGGACAAATGATAGGGTTATACGCAGCGGCGCCTGTGATTTGGATATTATTTTACGTCCAACAGCGTTTCGAAATATTCACTGTGGACAGAATCTTCCCGCTGCAACTCGCGGGGGATTGGCAGACGGTGTCGCTATTTTTCTGGGCCGCTCTGGCTATCGCCAACAACGTAGTTACTATTTATTCCTTGCCGCTGCTCTTCCAGTTCGCTTTCAACGACTCGGCTCTACGTGCTGCGGTGTGGACGCTCCCTTTTATCGCCGCTCTTCTTGCCAGCGGAGGCCCACTTGGGCCAATATTTCCCAAATTTCCTGTCTACTGGATCTGGTTTGCTGCCGCCGGCTCGCTTATGCTCATCGGTGGCGGCTTACTTACAACGATTAACTACAGCACCTCTCGTGGTGCTATAGTCGGATATACCGTTATCCAGGGCCTCGGCTGCGGCCCCGTCGTACAACTTCCCTTTACCGTCGGTCAAGCCAAGGTTGCTCGATCTGAAGCCGGTGCAGTCACTGGCTTCCTCACCTGTGCACAAATGGGTGGCCTTGTGCTTTCGCTGGGGATTGCAACTACTGTATTCCTCAATCTAACTACGAACGATATTGCTGCGATCCTCCCGGACCAACCGCTCAGTTTGATCCAGGCTGCTATTAACGGTGACAGCTCGTCATTCTTTGAACAGTTAGACCCTGATATTCGTCAACAGATCGTCGAGATAATCGCTCATAACATCGGGAAAGTGTTCTACTTGAATGTCGCTGGCTCTGGGTTTGGTCTGGTGACCGCACTACTAATGAAACGAGAAAGATTACAACTTCGGGTGGAAGAATAGCGAAGGGTTAACGACCCAAGAACCAATCGCTGATAAACTAGCGCGGTAGAATAGAACCTGTTAGATAAGTTATAATATTGGGCGAGTTTAGGCTATTATGTATGCGAGGTCGAGATTTCGAGTTCCGGGGAAGTCTATCTTCGTGTGGTGTAATATTGTATAGCAGGCGTGCAGCATTAAACACGATAGTAATCTGTGAGAGGGTGTGTCTATTACGAGGCCGTCCGCCAGTCGAGGGGTCATACCAAATGTAAGTCAGCATAAGAGACTATTAGCCTAACCTTGGGCAGACTCGAAACCAACTCTTCTATCTGGAGCCAGCAGCTTTTGAGGCATCATCACATAACCGCATCACTTGAACGCTCGCATATAATTCTTTTTTCTTCTTCCTAAGATGGTGATGCTGTTGTGCCTCAGCCTCTTAGGCGCTATAGATCTATAGAACCGGTCCAATTGTAACGCCACAATCCATCATTATGCTAGTGCCGGTAATTGATACGGCGCCGGGGCTACATAAATATAAACAAGAGGCCGCCACTTCATAGGCTTCCATTGGGCGCTTCCTCGCAGCTAGCCTCTCTACGACCTGCGGTGTCAAAGGGGACCTTCTACAATCTTCTTCATACATCGGCGTTTTCGTCCACGCTGGGCAGACCTGGTTTACTCGAATGTCATAAGGTTTGCAATCCATTGCTGCTAGGTTAGCATTGTGGACGCCAATGGCCAATTAAGGGTTTTACTTACCACAGGCTCGAGTCAGACCGAGCATCGCGTGCTTGGATGCTACGTAGGGTGCTTTCCAAGGGACAGCGCCCACGGCCATGGCCGAGCAAACGTGGACTATAGCACCGCGGCCAACGTCACGGATCCCGTGCCGTCCTAAGTGGACTTGTAGGGGCTCTTGGTCCTTCATGACCTTGACGGCGGCCTTGGACAACAAGTAAGACCCCTTTGCATTGATTTCGAGCACACGATCGTAGTCATCATCGGCTGTCTCCTCAAATGGGACGTATTCGGCAACGTCGACCTGTATGCTTTAGTAAATACTATTTCTGTCGGTAAATTTCGTCCGTGGACTTCAGACTCACGCCAACAGCATTCACAAAATAGTCAATCCTGCCAAATTCTTTGACAGCGAGGTCCATCATGGCCTTCACAGAGCTCGGGTCTGTGACATTGAGCTTCACGGAAAGAGCCTGATAGGTGGGGTTTGATGCTAGGGATTTGCTCTCTCGAGCCGCGTTGGCGACCCCGTCATAGTTGGTGTCCCCAAACAGGATACCCCGAGCGCCAGCTGACGCGAGAGTAAAAGCAACTTCCATCCCTATCCCCCCAGCAGCCTGATTGAAAGGAGTATTAGCGTGGCATTCCCCGACCGGACGGCTAGGGCACGTACGCCAGCAACGACGGCAAATCCGTGGACACGAGACTGTTCCATATTTTCTCTGTATGGGATGGGGGAAGGGCGTCGGACTCTTGACCTAGCAAAAGTAGGAACGCGAAAGGATCCGGATAGGCCACTTACCACCATGCTCTACAGAATACATAACGGAGCGGTGTTGAGCAAGGCTGAAAACGTAAGGTAGCCGACGGTAGATAGGCGCCTACGTAGGATCCCGATTACGGATATCCTTAGGCAACGGACAGGTTGGCGGGCCGCTCCTAGTGGACGTAGGATGAGACGCGTGTGTGCCTATCATTTCTCAGGTCCCCGTCTTACATACATACATACCTAGGGTGGTTACATTCCTCATCACAGGCATATCCCCGGTGTACTAGAAGAAACGTTGCGTAATAATATTCGCGCATTTGCGGTGCGTTACATACATCTGTATGTTGGGTCGCATTGTCGTAGGGCGTCCTTGTACTGGCAAATATTGGTAACTAATAAGACGGCGAGTTGTTTACTTGGGGAAACTGCCTAGGGTTATTATTATAGGCCATGTAAGAATAAGACCAACAGTCTTGCATCATTCGAGGTATTCATTTGTCGCAATCTTCCCTGCGTAACCTGTTAACCGCGCTTCGTCCATTTTGGACGACACCAGTCTAACAAGTCTCGCCGAATTTCCCGAGACCTGAAGAGACATATTCAGATTCCCCGAATTGAAGCCAATTTATGTTATACCCGATGATGAAAGACGTTACTTATGGACAAAACACAGGCTATAATCGTTCTCGAGGAACAAAACGGTGCTGCTATCCGCGACGTGCCGGTTCCCAAGCTACGGGATGATTGTGTCCTTGTCGAAGTGAAGGCCATCGGGCTTAGCCCTACGGACTGGAAGCATATCGATTTTGGCGCCGCGGACGCCGGCTCTAGAATTGGATGCGATTACGCGGGACTTGTTCATGACGTTGGCAAGAAAGTCAGTAGATTCAGGAAGGGTGACCGGATCGCAGGCGCCGTCCATGGCGGGTGAGTGAGCTGCTGGCAGTCATCGGCAGCACATGTACGAAGCTTCGTCCATAACTCCTACATTTACTAACATTGTATTACTTAAGAGACCGCACCAACCACGATAATGGCGCCTTTGCTCACTACATAGTTGCAAAGGCGGATGTGGCGATTCACGTCCCAAACAATATCAGCGATGTAGAGGCGGCCACCTTAGGAGTCTCGCTGATCACTATTGTAGGTTTCCGAAAAAATATATATATAGGTGGTATCAACTAGCTTAACCTGGAATTAGGGGCAATCACTTTATAAAACCCTCAAACTACCTCTGCCTACCATGCCGGCCCTGGAACCGTTCCCTCTCCTCGTCCACGCGGGAAGCACCTCGACCGCGCTACTCGGTATTCAGTTCGCTAAGGCATCCGGTCTAACAGTTGTTGCGACAGCGTCTCCTTATAATTTCGACCACGTTCGGATGGCTGGTGCCGATGCCGTATTCGATTATAAGTCACCGACATGCAGCGAGGACATTAAACGATACACTGAAAATACGCTCTGCTATGCGTGGGACTGTATGGGCACCGGGATTGAGCTTTGCGCTAATGCCCTCAGTGATGCCGAGCCTAGCATTTACACCACACTTAATCCGGTAGAGGGATCGCCTCTGAAGCGGATCAATACTCGGGTCAATGGCCCATATTTTACCCTGGCATATGATGCTTTTGGTGAGGAGTATGTATGGATGGAGGAAACCGTCCCTCGGAAGCCGGACGAAATCGAGTTTGCGGCCAACTTTCTGCTAGTTGCCTCGAGCCTGTTGGCCGAAGGGGTGGTGGTTCCAGTCAAACCGGTTGTCAATAGTACAGGGGAAGGACTTGAAGGAGCGCTCGTGGGCTTAGACGAACTCAGGGCAGGTAATGTCAGTGGAAGTAAATTGGTTTACACGCTTTGAAAATAACAGCCAACATATCATGTATACGAGATACCATAAGTGTTCACCATGAAACATCCTCTTGCTAGGGAAAGGTGAAAGCTAGGCGGATAGCTAGAATACAAATCTAGATATATTATGAGTGGGGTCGACGTGGAAAATCCTAGGCTCTGTCGGCTTGGTGAGAGTCATGCATTGACTATGGCATAGACATGTTGAACTACCAAGACCCTCTTAAGACCCTCTCAAGCTTGTATAATATTAGCAATTACCTACCTGCCTGACTATTTGTTATACCGCCGGTTATCTACCTCCGCAATATCATCGCGACCTTGGTTAGCCCAAACCCCGAACACCGCATAACCCGCAATACCGATATAAGGGTAACGCTGATTTATTTACAAACCGGTGCTATTTCCGCCCCCGATCACGCACGCAAAAGCGATTATCTACGGGCATTTGCTTTTCGCATGCTACCTAGAACGTAAGGTAAGATATAGCAGATGTTCTTCTGTCTCTATCGACGATGAGTCGCTGCAGGCTCGATGGCGCCTCGCTTCGCAAATCCCGCCCTTAAAGCAGCGAGTTGGTGGTGTCAGGCAGAGAGTCGGGTGTGAGCAACTCCGGTCGCTCTCTACAGACGCTGTTATGAGGCACAGTCTATCCACCAAAGGTGATCGATCGGCGCGGCCGAGCTGCTATACGGGTGCTTATGTCTCGTGTAACACACCATTCGGACCGTTGTCGCCGGATCCGACGACACCCGTAACAGAGGGGGCGGCGCAACTCAGGTTACACAGCCGAATCAACTGCCAAGTAATATCACGAACAGAAGACGACGCCGAGAGTAAGCACATACGCCCATCCAATACGAGGGAGACGCCACACACCCAGATGGATAAAGAAACGACTTACTTACGTACCTGGGAAGTACATGTAGGTACACATACACACGAGGCGCGAATATGGGACTTGCAACTCGAAAACGATAAAGATTCCTCTCTCAGGTGATCGGAAGCACCCCGCTAGATTCGGGGTCATACCCGGCGCTTGTCTTCTACTCTAAAGCTTAGCTACATTTTGTTGCCTTTCGGTTTGCGGTCCAGTCTCGCCCAAAGATCTCACTCAATTGTGTATCTGAAACATCTCGAATCCCCCCCCCCCGACGTGTTCCTTAATCTCGTCCGTCAGATGTTCACCTCGCCTTATGATGGCCTCTCGGACCCTGAGATTCTCGATGTTTTAGTCGTCGGCGCGGGAATCTCAGGTATTAATTGCGCCTTTCGCCTGCAGACCGAGCTTCCTGGCATCGAATTTGCCGTTCTGGAGGGCCGCAGCAACATTGGCGGAACGTGGGACCTTTTTAAATACCCTGGCGTACGCGCTGATACCGACCTTCACTCATTCGGGTTCCCATGGTATCCCTGGCCGTTCGATTGTCCGATTGCCGACGGTTCTCTCCTAACATCCTACCTTTCGAGTGCCATTTCGAAGTATGAGCTCGGAAAACACATTCGACTCCGCCATCGTGTCGTTTCCGCGGACTGGTCTTCCGAATCTCAACGATGGGAGATCGTGGTGAATGCAGAAGGTGGCCAACTCCAAACGATCAAAGCTCGCTTCATGGTCGTGGCTGCTGGGTATTACGACTACGGGTTACCTCTCAAGCCCGATATTCCTGGCTTAAACGAATTTCAAGGGGAGGTCATCAACCCGCAAATGTGGCCGGATGATTTCGAATACGAGGGCAAGAAAATCGCCGTGATAGGCAGTGGCGCGACAGCAATTACCCTCTTCCCTGCCCTGGCTAAGAAAGCTGCCGAGATTACGATGGTACAGCGAAGCCCTTCATACATCTTCTCGGGGAAACATTCCACCTACTCTCCGCCGTGGGTTCGCAAGTACCTGCCTCGAGCTATCCGTCTGAAATATGAGCGGATCTACTTCATCGTTATCCCTTTTCTCCTCGTCCTTTTCTGCCAGTACTTCCCTAGGCTTGCGAGAGAGATTATACGAAGAGACGTTTCGGAGTATTTGCCTCCCTCGGTCCCTCAGGACCCACACTTCACACCACGATATAACCCCTGGGAGCAGCGTATGTGCTTCAGCCCCGGGGGGGAGTTCCATCGTACTTTCTACCGACCCAATGCGAAAATCGTGACGGGACGGATCCGAACAATTGGGGAGAACCGGATACACATGGAAGACGGGCAAAGCATAGAGGTTGAGGTCATCGTGACGGCAACAGGCCTGAACATGAAGCTAGGAGGGGACATCGCGATACGAGTTGACGGAGAAAGCACTTCATTGAAACAGAGACTTCTGTGGAACGGGGCTATGTTCGAAGGGATACCCAACATGGCTTACACGATTGGGTACCCGAGGCATGCGTGGACGCTCGGGGCAGACAATACTGCATTTGTCGTCGTAAGACTCCTGAAATACATGAAAACGGAGGGGGTCACGTCCGCAACCCCGCGGCGGCCCCGGGATTCGCATGAGCACAAACCAGAGCCGATGTGGCCTTTCAGCTCAACCTATGTTGTGCGCTCAAGGAATGACATGCCTGTGTATGGGAGGACGGGGCCGTGGAGGCCGAGGGATAAGTCGCCGTTGGATTGGATCCACGCGCGATGGGGAAACATCACCCGCGGGCTGCATTTTTCTGTCTAATGATAATACCTACGACCTATGGAAAGAAGAGACTGAGTAGTTTTCACCGAGTTGAGAGGCTCTCCGATTGTAGTCTTAACACGAAAAGACAAATCTACCTCCCAACCTGGGCTAAGGATACTTACGCGCCGTCTTCTAGTACGGCGGTGGGGATATATAGGCGCCGTCCTGACCAATAGCTGGCCTTGAATCGGCCTGTGATGCGCCCAAAAGGGAAGTTTTTTATACCCAACCTACACGTCGGGATACGGAGATGGTCCAGCGGGTGCACCATCGTGAGGTGGGCTAATAAGCACCTTCAACGTAGCACATTAAGCATCGAGCAAGTCCGGCCCTCGCAGGCAGACGATTAGATGCCTGGGGCGGCTTTTGTGTTCTGCATAGAGAGAGGGAGAGTTGCTTAGGGACTGTTAGTAGTGAGCAAGTGACGAACTAGGCGGGGCCGAGTTATTTCCGTCGGGCAGGTTGTGCTTAGTCAGTGAAATTCGGGGATATGGATTTATGCATATACATTGTGCATGCATCAGGTGCACATCCAAAACTAGTACCGATCGACCGGATCCTAGGCAGGTTAAACTCCGTCGCGCAACAGCGATACCGCCTCTCCCCATCCCATTTTATAACCTCGTCCTACCATTCCGCCAATTGCCGGCAACCTACCTCGAGACGCCGTCATCGCGATGGACACCGTCATGCACGAATCCCCTCCTCCGCTGCCGGTCGACGACGAGCCCAAATACGGCGGGTACAGCCGCTTCGAGATCGAGCTCGAGGTACGTCCCCCGCGCCCCTCCCCAACCGTATAGACCGTATGCGTCATATAGGCGGAACTATGCCGTAGAGATTCATCGGAGCTGACGGCTGTCCCTCCGCGGACGCGCAGTTTGTGCAATCGCTCGCGAACCCCTTCTATTTGAACCACCTCGCGTCGCAGAAGCTGCTCGACGAGCCCGCCTTCGTCGCCTACCTCGCCTACCTGCGGTACTGGGCCCGACCGCCCTACGTCAAGTACCTCAACTACCCGGGCCCGACCCTCAAGCACCTCGAGCTGCTGCAGGAGAGGCGTTTCCGTCAGGACATCATCAGCCCCGAGCTGGCCCAGGCCCTGGCCGCCGAGGGTGCCAAGGCCTCGGTCGATTGGCACAAGGATGACTGACCGGCCGCGCGCGAACTCGCGACGACGACGGTACTGTATGCGCCAGCTCGCAGATGCTACGATTTTCGTCCCGAGCCTGTGTGGTAGGAGATACGACAGGAGCACGCGGGAGGTACAATTAAGAGGAGAGAAACGCTAAGAAAAACAAGGAAATAAAAAAGGATACAGATTCGAGTTGGGGGTATAACGACTACGGCCTAATCTGACAAACTCCTGGCCTCGAGCGACGATAATCCGAAGGCGCCGACTTGATGCTGGCTCCGATGCCTCCCCGACGCCTTTTCCACCAGCTCCGAACTCCAATAAACAGGAATACAAAAAGCCCTCAGCAGTACCGACTCTCCGCCAGAATATCTAGTTCTCTCTCCATCGGTGGCCGCAAGTCATGCACTGTATATCGGAATCAGCATCCCTCCTCCTGCACACCTAGTCGACCTTGCCACTGCCACTTCCGGCGTGGCGCGTGGGGATGGTTGGCGCGGCTCACCTTGTAGAAGCTCGTCATGGGCTCGTCGGCACTGCGGATCTGGATCTGGTAGAAGGCGGCCTCCTTGCCGGGACAGGAGGAGACGTTGCACTGGACGGTGGTCTTGCTGGCGTTGTCCCAGGCGCCGGGCCCGCCGAGGACGTCCTCGCGCTCCTTACGCTTGAAGTACTGTCGCGAAAACAGAGGCTCCTCGATGGCGTGCTGGTAGGGGCAGGTGCGGCATTCGAGCCGGTTGCGCCCGCTGTCCGACGCCGACGAGACCGTGAGGATGTTGCTGCACTGGGGGCAGACTATGCGAGTGTGTATGTTAGGAAATGGAGAAGGGGTTCCGTCAGTGATTCTTGACCAGATTCCTAGCTCGACGCGTAGGCGCGCGCTTAGTTCTGAAGACAACGGCGAACGCGGTACTTACAGAGTAGCATGATGGACGGAATCGGCTGGTTTCACTAGATTTATACTGCGGTTATGAAAATGAATTTAAAAGCTCTGTAACAAGGGGAGAGGGAGAGTTGAAGACGGACGTCGGCTTGCTGGACAGGACGCCGCCACTTGACTGAAAAACTGACGGATGTACCTACACATAGACGCCGACCGCCTTACAGCTTAGGTAAGCGCGTCGAGGTGTAGCGCATAGTTGAATATGCATGTATCGGAAAAGAGGAAGCCTGCCCCACCAAACATCCCGCCGGAATGGGGCATGACAAATAATCCGAGGCACCCCCACCATCCCACGCCACCTTCCACAACGCGGTACCTGGAGTAGGTACCTAGGGCAGGTACCCAATGTTACGTAAGACGTATCCCAGTACCGTTGTGGTTCGGGCGGTGGGAAACGTCAAGGCCTCCTTTTCTGACCGTCTCGCGTATCAGACAACTAGGCGCCTTGAACCTTCCCCTACGTCGCCCATACATCTCCGTAGGCCTCTTCGCTCTGCTCATACCCGGGCCCGTCCACGCAGGCAAACGGGATCTCACTCGCCCTGCAGCACATCTACAGGGCCAAATTTCCTCCATCTAGCTACCTCACAACCTCCTCGCCCGACGAGCCCGCTTCCAGACCCAACGCCGAAGACACCGTGTTTTCCCCTCTGCCCGCGCGGGAGCGACTCCGCCTGCTCTCCTCCTCCTGTCATTCGCACGCGGCGCTCACGGCCCATCCATCCGCGCGAGCCCTCGCTGCTTTTCCCCTCGCGAGGGACCAAGGTGGACGTCGAGACCACAAGCCAAGCCCCTCTCGCCGTCTCCAAGATGGCCGATAATCACGAACACGATGTATGCTATCCGCCCACCTACGCATCTGCGATCCTACACATCTACGCCCCCATAATATGCCCATCTCTGCCCCCCTTCTCCGCCGCACTCTCTCCGGCTAGCCTCTGGGCACATGGCGGGAGGGACTTATACAACAGAATACAAAGACGCAGGCATGCAAGGAGAGAGGGGTGACCTCAGGTCGACATGTACCCCGCGTCACCGCCGTCGTTTCGATTTTAATTATTGCTGCCGGTGCTTCCGTTGCTAACCGCCAACTCCCAGGGCGCCTCGGTGCAGGAGCAGCTGATCGAGGCCTGCCGGCGCAACAACGTCGAGCTGCTGGGCGAGATCATATCGCAGTGCAAGAGCGACGCCGAGATCACAGACCTGCTCAACAACACGACCACCGTCATGGGCAACCACCTGTACCACGAAGCGGCGCTGCGGGGGAACTGTGCGTCCCGTCTTTCCTCCCCCCCATCTCCCCCCCTCCCCTCCCCTCCCCCGCGACACAACCCGACGCTAACCCCTTCCTCTCCCGGAGACGCAGACGAGGTCATCGACCTGCTCCTCGACCAGCCGGACTTCGAGTGCGACCCGCTGACGCGGGCCGAGGGCGACACGCCGCTGCACAGCGCGGTGCGCTGGCTCAACGGGGAGCCGGCGGCGCAGCGGCCCTTCGGCGCCGCGCTCGTCGGCATGATGCTCGAGGCGGGCTCGTCGACGCGCGTGCGCAACAAGGCGCGCCTCACGCCCGCCCAGCTCGTCGACCCGGCCAACCCCGAGCTGCGCGGCATCATCGAGCGGCACGAGTACGCCGAGCTCAACGCCGGCGACTTCGTCGACAGCAGCGGCCCGCCCCCCGCCGCCGCCGCCGCCGCGGCGAAGAAGGCCGCCGACGGCGGCAGCGGCAAGAAGAAGGGGGCCAAGGCCGCGGCCCCCGCCGGCTCCTTCGCGCGCCCCCCGCACCGTGACCACGACGGTGACGACGATGATGACGATGCCGAGTTCTCCGGCAGCGACGAGGAGGAGCGCGCCGAGTGGGAGCGCAGACGCAAGGCCAAGGGGCGGTGAAAGGGGGGGGGGGGCCTAGGCCTAGGCAGACAAGGTGCGCCAGAGGAAAAGTAGAGGGGGGGTTAGAGATAGATACGAGAGAGAGGGGGGGGAGGGGGGAAGAGCAGGCACAAGAAGAGATAAAACGGATACACGTAATACGGCTCGACTAGGAAAGCTGTCATCTGGTTAGACGTGAGGCCGGGGCGTAGTCTTGGCCCCGGCTGCCCGGCCCAACCAGGCGGGACGCGCGGAGACGGGCAGAACTAGCTACGAAGGAGCTCCCTTAGCTGTGCGTTCGTGCTGCAGACGGGACAGGCGCTGCTGCGGTCTCGGGCGGTCTCGCGTTGAGGCTGCCGGGATGTGCTGGACACACACCTACGCATCGAACGAAACTACAACGTCAGAGGAATACTTTTTCTATCCGTCTCTTGATTACGGTGACGGTAGGCGTGTATGGAAGTCCCTGTAGCTCATCGCTACTGCTGTTGCTGCTGTGGCCTGTTGCTTACCAGTGCTACAAGTATGCGGCGAGAGGAACACCTGGGCCAGCGTAAAGACGAATGGAGAGAGAGCATCGTCCCCTTGGGGTTAGTTTACCTCTTGTAACGCCTTTATGGGAGGGATTCATGCGTTCTTGCGCACCACGCACCCATAGCAATGGACAACAAGCTAGAACACAACTTTCTAGGAATGCAAATCATCGATTAAGAGTGGCCTCAAGTAGCTAGACCCAGCAATGCTATAAGCTAATGTAATATGATATGACCAGCTAGTATACCCTTGGCAGTTCCGATGCCCCCATGAACCGCCCAACGCCACCCCTTACGCCTCTCTCACCACTCTCTCGCCACTCTCCCTCTCCCCCTCTCTTTTTTTTTTTTCCTTTTCCCACCAATTTTGTATGTTGCCTCAACTCAAATTCATCCGTTCCCTTGAAGATGCTGCAAAGACGCCTTATAGTAGGTAGCGGGTATCTGCCAGAACGTAGCAGCCAGGGGACAAGCCCCCGTCGGGCCTATCGAAGATAGAAATCTGTAAGCAAAAGAGTGAAAGAGGAATCAAGATGCCATATGTTTTGGCAGTTATCGTGTAGCCAGGAAATCTCCTTGTCCGGAGTAAAGCAAGTGCGCATAAATGGATGTGTTCAGGGTGGAAGTAGCCGATCTCTCAAGCAGTAAACTTGATGGTGATGATGATAACGTGGGTTCTGGCTCCCACTGCAGTCGCACGAAACGCCTTTTGAATCTGCGAATAGGCGCGATGCTGGCCGCACCAACCTGAGGCTGGTCTGTTGATTGTTGAGGGATAGGAAGCAAATAGGCTTAATGGGGTTGAGCAAGGAAGCACGAGCGAAATAAATCTGTGGCGAAATCTTTTGATTCCGCGATTTTGGGAACGGAGAATAGCTTGATCAGATCCGGATGTTTCGCGAGAATCCTTTTCGCATTTTTGATATTGTTCATAAAGGAATCCATGTCCATCTCTGTAATTTGCCCAGGCTGTGGCTGAGTGTAGACGGCACGGTTGCGATCCTCAGTATGGCCGTCCTGGTCTGATGAACTAGGAGGCTCAGACTCGGTAATACTGTCAGCCCTGGTTCCGTTGTTGTCATTTGACCAACTGGGTTCTGATGGTGAATTGGATTCATCCGACGAAATAGATGCTCCAGATGGAATTGGCATGCCTGGCTGGGCAACATCGCTTCCAGGGCGGCGTTTGAATTGATCTGTCTCTCCGTCGTAGTCCTGAACTGCCCACTTGTCAGGGATCTTCCCGTTTACGTCGACCAAGCTACGCTGGGTAGCGTCCTTGATGGTCTCCGGAAGAATGTAGCGACTAGTTAATGCAAATCGATGCATGCCGTATGGATCAACTGCATGCTATTATGGACAAGTTAGAATTATAGTTATTAACTCATGGGTGGATATTGAGGTGCATACGATATAGAGCTTTTGGATCTGTGATCCATGCATGACAAGCGTATCACCATGCTCCAGTAGGAACCCAAGCATCGGCTGCCTGTGTCTTTTGCTTTTGTCCTGAGGATTGCCCAAGTTGGTATTCTTCTTGGGGTGGAATCTCATCTGGGCCGGAGAACCCAAAGAAAGAGTGGCGACATTTGGCCCTACCTCCTTCTCTCCGTCATCATGAGGCTAAAATAGAGTTGAATTAGTTGTTGAAAAGAGTATTAAATGGGAAGAGAGACTGGGGGTTGATCATACGCTGATTTTGGAGTTCTCAAAGTACCCGAGAATGAGTTGCTCATTATACGGCTTTATGTCCTTTGGTATTGCGTTCTCAGGGGTTAGAATGGCGTCTTTTTCGATGAGCTGGTTTGTGATATCGCATGCAGTCTTTCCTGCCCAGGTTAAACGTAGGACAGACTCTATAATCGGGTCGGGTGCATCCATGAACCCGCTGGTAGTCTTCACAACGACCCCGAACTTGTAAGGTGCACCCTGGAATATTGTCAGCTACAGACCAATAGTTGTGATAGAGAAGCTGTAGACTTACAAAATTGACAGAGAAGTGCGAGGTCAGCTCCTCAATTCGAGATCCTGTAATGCCAAATTAGCATCAATGTAAAAAACCTCACGTTTCCTCTTACCTGAGTTTCTTGCAGCGCCTCGCCGGAGTCCGATGTCTTCATTCTGCATTTTGACATACAAGTCATCTAAGCCGCCTCCCCTTATTCGTGCTTCAACAGGCGGCCGAATTCGGGTAACAGAACCGATGAAAGTGCCTGCTTCCTCTCCTGGCATGAACCATGTCGTGAGCTCATTACCACCAATAGACTTTGCGTATGCCTTGACACCGTAACGGCTGTAAGTCAATGCAGATCTCGTCCTTGCTTTACCAGTCTCTTGATTGATATTCGTCAAAGGGATCTCGTTCATAACAACCTTGTGTTTGAAATCACATTGGTTGTTCTCGCAATACCAGCCTTCCCACTTGATCCGTCGACTGCAGAGGGAACATTTCGGGCAAACGATTCCGCGCTTGAATCTTTTCTCTGTGCCGAAAGCATTCCCTTCATTTTCTGGCAACGGTGGGACTAGGGGATATTGGGGCTCGGGCCCCGTGTGGTTCGTCCTCTCATTTAGGAATGCATCGCTGTACTGGAGCTCGTTGCAATCTAGGGAGCCATTCTGGAAGAATTCGGAACAGTCTGTATTCATGCACATCCAGCCCTGCTTGAACATCTCCTTGCTGGATACGCTGCAGACTTGGCATGCTTTTAACTTGCAGTTGTACTCTCCAGACTTGAATTCGCCTGCTTCCTGTGGAGTAGCATTCTTTGGAACCCACCAGGACCTGGTTGACCTGTCCACCTTTTCCAAGCGGATCTTGTAGCAGTTCACAATGTTCCCTTTTCCATAGTCGACCTTTTCACGCCAGATGTCGGTGGCAAAAAAGTAATCCATCACATTAAAGTGATGATGTAGTTGAACAGGGAAGATCTTGTTGTTTGATCCTAGCATAGTTAGATTTAATAATATATTGCTCACACTCTACTGTCTGTAAAATTCTGCACTTACCTACTATTACCACCAGGGGATTCTGTGTTTGAACTGCCTGGGTGAAGGCCTTCACTGCCCTGCCACTCTCTTCCTGGTCCTTTACTCGAACCATCTTTCCAGTTTCCGTGTCGAGAGTTCGGCCACCTCCGCTATACTTAGAATTAGCATCCAGGCTTATCATCAGCTGATATAATATGAGAAAGGACTTACACTGAAGTGATGAGAACTTCGCCAAGAACAATATCACGGATTTCACATTGCCCGTTGATCAAAATTGACTTGGCTACCAAATCCTGGGTATAGAGGCCCCCCTCGTGACATTGATGGTATGGAAGAGCATCAGCTAGCGCCCCCCTGGTATTGGAACAAACAGGCGGTGGCCCATGAGACTCCGGCTTTTCATTGGGAGTCTCAGCAGCAGAAATGGGCTGCATGGTATCGGAATGCTCTATGTTCTCTCGAGCTGTTGAAGATCTTGTTCGAGGATATGGTTGTTCTGATTGGTGCCTCTTGGCAGCTCTGGGAGTGTGGTTGTCATCCGGTTCGTTCTTTCGCTTGTTGGTAGGAGTCGACTGATCCATTATAGCATAGATACGCCGTGCTAGGCTCGTTGTACGTATGGGGTTTTTAATCACGGACAATCAGGATTGGTAGGTTCTTGCTTATGAATAATAGAATGAGGCTGTTAAGGATGTAAGAATATGGGGGTGTGTGCTTTGTAATGATGCTGGATAATGGTAAAACCTAGGATGATCCTCATACAGGTCTACCCTGTCCAGCAGGCTAGAGATTGATATGAGGAGAGATAGGTGAATATGCGGAGGTAGGTTAACGGATGTGTGGTATGAGGAGGAAGAGATAAGATGGGAAATGATAAAACGGCCCGAGTGGATGACAGGCGAGTGGGTAGAAAGGGTATGATGAAGAGGGAACACTCGAGAGGTGGTTTAGGAATGCTGCTGATACCATCAACCAGGACGGCGTGCCTTCGAGATATGTTCCTTATGGATTAGATGGAACCCTTGGTGTAATACTTGACGATGATGGAGAGAATGGGAGTGTGTAAGGGGATCGGCGGCGAGGTCGAGGGTCAAGTGGACGAGGGGAAGGTCGGCGCTGAAGTTAAGGAGTGGGTTGGGAGTAAGAAGGTCGGGAGAAAAACGGCGGAGGGTGGGGGGATGATAACATTTTGGCTGGGGCGGGACGTTGTTCGAACAATTGGAAGCAGCGATAGGATCTAGTGTGGAAGTAGCACCTGCTGCTGGCTGTATTAGAGAAGGGAAGGCGTAGGGATGTGCGGACGTGGGAAGGCGTAGGAAGGCACAAGAGGATGATGCAGCAATATTCAGCACTATCACCTATCAAGTCAGGTGGGCTTTAACAGTGACAACTGGTGAGAACGAAATACCTACTATATTTATGAATACCTACCACATTGATGCCTGGATTCCATCTCTGTATGTGCTCCTATCCGACTGTTTATTGCCTATTTACTGGCAGGTGGACGAATGGCAGACGCCGTTCTATTTCCCTGACCGAACTAACATGCCACGTCTTGGTCATTAACCGCGTACAGGTTCGCTACCCAGGGTACTTAAGTAGGAGGAGAACAACAAAACCGTAGGCATGGTTTGCTAAGGGACGCAGACTTGTAAAAATAGAGTAAAGGTCTGCGGAACCGCCATCAGAGCTCACTACAATGTCCCTCCACAGCTACGCACTGTGAACTAAGGACAGCATGACAAACACAGCGCAGGGCCATTGGAACCCCATACAATCACTGCTGTCCTGCTGTCCGGACGCACGGAATTAGGTAAAAAGATAGGGTTTATTCTTTCCATAGGGCTATGAGAAAGAAATAATACCTTCCAGTGGAAGCAAACTTCGGCGCATGTAATAGAACAGCTACATATCAGGCACAATATCATACCTAAGGCAGTCTTTAAGGTGGTAGTGTCACGGTAGCAATATTAATATTGAAGTATTTTTATGTTAAAGACGGACAGTAAGGGGATACAGGAAGAGTATTCCGTGGTTATTATGAATAGCATACAGCCTCACGATGACGTCCCTGTAAATTATCACTGAGAGATAGCTTGCATTTGCTTACAGCGCAGAGTTTACGTTAACTAATCCCCCCCCCCTGCCCCCCCCCAATCCCAACTCCTTAGGATTGTAGTATTAGCAGGAAATCTTGTGTGCGAATACATCGCGGCTACGACCTAAGAACAGATTCATATGAATTTTTCACCTTATAAGTCTTCAGCCGACTCTAGTCTTCATATGTTACGTTGCCCCCTCGCGCCTGAGCACAGCCTGGGCCTATTGCTTCTCGCCATGCTCGTTACAGCCAAGCCAATGCTATGGGTCCAATATGATCATGTATCATCATCTTCCGTCGTAAAGATACCAGGGTATGCAAGTCGACACACCATGGCATTAAAGGCACAGACGTATCCGTTAAAGTCCTCATCTTCTGACACATGATTTTTTCCAAAGGCAAGCGCGTAATCCATGAGCCTCTCCCGCACGTCCTCACCCTCTGCGATCTGAAACCGCCAGCACACATCCCCTATTTCGTTGTCATCTTAAGCAAATATAAAATCGAGCTCGTAGATCTTCTTGCCGCCCCGAGCGCCGTCTAGGTGCCGATGTAGAACCCAGACGGAAAAGGTCTATTGTGGGTCACTACGCTTGATGGCGGTGATGTGCACAAACGCTGCTGCGGCTTGGATTCTCGGGAGATCCGAAAGAACATTGAGAATTCGCGGTTGGTAGTTAAGTACTGATGTTCTCTGGCTTGCAACTAGGAGTGGCGATGCAAATCTGGACAGTCTGATTCGAAACGTGACGCCGGGCTAGGAGCTAGCGGCCGGTGAGATGGCGAGGACCCTTAGATCTTGAAGTGCGAGGATGCAGCTTGTGTCCGCGGCTCTTGAATGAAGGAATCAATGTGTAAGGTACCTGTATCTGTACAGGGTGTGCGGGGTCGTGGCTGAGGCACCATCAAATGCCGGCTTTTAAGGGGCTGACTTGAATGTCGTCACCCGGGTAATGTGATTTTACTACCTGTTTTTAATGCATTCGTGGGGGGGTTTTTTTTTTTTTTTCAAGGGACCATCTCCAGAAAGGGAGAGGGGGAACCCAACTAATTCAACCAAACGCTCGTTTGCCATAACGAGGCACGCCTATTCCCACCCTCGATTTTTAGATCCTAGTTTGCTTGCTGGGGTCTGTTTATGGACACCGGTTCATTTCAAGAACCCGCCTCGTTGGGGTATTCCTATTTTATAGTGTTTATATCGCATTCGGCCTTTAGTATGGTCTGAAGAGTGAGACTCCTCCTCGACTGTCGCCCGCACTGACGCACTAATGGCGCACCGCAGCACTGAAGGTCTAATCATTGGCTGCGGGGCTTTTTACAAACCTCTTTAAACAGCTGAGGAGACGATTCGAAATTGAGCTTTTTATTCACGATATAGCTAGCCATTGTTAAGCTTGAGCGTCGAGAACACGGCGGGGCGGTTTTAACGCTATCCTTAATCTCTTAATTTCGTATATATTACTTCTATATACATCTCGATCCTGATCTCAGCTTTCGGCTTAGTGGCATTTGTTTAATAACCTTATCATCAATCGCTACGGCGCACTGCCGTGTCTCTGTTGGCCTTGCGGATTTCAGACTTACCAGGCTCGATTCTTGGATGCGCCAGTGGGGTGGTCAAACTATAGTCAGGTAGTCATGGCGGGATGCGGCTAAGAGCACGACAAGTAAGCACTTTTTAAAGCTCCGGTATACCATCGTCATACAGTCCGTTCCACAACATACTGTTTTGGAGCGTCTTTTCACTCGAGCCGGCATGGAGATCTCCCCCCTGAGGGATTCTGACCCCGACCCTGCGATGGATTTCATCAGCCGTTTTCTAGTTAAAGAAGCCTGCCATTTCTTATTAATTAGTCCTATGATCTTGTCATTATCGACTCTGCAGTTGGACTAGGTGGAGGCATTGTGCGTAAAAACTCACGTCGGGTCCATACCGGTGTTTAAGAAGAGAATATCTTCTTCTAGGGGGCGAATACGGGCGTTGGTGAGGACGCCGGGATCTTGAACAATGTGGTGGCGAGCGTAGAGTCCGTCGGAGGGCATGATAGTGTGTAACTGCGGAGGTATCTCCCGTGCCTACTCTTTATAGGATTGTTTTTGGTCTGGCGAGAGTGACGGCCTGGACTTCATTGGTATTAGTGTACGAGTAGTCGATCTCATTATACCGGCCGTCCCTTATCTTGTATAGGTGGCCCGATTTACGACTACGCTGCCGAGGGTAAACATATCCCGTTCCCCCTCGTTAGCCGGGGAATGTGTGGCCGGGCAGTGTGTTAAGTCGAGTGTCTTCTTTTATCGACTCATTATTTTCTATCGCCGATGTAATAGGGCCTAGGATTTCCTGAAGTTCGGAGAGATACCTAGCTTAGAAGCGTCGTCGGAGGTGATGACAAAGAGGACAGCGCTGGTTTTGTTTACTGCCCCCTTTGTACTCTGGCGAATGTAGCCGGGTCCGTCGGAGAAATGGCGGATTGTTGTGGTGGTTAGGTGACGGAGTTGGGATTTCCCTACGGTACTTGGCAAAAAATAGGGGAGGCGGGGAGGCGGGGAGATGACATTTCTAGGGTCCCCGGTGCTGAGGCCCCCTTAGCCGAGCGGGCCGAGGTCCTATGTCGGGGTAGGGAGAGTACTCCTTATTTTACAGAAATAGGGAGGTATTTACGATGAAGCATTGAATGCCACCTAGTAAGTAAGTACCTCCTAGCAGAAGGTGAACGGGCGCAGGTACGTGGTCCCTGTTGTTCAACGCAGGCCCGTTTACACGATATTAATATCCCCGGAACCAGGTGAACGAGTGATGAGCGCCACAAACGGCACTATTCGCCACGTACCACATGTTTTTTTTATTTTTTACAAAAGCATAGGTATCTCGCGGATAATATAGGTGTATTGGTAGATGTATATACAGTTGTACGGCGTAGAGCGTAGGCAGGTCATGGTAGGAGGTATACACGTAGACCTAGAATATCAGAACCCCGACTTTTAAATCTACGCATATAATACAACCTTGCCTCCCCCTGGACCGCCTAGCTTGGCCAAGGCCCTCCACAATCTCCACCACATCTCCGTAGTGTACCCCGCCATTCGGGATGAGGCCAAGGTATCATCGCGGGGAATGGGGGCTATTGCGAAGCAAGAGTTAATCGACAGGGTTGTATACTGGCTAACTCCATCTAGAAAGTGATGGCGTCGGCAACCGGTGGCAGGGTCACGCTGTCCGGGTTCCCCATCATCCTTCGCCATGAACTTCTGCAGGGTATTATTATGTGCGTATACCTGCGTACGGATATGTACTGATGTGCGAATTGTGCCTATTATTGTATCTATTACAGGATACATGTATTATCTGCATGGAGATGTGGACTAGTGCTGCTGGTCGACCCCAATTCCCTTGTTAATCCCAAGATCTGCATCAGCCTCTCGCCCGCTCCTTTATCTCTCCCTGGGTAATATGTGCCCGAATCCCGCGCCCGCGGATCACGAGGACACCACATACCCTTTGTTCTGGTCCCATCAGAACGGACAGGGGGTCCTACATGCCTACTACTTGAAATACAAGAGCGTCATTCTGAAATTTTCTTTCCTCGAAAGCGCTCTTCCCAGTCGTGTTTATACTATTTGGGGGTCGAGGAACGATTACGTGTTTGAAATATAGTCTGTATTTTGATTCTTCTCCTTTCGTGCAGCGCTCCCTACCTCATTTAAAGATGGTGTTTACTCCTCCGTCCTGGGTGCCTGAATTGCCATTTGGTGGGTTGTCCCCCGCTCTTCCAGAACTCTTCCCAAGATGTAAGGGAAGAAGATCACGCACACAAGAAAGGGGAAAGATAGTAAACCCGAAATGTCAGCACTGATGAGAAACCCCAGACCCACCCGATTCGATCCCTCTCCATGAGTTCTGGAGCAGTGACCGATATGGCCGGCAACCGCTTACCAAGTCCCGGAACCCGTACACGTGCGGTGTTACGGGGAAGACGTACACGCCGGCTGAGGTGTCCGAGCGCTTCGAACTGCTCGCCCGGGCGCTCTCCAGGCGTCTGGGCTGGCTGCCGAACGACGAGACGCCCTGGGACAAGGTCGTTGGAATCTATTCCTTCAACTCGGTATGGCGCTTCCCCCCCCCCTCCCTTGCTCTCTTCACCCTACCCCTCCAGGAGAAAACGCAAAAAAAGGGAGGGTAATAGAATGATGGGGTCGCGCAGTCTTCTTAGCTTGATACCTAGGCAAGCATCTACCACCTAGCGCTTCCCGCTCTCACAATTGGTACAGATCGACTACATCATGTCCACCTACGGGGTGCACCGCCTCAACGGCATCGTTACGCCTGCCAACTCTATGTACTCGGCGGCCGAGCTCGAGCACCAGCTCAGGTCGTCTGGTGCTAAAGTCCTCTTCACGTGTGCGGAGCTGCTAGACACGGCGCTCAAGGCGACGCGCGCCTGCGGCATCCCGGACGACCGCGTGTTCCTCCTGCGGCTGCCCGAGGCCTCGGAGAGCGCGCCCTTCAAGACCATCGACGACCTCATCACCGAAGGCCGCGCGCTGCCCGAGATTGAGCCCCTGGCCTGGTCGAAGGGGCAGGGCGGCCGCCAGGTCGCGTATCTGTGCTACTCCAGCGGTACCTCGGGCCTTCCTGTCAGTCCCACCGCTCCTCCCCTTCTACCCCCTTTCTCTACTGCCTTCTGGGCTGTGTAGTGGATGGGGGGAGGTCAACGCACTGGTAGCTAAATTCCTCGAGGGTAGAAAGCGGTGATGATCTCGCACCGCAACGTGATCGCGAACATGATGCAGGTGAAGTGGCACGAGGACCCGGGGCGGCGGGCCAAGGGCGTCGAGACCCAGGTCCAGCTCGGCCTCCTGCCGCTGAGCCACATCTACGGGCTCGTCGTCGTCGCGCACGTCGGCACGTACCGTGGCGATGAGCTCATCGTGATGCCGCGCTTCGAGCTCAAGGCGCTGCTCGAGACCATACAGAAGTTCAAGATCGCCTACCTACATATTGTTCGTACCCCCCCCCCCCCCCCCTTTCTCCCCCTCCGCTCTCCCCATTTATACGCCGACCTATACACCTACATAATGGCGCATATACCACCGAGAGATCGACATGGTTGCACGGGAAAGAGTTCGGGAAAGCTGACTCAACCGCGCGTCACTGTGACCGCCCCGTTCTGGCTTCTAGGTCCCACCGATCGTGATCCAGCTGCTGCGGAACCAGGAGCTGTGCGCGCGGTACGACCTGACTAGCGTGCGGTTCGTGTTCACGGGGGCGGCACCGCTGGGGGCAGAGACGCACGAGGCGCTGGTGGCGGCGTTCCCGTTCCTGGGCGCCGGGCAGGGCTACGGCATGACGGAGACGTGCACGGCGGTGCTCATCACGGGCGAGAACGACGTTGTGGTGGGCACGTCGGGCTCGCTGGCGCCGGCCTGCCGCGCCAAGCTCGTCGACGAGGACGGCACTGAGATCACCGCCTACAACCGCCGCGGCGAGATCTGGATCCAGTCTCCCTCCGTCACCCTCGGCTACCTCAACAACGAGCGCGCCACGGCCGAGGCCTTCGTCTGGGACGCCGACGGCCGCTGGATGCGCACCGGCGACGTCGCCATCGCCCTTAAGGCCCCCTCCGGCCACGAGCACTTCGCCGTTGTCGACCGGCTGAAGGAGCTGATTAAGGTCAAGGTGAGAGAGGTTATCTAGCCCTTATGCGCCCGCTTGTCAGCCGGTTATTCACCACGCTCGCGCTACACGGAGGAGTTCGTGAATGCTTTCTTTTCCCCTACTAACCTAAACCCCGCGTCACGGCGCGGGATATCTAGGGCCACCAAGTAGCGCCGGCGGAGCTCGAGGCACACCTTCTGACGCACCCGGCGGTCGGCGACTGTACGGTAATCCCGGTGCCCGACGAGGGGTCTGGCGAGGTGCCCAAGGCGTTCGTGGTGAAGGCGGCGAGCGCGGCGTCGCGGTCAGACGAGGAGGTGGCGCGCGATATATGCCGACACGTCGAAGAGCACAAGGCACGATACAAGTGGCTCAAGGGCGGGGTTGAGTTCATCAAAGAGATACCCAAAAGCCCCAGCGGTAAGATTCTCCGCAGGCTCCTCAAGGACAAGGAGAGGGAGAAGAGGAGGGCCAAGGGTGCGAGGTTGTGAGGAAGACGGCTGGTGATGAGTGGAAGGTCGGATTCATTGGGTCAGCGGTTTGCCGGTTTGGCGGGCGTAGGAATATTAGAACTTGGCTTGCTCTGCGATTGCATCTCCATAGATCTATTTCCACCAGATTAAAAAAGGGTACCTAATCCCATTTCGTTTTCCCGCCACTATTCGTTATTCGTATGGAGGCCTCTCGCCGTTATATCTGAGCATTGGTTGCCCCCAAAAATGGAAGATACATTGGATTATTTGCCTTTCTTCTTGAGGTATTCTTCTTCCTCAGCCTGCAACTCAGCGTCGACCTTAGCACCCTTCGATGGTTCATTACCGTGCAGCGTGGCCTAGAGTAGGAATTAGTCGAGCGCCTCGAGATGATAAAATAGCGGCGACTTGCTGGTAGAGTCGGGTCCTTCTTTGCGGCACGGGTCTCCGGGTCTTCATACTCTTTACGGCTCAATTTTCGCTGCGAGAGGTTAGACGGACAATCGGCAATGACAGCAACTACTAGATACCTACCTCTTCGTTACCCAAGCGGTTTGCAATCGATCTTTGGTCTTCTGTAGGTTATTCATTAGACTCAGCCCTTCATTCGACGGTTTCTTGGGGCAGTGCCTGGCTTACTGGAGTCGTTAGGAAGGTGGGAGTGTTCGACACCCTCTTCATATCTCGGGCGGCCCGGAACCTCAGACTTCTTGAGGTTCCTCTGGTCGCCATCTTCGTAGACTGCGCTTTGGCCAACACTAGAGTATCCTGACATATTCGAGGGAAGAAGAATGCGGGCACGTAAGTGTGGTATACTGAGGGCTTCGGAATACGGATGTAAATCGTGGCTAAATAAGGAAGACAACAGCAATGAGTTCACAAAGTCGACGAAGCTGAGGGATGGGAACGGTTGACGCTGGTGAAAACTGGGAGCTATCACTCTTTGTTATAGCTGTTTCTACCATACAACAGATACCTAGGTACCTGCTGGGAGGTGGCTGCCGACGTCATTAGGAAACCAAGGGCGGCGGCACCCGCCTCCCTTTGCCGACGTGATGGATTCATTACCTAGGTACCTAGGTACCTAAGTTGGGTGCCTACAGGTATCCTATTGTACCTAGAGGTACCTAGGTACCTACGGCACGTGGTAATGTACCTTGATTATGCAGCTCTTACTCGTCGATTGCTCCGTCTTCTCCTCGAGCGACCCTTGTTTGCCGTCTAGGTAAGACACAGCGGCGTCATTCCTACCTAGATGGCTTCCGTCCGCGGGGCTCTTTTGAGGCTCGGCTGACGTGCTTGGCTTGCTTTGCACCCCTGAAAAAGATGGGTCTGCGGAGCTTGTGGCCCGCTCGGCCCGCGTTACGTAACTTACCATCTTAGCCAGGCCGTCACCAGGTGGCCGCCACCTAGAGAATCAGGACCTGTCTCTTGGCTTGGACAGCCACTCGTCACCTCTTCTCAACCTCGAAGAGAATTCCGCTCCGTCTAGCGCATCGCAACACAAGCTCCAGAGACGAACCGCACCACACCCGTCACGATGTCGATGTTTCGGGCCAAGAAGCTCGATCTTGGCTGCTTCGTCAATATCAAGATTATCCGAGACCACTCCAAGAGGAAAGCCTATGCTCAGTTTGAGCCCGAGAGGTGCGCAGAAGACTGAACCCACCCGTTCTAACAGGCTACGGCGTCGTGCCTAATACGAGTCGCGCAACCCGCAAACAGGCAAGCCCTGCGATATATCATCCGAAATACCACCCTACCCCAGCGCGTTCGAGCCGAGGCCCAGCTCCAGCTCACCCAGATGCACTGCTACACCCGGCCGACGCAGATCCGCGGACGATGTCTGCTGGGCGGCAAGGGGAGGGGTGTACTACGCGATTTCAAGCTCTCCAGAGTAAGGGGCTTGCCTCCCCGTGAAACAACCGTCGGGAACGTGCGCTGACTTGGTTGCGCAGTACAACTTCCGAATGCAAGCCCTCGACGGCAACATACCGGGCGTCCGCAAAGCGAGCTGGTAAAAGAGAGCGGCAAGGGGAGCGGACGAGCGATGGCTGCCACGAGCACGGGATGTAGGGCGCGCCACACACTCTATACCACCATACCGGTCCATGTGCTATACGGCGGCAAGACCGAAATGTAATATCACATAACACTTGGGGGTGCGGCTATGCTCGTATAGATAACGGGGATGCGGAGACACGTGTGTTTCGATGGTCTACTGCCTACATGCCTATATGCCTACCAGGTGGCCTCTTCATGGTTGGTGCGGTTGTCTCTCTGGTAAATCGGCCCGCCATAAACCTGCGGCGCGCATGTTGGCTCGGGCCTACGGGATACGTTTCCTTGGCTAGATTGCCGTATTATAGTCATTCTCCTCTTCGGCAAAGAAGACGTCCACACCATGGAAGTGTCTGTTGTATCTATATAGACTGCCCCCACTGCAAGTAGCTTGACGTATATACATGACATATGTACCTATCGTTCAACGTGGAAGCTACGCGCTGTCTACGGTTTCCTTGGAAGCACCTGGCAAACTGCTACTCGGGTACATCCGCGTTGGGTAAGTGGCTTCCTCTCGTTCTCGCGCCAGCGGCTGGCCATTTGAGACTCCCACGGGAGGCATAGACACCTATCCTAAGCCACTCCCCTTCATATATCGTGAACCAACCCTTTCCGCGCCGTCTTAACTAGATAACTGACGGCTGGCCAGGGCAATGATCCGAGTCCTCCTCCACGTCGCCCTCTCCCATGCACAAGCGTCATAATCGTCGTCGTTTCCCCGCCAATTACCGTAGCTGGATACCCAAGAACCTCCTTCGCCACGTCTACTCCCTCCCCGCTTGCCCACACATACAGTCTACTCTAGTCTCTCCAATTCCCTCAGAGTAATCGAATCCCTCAACCTACCGTGTTCCTCCCCGCTTTGTTCGGCATCTCAAGCATCCTCGTGCTGGGCCTCCCTTGATACGAGGCGACGACATGTTCCGACGAAAGTGGTCAGGCCTGCCACCGGACCCCGATTTCCCTACTGGTCTCAAAGAGCTCGGGTGAGGGACAATTCCTAGTCCCCCATGTCACGGTGGTTTCACTAACTGGCTCTCGTCTTTAGCTACTTCGTGAATGAAGATGACGAGATCCGCTCCATCCAAGACCCTCAGTACTACTTCAAGTACTTTTTGTGTCGAAACTCGCGATGGAACGACCGTCAGCGCTACGCCATGAACCGTAAGTGAACTTGCTGTCCCCGAAGAGGAGTCGGACAGAAAGCTGTCCCGGTTCCGCCTATTAACACGTTTTAGAGTCAATCCAGCAAGTAATTTGGGAACGCCTCGAGGGCCTCGGTCTGAAGAAGCAGCTCCTCCCCCTCGGCGTCACCGACCCGGCTACACCTCATGTTCCTATCTTCGTCAGCGGCGATATCGCTCGCAAGTCGCGCGTTGTGGTTATTTTTGGCGAGACAATGCAGGATCTTGGCGTACTAGCCTTCCGTGTGGCGGGTGGTCACGGAGGCGTGAACAAGGGCTCCGTCGTGTCCATCGTGGCCGAACTCCAGAAGCAACGTTCCTCTGCCTCCGACGCAGAGCCGCCGGGTGTCGTCCTGGCTAACATGGGCGAGCTCATATGGTTGCCCCAGGCGCAGCGTACTCTCAGCATCCTCGCCTTCAACTGCGCACGCATGAAAAGCGCCGTCCACAAAGGCAGGGTCGTGACGCCCGGGAACCTGGTCCCCGGTAATGAAACCCCAAAGGCCCACGTCAATTACATATTCAACGACGTCCTCCCACACCTTGTCAACGATCGCGCCCGTCTCGACATCATCACCGTGGGCGATAGTGCCGAATTCGTCGAGCAGTACCTAGACCTACCTCCTGTATGGCAGACTTGGCACAGGCGTATCAATTGCCTGGCCATCGTTGGTGGGCAGTATGCTATATGGGACCTTAACAACCAAGAGTTTAAGGAGTTCCTGAAAAATGTACGCGCAGCACTCTCTATTTCTCCTCCTGCCACCTCTCGCCCTTTCTCCCTCCTACCAACCTTCCTTACTTCTATGCTAACCTACCCCTCCCTAACGCATCCAGAAAGCCCGTGCCTACACGACGTCGTTCGAGCCGGCCGGGATGGTGCTCTCGGGCCCCGAAGGCAACCCGAAGACGACCGCCTTCACTCAGATAGGTTGCCCCGTATTCAGCAGCGGGGAGCCGCACTACACAGAGTGCACGCTCGTAGCCAGCGGCCGCATCGTTCTCGATTGGCTACACGAGGTAGCCACGACGCCCGACGGCGAGGACTACTCTAACCCCGAGTTCCAAATTATCTACGCCGATCCCCCCGCCGAGGAGGTCGACGGGGTTGACTGGAGCCGGTGGAAGGAGGAGGACGCCGCTGCGGAGGAGAAGAAGGGGGAAGGTGAGGAGAAAAGTGAGAAGAAGGAAGGGCACGAGGGAGACGGGAAGTAGACTCTCGGTAGGAACCTGGGACGTCGTGAAGTGATACGAGAATTTGGAGGAACTGCGACACGCGAGCTTGCTTCCCGTCTATCTCAAAAAGACAAGCACAATAATAAGTGCCCATGGGACTCGCTCTCAAAGTACGAGGGAGAAGGGATTTGCAGGCAGGAGGAATAGTAAGCAGCTCCAGACAGATGGGTAGCAAGTTGACATAGACCTAATAAATGTGCGCTTCATGCATGCTTTTGATGAACTCTCGCCTACTCCCCTCGCCGTAACTTTGCTAGGACTCTAGCACTTAAAGCAGGTCGGTAAAGCAGCGGAACTTCCTGGGCCGAAATTTCTTTCCAGCCTAGGTATATAGATGCTGTGGAAATCAGGGGAGGTTCAGATAGCTTGAATCGAAGCTAAAGCGAAAACCCCTCTTTATACCGAGCTTTATTCTTATTTCTCGTAGGGGTTATAAAAAATTCCATTCAAATGCACTTCTAACCACTATACGAAAGTGCACTCAATTGATTCTTTTTCGCAATCAAGTGTTGCCCCACGAGCGCGTTTCAAAGCAGGTATATATTAGATTGTGTTGGTGTTGATGGTGCAGTGGCAGCTATCTATGATAGCTAATCGCCGGTACACCTCGCCCACGTAGGCAACCCCCTCCTACCCGTCCCCACTACCCGCGCGCGTCTACCCAATTCGTACACGGGCCCGACGCCACAGGCGCGCTTCGGGCCCCCTTCCTCTCGCAACCGACGACCCGCGCCCGCTCACGCCTGGAAGATGGACCAGAACCCGGAGGGCGGCGGCTCGAGCCCCTGGAGCAGGTCGCCGGCGCGGCGCGTGCGCTCGCGCACCACGTTCTCCTCGGCGGCCCACCTGCCGCCGCCGGCCGCTGCCTCCGCCACCTCTGCTTCGGCGGCAGCAGCGGCGCTCTCGCCACCGCCACCCCCCCACAGGCTCGCGGGCCACCAGCTGGCGCCGGGGGCGGCGCCGTCGCTCGCCTGCTGGTGCTGCCGCCGCTGCTGCCGCTCCCTCTCCTCGCGCGCGAGCCGCGCCACCATCGCCCGCCAGTTGTCGAGGCCGGCGGCGAGGCATTCGCGGCACGTCTTCTTGGCGGCCGCCGCGGCCGGCGCGTCGCGGTGCGCCAGCCGGTGCAGCTGCTCCTCGGCGAGGTCGACGGCCTCGCGCGTCCACGCGAGCCCGTCCTCGCGCTCCGACGGCCCCGCGCGGCCGGCAGCAGCAGGAGGAGACGGGGCCGAGGCCGAGGCCGAGGCCGAGTACAGGATCTCCCCAATGTACAGGTGCAGCGCCGCCTCCTCGCACAGCTCGCGCGCGTCGCGGACGGGCGGCGCCGTGCCGTCGGCCGGCGGCGGCGGGTACTCCGGCACGACCACGTAAAGCTTCATGCTGTCGACAATGCGGCGCAGGCTCCACGACGCCGAGCCCGCCGCCGCCACCGCAGCGGGCGACCCGTCAGGCCCCGGCGGCGGGGGCGGCAGGGACCGGCGCGCGCGCAGCACCGAGATAAGGATGGGCAACGCGCCGGCGACGTTGCCCGCCCGCGCGCGGTGGGTCGCGAGGGCAGTCAGCGTCACGAGGAGGTTCGCGGAGGGACGGGGCGCGGAGTCGTTCAGGACGTAGGAATGCGGGTCGTACGGGGGCGGCGACGGCGACGAGTCGGTAGCGAGGGTCAGGGCCCACTCGTAGATGCGCTCGGCGGCGTCGGGCGAGTGCTTGAAGTCGAGCCACGACGCGTACGCGAGCGCGGCGTCGAGCTTCTGCTTCGGCGTGAAGCCGCGCGTTGTCAGGATCTTGACGTAGAAGACTTCAGGAGGCGCGAAGGCCGGCTCGCAGTCCTTCTCGCGCGGCGCGCTCGGCGACCCGACACCGATGGGTTTCGGGCGCGGGTTCGACGGCCCGATCACCTGGTTCGCGGGAAAGACCAGACCGCGCGTCGTGTCGTGGACCTGGTCGTCGAGGTTCTCAGCCACCTGGCCCGCGAGCATCAGGGCCTCGTAGTAGCCCCTCCTCCACTGCTCGCTCTTCGCCGTGACGTCGTACCCAGACTGGGCGATGCCGTCGATCCAGACACCGCCCTCGGCCGGCTTTTGCAGCCCCGCGCCCTCGACCTCCGGATCCTCGAGCCGCTCGATGACGTTCGTGACAAAGCTACCGGTGACGACCCAGTCGGGCTCTGGAGGGTCTTCACGGTGAGGCACCCATTTCGCGGTCCGGAAGCGCAGCCGGGTCGTGAACCTCCACTCGGGAGGCGTCGGGTATGTTCGCTCGAGCCATTCCTGCAGCAGGCTCCAGTAGGCGATGAAAGAGATGCAGACGAAAGCCCAGAGGTAAACGGTATACTTGGCGGCGAGGTAGAATTCGTAGGCCAGCCACCTCTTGCGCTCGGTGGTGAGGTAGCGGAATTGGTGCTTCCTGGATAGCGGGACGGATAGGAACGGGAGCTGTGGTCGGCCTTGGTAGGCGAGGGTGGTGTGGTAGGTGAACGATCGGACGCTGGGAGATCTAGCAGGGCGGAGGCGGAGGCGAAGTTGGAAGAGGCGGCGGATCAGGGTGCGCTGCCGTTGATGCGGCTGCGGCAGCATGATGAGGCGATTGGTGTATGGGGGAGCTGTCGTGGCTGTGGACAGGCGATGCTATCTCGGTCTGGCCCGCGTCAGAGAAAACTCCTACGGCCCGGTATTCCTCGTCACCATCGAACATCGACACGCATGGCGCGGAGGTGACCAATTGGCAAGGCGTGAAGGGGGAATTGGCCGGACAGTGAGGAGTTGTTGCTGCTGCTGAGCGGTATATGGATTCTCGGTTGGATACTTCAGCTTGGAGGGCGTTCTATTTCTTCCCCGCCATTTCCGCCCTGCCTCCCAGTACTAAGGCCATTTGCGACGGGATGTTAATCTAAGGCAGACAATTGGCTAGACTAGTGGGGTGGGGAGCTACAATAGGTATCTATCTTGATACCTGAGGCATCAAGAATAATCAGCTACTTCCGATATGGCGATAATACAGGCAAGGATATCGACAATATCCCATTAAAGGATGCAATGACGGTACCAGAATGGATGCAACTAACAAGATATCCTCGCAAGCCATCGACAACTCCCTCGGCGCCAGCGGATACACAGATGGATTGGTAAGTCGTCAACCACACACAGGTATATACTTAATACGTGTACTATAAAACATACTACACGAGGGATAGCATTCCCCCCATTCGCCCCCTCTAACACACGCCCATTCCCGGCTAAGGAAGAGTCTCAGACGTGCTAGGTATATCCAGCCAGGCGGGGCATACGCCCATGACAACACCAGCGTCGCGAATGACAACACTGGCGTTGCAATCGGCCTGCGGCGGCCCGGCTCGCCGTCTCTAGACAAGGAGCACGGTATCCATCGCGCCGGGGTGGGAAATTCGTAGGCACGCCTATATTTACCTATTCCCACGCCGAGGACCGCGGTGCGGATTCCCCAACGCCTGAGAACGTCTCGCGGTGCTGGAAGTGCTTCTCTCCTCCCTTTCCATTTTTATCACCCCATCTCTCTTTCTATCTCTATCTATCTATATCTACCTATCCTTCCCGGCCCTACGATCTCCTGACCTGTTTCAGCGTCGCTCGCTCGCTCATACAATCGTACAGAGTGGATCTTCGTGGCGGAGCGGCTACCCGTGTGTGCACGATCCCGACGCTGCCGTGCTCCAGCGCCTGTAGAGCGGCGGGTGCCTACCGCGCAAGTGGTAAGAGAAAACCGAGAGGTTGGCTCTCCGCGGCGACCTCGATATTGTCTAGACGGGGTGGGTACCCCACAGGCACGCTACCTAGGCCCTCCTACGGTTGTCACCGTGGTAGAATCCGCCTTTGGAGCGAGCCACAATGTGCACGGTCGAGAGCTCGTGTCTATTCAAAGGTTCCGAGTACCCCGACTCTCTCTTTGCTTTCCTGAATAGCTCACCACTAATTTGAATTCTGCTATCCAGCCGATTTCATCGGTTTTTTCTACGTTACCTATGTTCTTCTCGTTCGCCTCCCCGTGTCACGATGTTGCGCACCTGTTAGATCCGACTTGGGGGGCAAGATATTCTCACTTACCTATTTCATGTGCGCAACAACGGGTATACCTAGGACTCCCATAAACTATCGCGAGTATCGGCAAAACGCCCGGTTCGCGCACGCGAGTCTTCCTACAGACCCCACCGCATGTAGCTACGACCTGATGTACCTATAGTAGGACTGGCAGGATCCAAGGCCTGGCCGCGCGACCCCCTGGCTCCATGGTCTGGGACACCTACAATGACTCAGGCGAGTAACCACGACGAGGGTAGACGCAGGGTTGTACGGAAGGCTGAAAGGTGGCAATGGGTAACTGCGCCGCCGATCTAGCCCTTAAGGGACCTCATGGACCGCAGGCACGTTCCCTTCGAAGCCATACCATGGCCCCGGGTTTGCTGTTATTAGAGCTTACAAGTCAAGTCTCCTTCTGGTCGAAGGCTAAGCAAGAGAGGTTGCCATGCGGTGATGCTAGCGATGGAAGCCTGCATGAAAAGCAGATAACGACGGCCGGTCCAGCTTGGACTCGCAGGGCCGCGATCCTATAAAAGGGGGTCGACTTTCCCGTTCTGCGATCTCATCCTCTCAGACTATCCCCCATCCCCCATACCCTCGGACTATCAGTGCCTCCAGAGCTCCCTCGCCGCAACCATACCAGGCGTGCTGCATATCGTTACCGATCATCTATACACACACCCAATGATGTTCGCCCGACAGATAATAAGCGTGTTGGCGCTAGCGGCATCGGCGCTGTGTGGCCCTATCATGGCACCCAGGGCGTCGAACGTCTGCGTGCTGATCGAGGGCGACAACCCATACATCTTGGACCCCTTCAATCGCCCACAGTGCGCTTGCGACTGTATCAAGGTGGCTTGCCAACAGGTAAGTCCGCTCGCAGCTACCGACCTCGTCGATGCCACTTGCCGCTGACCTGTGTTACCGCGGATAGGCCGACCCAGCTCAGACCGACCTCTGTCTTCGCACGCCATTCCCCAATAGCGTCTTCCCTGACACTCTCGTGCGGTATGCGTCATGTATCGGAGTAAGTGGCTGCATTATGAAGAGCTGGAGAGGGACTTGCCGATGTAACTTAGCTAACCACCTTCCTAGGCCCGACATTGTGTCGCGTAGACGAGACCGGGCCTGGGTCTGACTCGGCGAGCAGGCGAGAACCCGGGAAAGGGGAAAGGGGGAGGCTGCGGTACCGACATAGACGGAGTCGGGTGGACGAGGCTTGGCGAACGGGCAGGATATTAATAACGTCCCGTCGCGAGGGCGTTTCCCTTCCCTTACGTCGTCCTCCAAGTGAAGAAAATGAGGATAGGGCGGAGAGAGCATAATACCAACGACGACGACGGGGATAAAAGAAGTTGGTAACATCGGATAGCTCGTATGTGTACGCAACCACGCCGCGCGGCAGTAATAACAATATGCTAGTATTCGCAAGCAGCGCACCTCTGCCGTGCTGTGATGATGCGCTTGCGAGAAGGCAGCATTCCGTACTCAGCGTTGTGCAATTAAGGCAACTTCTATCTTCCTTAGGCTGTGCGGTATCCAAGTATACCACAACCACAGCTTCCCAACATTCTTCTCCCTCTCCTTCCCTCGTGAACCCCGTCCAAGACCTCTCCGTCTATTCTAGAAGGTGCCAGCCTATTCTCTATCGCCATTTATTTTATTTCTTTCCCTCTCCGCCCTTTTTCTCTCCCCCTTCTCCCCCCCGCCCTTCTACCCTCTCTCATACTCTTCCTTAATATCTCGTTCAGACTCAGCTCCTCACTGCAGATTAGCCCTCCTACCCAGGTCTCGATCTCGGACGGAGAAAAACACCACATCTCAGATTAGAACATGCAGGAAAGACTAGCCGAACACCCGATCCACCCTGCTCCACGGCGTAGGAGATCAGCGGCATATTATACGGTCACCTACCCATTAACTCCCAACACAGGTAGCCACCACCACTCCGACGACATACTATCAGGGGGCCCGGTCTGCCCTGCAATCACACTCTCGCCGATACTAGCAGCTGGGACCGCAACAATCTCGGACACGCCCGGGGGGGAGGGGTCCGACGACATAGGCAGAGGAGGAGAGCCAGACCAGGCCTCCCCAACCACCCGGCGCGAGAAGGGAGCAGAGCAGGCGACAAAGGCTGGCCGCAGAGGAGGCGAGCATACGGGAAACGACACAACCAACTGTGTCTACGTTGAGGATAAAGACGCCCTAGCCGGAAACATGGCTCAGCAGAGACACTTCGCGATCGTAATCGAGGACAGAGGCAACGAAGAAGCTGCTGCGACCATCCATAACCGTCCCCACGCAGATGCGACCAATTTCGTGGCGTCCAACGACCCTCCGCCCAACATCAGAACCATCATCCCGAAGAAGCTCGCTGTTGAGCGGGCCGAATCGGAGATTGTGGGGCATGCTGAGTTGCTAGAAGCTGTCCTCCACGACATCGACTCCTTCTACACCCAGACCGGGCAGATTGCAACCATGCGCGCATCGCTTAAAGTAGCGGTTGCCAGTTGCCATGCCGGTCAGTCATTTAACCAGCACCTGCCCCCCAAGTCGATGCTCCTGGCGGCGAGATACTGCGATTTTGAAAATAGCATCGATCCCATCCTCGCTGGCAATCTCGCCCGCTTGAACCGCTTAGACCTCGCCCAAGCCGGAAACGCCTCTTGCGGCCAGCCCGGTATTGAGTGTATAAACGCTCAGAAACTGTCCAAATCACAAGAAACCATCCAAGTTTTGAAAAAGGAAGTGGAGCGAATGGGGGAAGACACTAAGCATCTCCTCAGTGAGATAGCAATCCTAGAAGACCTGGTCTTCTAAGAACGCAACGTCTCAGAACATCCACTATACCACACACACACGCATGTATAATAGTGTGTAGATAGAAAGGGGGGGTTGTGATAATTATTATGCGGCGAGATGCCGCCTCTCACTCTAAAATGGCATGTCCACCACTCCATACCGGGTACAAGACCAATAGTCAAGCATAGCGTCCTTCCTTCAACAGGCAGTGACCGGTTAGTTATAATTGGGGGAGAAGGAGGAGGCTCACCTGATACTTGGAAGCCGAGGCGGAACATCGATCCGGACTCCATAAGCCGTCTTAAGCACAACCTCAACTTGTCCTAGCTCGTCTCCCTCCAAACCTGTCTTACCATCCCCGCCCACCGTCGAAATCCTTTGGGTAGATCTCACCTAACCTACCTACCTATTTGCTCGCCTCCTCACCTCGCCTACCACCGCCTCCCCGCCATCGCGCGAATGCTCTCCGAACTCCTGGCCCCGTACTACCCCGCGGTGGAGGACCGCGCCCCGCTGCCGGCCCTGTACTTGCCGGGCGCCTTCGCGGCCGTCGGGCTCGGGTACTACCTGCACCACCGGGGCGCGACGTCGCGCACGGCGCGCCGCGACGCCGGCGTCCGCGCCCTCGTTGTGGGCTGCCTGCTCGCGCGCCTGACCCTGCAGCGGCCGCGCTACGCCGTCGGCGCCGGCGCCAGCCCCACCGCCGACTACACCTCCGTCGGCCACACCATCACCCAGCTCGTCGCCTTCCTCGACTTCACCACCGCGCCCGGCGGCCCGCCGCGCTTCGTCGGCAGGCGCCGCCTCGGCGGGGCCGGCGATCGAGAGGGCGCGGCGGAAGGGGGGCGAGGGGACGCCCGGGAGGGAGGCGGCGAGGGGGGCCGTCGAGGAGCGGGAGATAGGGCGGCGCCCGCGGCGAGCCTCGTCTGGGCCCTGCGCCTCCTCGCGAGCCCGCGCGGCGTCGGCTGGGACTGGGAGGTGAAGGGCGTGCCGGCGCACGCGCACGCGGGCCTGTCGCGGCGGCGCTTCGCCGCGCGCCGCGCCGCCGAGGCGCTGCTGCGGCTCGCGCTCAATGCCCTGGCCGTGTGCTGCATCGGGCTCTGCGACGCCGCCGCGGGCGCGCCGCTGCCCGCGCCCCTCCTCGACGCCGCGCGCACCTGGTGCGGCATCGCCTGGAGCTTCCACCTCATCGGCGCGACGCACGCCGCCGCCGCTGCCGCCTCCGTCCTGCTCGGCGCCAGCGAGCCCTGGGAGTGGCCCCCCGTGTTCGGCCCGCTCGGCGAGGCGTGGTGCGTCCGGCGCGCGTGGAGGTACGTTAATCTCCCCCTCTCCCAGTTCGAGGCTGAAGAGGTGCGGAGAATGTACGGCGGGCGGGAATACCCATGTTAAGTCGTTACTTTCGCGCCCGAAAGGGACCCGGGGTTGCTAACGCCGATTCGTCGAGCAGCACCACGTACCATCAGCTTCTCCGAAGAGTACCCCCCCCTCCCCCCTCCCCCCGCAACTCTCCTGCTACTCACATTCACTAACCTCCCTCCCCCTCGCGCCCCAGACCTTCCAGGAGCCCGGCATCCGGCTCGCGCGGGGGCTCGGGCTGCGGAAGGGCACGCTGGGGTCGCGCTACGTGCAGCTGTACGTGGCCTTCCTGCTCAGCCTCGCGGTGCACTGGTGGCAGGCGTTCGCCGTCGCGCGGCGCGGCGGCGACGAGCTCGCCTTCTTCGCGACGCAGCCGCTCGTCATCACCGTCGAGGACGGCGCGCGCTGGGCCTGGGGCCGCGCCGTGCCGCCCGGCAGGCGCGGCCCCCGCCTGCGCCGCCTCGAGCGCGCCGCCGGCTACGCCTGGACCGTCGCCGCCTTCACCCTGACCGCCCGCCCGCTCATGCGCGCCTGGGTCCGCCTCGGCGTCGTCGGCAACGCCGGCCCCGAGGAGCGCCTCGCCCTCCGCTGCGGCCGGGCCGCGGCGGAGGCGCTCCGGCGTCGCGGCGGGCGGTCCGAGGCGCGGTAGCGGGTGTGCGGATGCTGTCGCAGAGAGAGAGGCCAAAATCGAAATCAACTAATACAATATACCTAGGTACTCGTCGGAAATGTTTGGGACCGTCTGTGCCGTGCCGGACCGCGCTCTCGATAGACGAGTCGAAGGTCTACGCTGCCGCCGGCCCCCTGGAATCCTCGTCGCCTTTCCTCTGCTTCACGGTGGCCCGTAGAATCATCCTCAGCAATACCGGCGACACTGCCGGAGAATCGGAAGGGCGTGGATGCCTCGGATAAGTGGAGTTGCTGGATTCTATGTCCAGATGCATGCCTCCTCCCTCCGTCCTGCCGTTCTATAGTCAGAATAGCAACCAGATACCTCCCATGATTTGTATATCACCTTAGTCATCCTAGAATCTTCTTAGAAATTACGGACTATACCACCACTAGAGGCGTGTTCTAATGTACGTGTACATGTACCAAGATAACTATTCAGAAAAGGGGGGGGGGGGGGGGGGGTAGCGAAGGCAGCGCTATAGTGGCCATAAGTGAAGAAAAAAAGGAAATATCTAGTACTCATAACTCCCTATCGGTATATCAATATTTTGTCCCGTAATGCCGCGTAGGAAGACGTGGAGAGAGAGGTGGGAAGCCGACGGGCGCCGGCGAGCAACACAGGAAAGCAGGCGAGAAAAACAAGACGTAGCAGACAGTCGGACGGGTATCCTCTCTTCTTATCTTGCCCATCGACATCGCGAGTTAGGCCTCTGTAGCTTCAGTGCAGCATCCGCCAGTAATGTGCACTGCCTCTAAATATCTCGCCCCTCCCCCTTAGTCGGCACATTTTCAGATGCCTAGTAGTGTAGACGCGGCCCAACACGGTTCACGATTGTAGACGGAGCGCCGAGTGCGAAGGGGAGTCTACCGAGCTTTCGGTCTAGAAAAGTGACTTTGCAGTCGGAGTCAAGACCAGGCCTCGCGACACTAAGCCGCGAAACTATCCACGAGTCTAACGCGGCGTCTTGGAGCTCAAGGTAAGCATAACCCAATGTAAGCGTCCCACGAGCCGCTCCGACCTCGTGTCGGTTGAGAGTTCTTGGCGGGTCAGGTCGCTCGCCGTACGTGGGTTACGCGGGTTACGCGGGTTTGCCGGCACCGCCGACGGGATCACGATTTAGTAACACCGGCTCGGCGATACGCTCCTGCAAATTTCAATTTCAAGGAAAGTGGGACGTAGCGTCGAAATACATGTTACAAACTAACTAGAAAGAAGAAGGGGGATAGAAGGAGGGTACTCCCAATAACCGCTTATCAGAAACACATCCACAGGACCTGGACCTTTTCCCAGTCCCCGTTCCGAAAGCCCTTCATCCGTGTTGACGAAAAACGAATCTTCAGAACGCCGTTCACCAGTCACTCTCCGGCCCTCGCGATTTTAGGTCGGCCGTCACACGTTCATCCATCAGGGGAGTCTGATAGTAGAGTCTAGACTTGTACCCCCCCCCTCTCTCTCGCAGGTAGTTCAGTGCAGGGTGGGGTATCGAATTTAGACTCCGTTCTCGGGCTTCTTGTCATCGACGAGGCCTGACTCGACGTAGGCGGGCGGGGCGTCGACCACCTCCTCGGGAGCGATCAGACCGGACTTCTCGTCAGTCGTGGCAGCCTCATGACGCGACGCCTTATGGTGGTGTCCGTGTCTGTGGTGACGTCGAGAGCCAGTCGGGCGGGCAACTAGTCGCCAGAGGTAGACAATGAAAGTTCCAGCCACCATTCCGACACTATGGGGATCATTAGCGCACCAGCACAAAAGACTAATCTCGCAGCAGGCAACACTTACATGCTAGCGGCAACGCCGGCCAGGATACCGATGGCCACGGGAAGGACAATGTGGGAGGCAATGTTCTTGAACAGCAGTCCCCAATTCTTTCGGTGGCGCTCGTGTTCCTCGTGGTGATCGTGGTGGCTCTGATGGGAGCCGTCTTCCTTGCCGTGAGCGTGGTGGCTCTGGTGGGGGTTGTTTTCCTTGCCATGAGAGGGACCTTGGCTGTGGGAGGGACGACCGCCGCAGCCCTTGTGGAGGCGGAGACTGGCAAGCTTCTGCCTGAAGACAGCTGCCCACCTGCACAGGAGAGTTGCACATTCCTCCTGCTTGTCCATGGGGTTAGATTGCGTGGTCTTCGGCGATACAGCCTCCAGCGAACCGATCATCAGCTGTCCCGTGGAAGTCTTGACGAGCTTGATGTGAACGCTCGGAATACCATTAACAAAGACGTCACCGACTTCAATAATGTCGAGTTCGATCATGATAAGCTCCAGGGAATCCTCGGCATTCTTGGCGATGTGACTCGTTTGCACGCCAAAGCCGAGGGGTTGGACGGTTAGCGGGCGGGGGCGGCCCTTGATGTGTGGTCGCTTGCTCTGTTTGTGGCCGAATTCAGGTCGGACGACGGCGGTAAGACTGTTGCGGAACAGGCCTGCCTTAGGGTAGAGCTCGAAGCCGTTCAGCATCAGACGGTCGGCACCCTCAGAGGGCTCGATACTGAAGTCCAGCTCCAGATGGCTAGGCACATCAGTAGTGACCATGATTTTGCCGTGATGAGGGATCCGCAGCGGACATCCCGGGCACTCGAGCTTCAAAGATCGGGCTTCGGCGACCTTGTGGATACCCACGTCGGCCTCGATGGGGACGGGGAGGGTGGTGACGATGTCATTGTCAGATCCGGCAATCTCGGGAGGGAGGAGTAGAGCGTTGGTAGTGGAGGCCGCCAGGCCCGCGGCGGCAAGAATGGATATCAACTGCATGATAGGCGTATGTTGGGCGCAGTTGAGGATGAGTTCAGTGCTTCATGGAAACGTAGGATACAAAGGGGAGGAAAAGGCTGGCCGGGTGTTTGTTTTGATGAAGAAGGAAAAGGAATGGGTGGCGTGCTGGTAGAGAGGGAAAGGTTGACGTCCAACGGACGTCGCGGAACTTGATGACGACCACCCTTGGCTCGTCTCCCTTGGCTGGGTACCTGGGTACATCCCACCACGACGGGATCATGCACTGTAGTTTGACACGGTGACGGAGAGCTGTGCCAGCTGTCGGGAGGAACGGCTGCGCAGGAGAGCGGGAGCGTGTCAGCCGCCGCCGTCTGTGGTTAGGTGTGTTTCGGGCCGTATGCTCATCCCATAATGCACTGCCCCCTTCCTCATCGGCCATTGGCGGATTCTAGAAACTACGAAGGTACTTCGTGTAGCACGCGCCATCCATCATCCGACCAGGCCGGATGCGATCTGGAGTCATCCTGCCTTACCTAAGGTACCTACACAGCCCTACCCTTAGCTAAGCACCTACGTACCCATGTACTTACGACCAGAACTTGGAACCTTGCCTTCTTGGAGGACAGGGAGCGACACAGCCACCGGCGATGGACTATGTGGTAGCAATACACAATCTCCCCCTAATACAAAAGCCAACGCGAATTACGAGCATGTCTAAGACTTGGCCGATACGGGATGAGATCCCAGGCAATCAAATGACGCCGTCTGTGCGCGTCACCGACCGATTCTGGAATGACGACAGGAGAGGTGTTGATACCAACAGCCAATGAGACGGACAATCGCCGTACTGGGTTGCTCCCATCCTCAACCCCAAGTCGTGCTCTATGCGCGATCAAATATACCTATATAACTTGACCGGCTCCCCTCGAGATCCTTCTTGCTTTATACGGAACTCGTCCGATTATCCACCCTATCTAAGCTAGGACGATACAAGTTACCGAGACATGTCACCAGCCGGTTCAGCTCCGAATACCACGGGCTCGAGTTAAAATACCTACATGCCGGCACCCCTCACGATTCATAATACTATATATATATAGGACTCAGAGAGCCAGAGCGCTGAACGGGATGGACCGCATTGCGCCATTTTGCCACCCTAGAACTTGCACTTAAACAATAGGAAAGTTCCCTACTGTCAAATACGCTGATCTAGCCAAGTCTTCATGGCGCCGAAGGGAATCCATGGTTCTTCTACCCAACAGCTAATCTAGCATGCCATCTAAGGCCCTTCTCTGGGACGTGGTCGTGACGCTGGGCCAGAAGACCCGGCGGTCCATGGCTTCGAAATCTGAGGGGCGCGGTCCATCCACCCCACCCAACGGGCCGCCGCCCTACCAGAATGCGGGAGCCGACGGGGCAGCGTCGTTGCGCCCGCCTTCGTATAGGGCTATCGCCGACGGCGAGCCCAATCCCCCAAAATCCGTGTCTCCGGAGCGGGTAGACGTGCCACAGCCTGGGGCTACACCAGCGAGCAATCAGGAAACCAACCCCGCTGAACTCAATCTAGCAGCCTCTCTTTTTCCTCCCGTACCGTCTGACATCGAGTTATCTCCGCTGCCCAAGCCAGTTCTGATCCCGAGCGTTAACCCGGGCCCTCAGATACCCTTTGCGCGCGCCTGGGCGCCGGAGTTGGCAAACCACGCGGTGACGCCGGCAGACCTGGTCGCCTTCGTCGACCATCTCAATCGCATTATTACGCCGCAGGCGGTCGTCCAAATGGTTGCGCTGATCGCCGTCGCCATCAGCGTAATCCCATACGAAGGCGCCGACGGCATCGCTGGCGGACTGGAAGGCCTCGCGATCCTCGCCGCGGTAGTCATGTCCCACAAGCGCCGCAATCGATATCTCGAGCGGGTGAACGAGAAGTATTTCCACCCTCGGAAGCTGCACGTCAAGATCACCAATTCCAAGAAGATGATCAAGAGGTTCGGTCTCGACAAGGAAGACCCGCTGGTGGCCCCCCTCAGCGAAGACACGCTCGGCTTGAGCGCCCAGGAGAGGTGCCTCCGGTACGTGCGCAAGTGGACTTGCGAGCTCTCGTTCGACGTGCCTCCCCCGAGCCCCCAGACGGGCCTGCTCGCGAGGATAGCCGCGTGGGAGGTCAGGCGTAAGATCTCCAAGGCGGACGACGAAGCTAGAAAGAGCCGGCAGCGGGCCTGGAAGAGGCACCAGAAAGGCAAGAAGCTCAAGGAGAGCTGGGGGGAGAAATCCAGGGCCAGGTCCCTCGACTGGATCCTGATACAGAACCTGGACGAGTGGGAGGCCGCGAGGGCAGAGAAGCAGGCGAGGAAGCAGGAGAAGAAAAAGGAGAAGTCGGCCTAGAAGACTATCCGGAGCTGATATGTAGATGAGGCTGGTGACGTGGTTTCTTTACGTGCGGAGTTTGCCCCGGATACCCATTTGCTCTTTATCGGCGACACAGCTTAATTCGTTAATTGCTCTAGACTGCCGATATATCACACGATTTCGTGCCGGCTATTATGTATTATACTCATAGGGTTTTTCTTAAGCCAATAGTCCTAGTTTGTAGCCCATATATAATATCATAATTTCTACCCGCCGAGTCTCGAGTATTCAAAGCAGAAGCTCGAACGAAGCTCCCTGGTAGGATAGCTGGAACGTCTGTATCTCGCGTAACCACCCCCTTAGCTTAGCCAGTGTTGTGCTCCTAGCAGTCTATCAACTACCCACCTAGAAACGACACCGTAACGGCCCATCAAACCTTTTCGTCTCTTTCTGTGCGCACAAGCCGCCAGCATCCATCGAGAACACCCTCCCCCGTCGGGGTGCACCCAATAGTTGGACGTGTCTCGGGGCCCTCGGGCGCGACCAGCCCCATCAAGGTAGAGCTCTCCCTTAAACCCAGACCAGAACCCGCCCCTTCCTCCTCCCCGCTCTTCCACGTGGCCGTGTCCGCATCGCGAACAACGCGTTCGCGCACACCGCTATCGCCCCGCGGAGCCGCCCAGTTCGCGCCACCGGACTGTCTCGCCCTTGCCCCCTGCCTCCCCTAAGTCGGCGCGCGTAGACTCGTGTCAGCGCCGCGGACGCGCGCCGCGGGAGACACAAGCGTGCGAGACATGCCATCCGCAGCCGACGGCGCGCCGCGCCCCGCTCACTTTTTACCGCAGCGCGGCGGCAGGCACTCGCGCTTACGTCTACGCGACGGGGGGACGCGGAGGCGGGCCTACGTAATGCAAGGTGGGGAGGGGGGGATGCGGCGAGACGAGGCGTCCTCGCGCAGCTCGCGATCGTCCTGGCCCTCCTTTTCCCGCCCCCTCTTCCTCATCGGCTTACCGACCTCGTAGCAGATAGCTATGGGTTCCCGACACTGGTTCTCGCGCCTCGCAGCAAACATAGGGATACGCCGGCTCTGCTGGTTCACCGAGCTAGGTGCCCACCCAGGCATCCAACCCGTAGGTGCTTCGTGGGAGCGAGCCGCGAGCCAACCAGCTTTCCGCGGCTACCTGCCTTCCCGCACTTCGTAGTAAGCCTCAAGATGTGCGTGCTGAGGTTTGCTTGCGGAATGCACTGCCGTTACGGATACCGTATCGCATAGATTAAAGCTTCGGTCGGCGTTGTCGCCATGGTCCGGCGCATGTCTCTCTGCTCGGGCCCTGTTCTTTTTCTTTTTCTTCCCTCCATTCGATCTGTCCCTCCTATTTTGCCTTTTTGCTCGATATTATCCTGGGTTAGGGAGTTTGTATCACATGTATAACCGGACGTCCACCAGAGCGTCTATGCTCATGCGCCAATCTCATCAAACGAACAGGCTAGACAGGCAGGGAACCAATCTGGAGACATCTTCCTAAACAGGCAACTATGAGAAGGGAAGAGACATAAAACAGAAGGGATCGTCGTCCTTAAAGAGGTAGCTGTAATTACGCAGGCTGACAAGGCGGCAGGCGGCAGGTGAGGACGGCGCGGTGCCCAAGTGAAACATCGCAGCTGTCTATACAGTAAGACAGAAAAGAGAGAGACGCTCGAACAGAGGTGTCGCTATCGCGGGATTGCATACACTGACGCTTGAGAGTCAACGCAACCTACCTGAGCCTGGTTGACGCGCAAGCGAGGCAGAGCTCTACTAGTCTGCGCCGATTCAGCCATACCTGTCTCGGCACGCGACGGAGCTGGGAAGAAGTACCTGATGTACAATACATATACACGACTGGCTGCGTGGATGGGCTGCATGGTGAGTACAGGCCCAGCAGGCGGTAACCGGTAAGTCTTGAGCGGGAGGTCGGGAAGTATAGTAGGAGTAAGGCAGGGAGGCGGATGGTGGCGGGATGGATTCTCCTTGCATTTTGCATCTGCGGGTGCCCAAACCGCCCGCAGGGTGCCACGCCCGAATCGATGGACATGAAACCGGCCTCAAGAACTCCCCCTCCTCCCTAGATTTCGACACCGCACGTCCTGGTATTTGAAGTCCGGCGTCTCGGGAACTCGCCTGCCTAAAGGCAGGTCTTGCCTGGAAGACGGGGGGAGGGACGAACGATAGCTCGTGCGATTATAGACACATCGTCTCACGGCAGAATAGAGAGAAACATAGGCACACTACACCCATAGAGAGGAAGAGAAGGGGGGGCACGGCGGTGATCGCGTTGCTCAGATGTGCGACATTCCGCGACCAATTATTCTCCGCCTCGGGATTTTCTGATGAGGTTGTGGCCGTGGTGTTGGAGGAGAAGAAGGGGATCGCCAATTGATGGGGTGGTTTTCGTCATCCCGTCGAGGATCGGCTGGGAAATTTGCGCACGATCCTTCGTCCGGTCCTCTGCTGAAATTGCCGCTTGTCGAATAAATTAATTACGAGAGGGCGCGGCGCGGCGTCCTCTGCCGCTTCCTGCGTACCGGGCTTGGATGTAGGTAGGTATCGTATGGGGGAGAGAAATTCTGGAATGCGAATGCCAAGGGGAATTCGCGCCACGTCCGTGGCATGGCTTCCCCTCCCATCCTACTGGCGATGGCGCGCATGCGAGTTGCGAGAAGGCCAATTTCGTTCGCGGCCAGAGCTGGCTCCCCAGACTTCGACGACACGCCTACCTTACAGTGGTGTGTGTGGCCCTGTTTATATTTTCTGGGGGGGTGTGGTAGTGTGGAATCGACTGGAATAAGAGCCTCGAGTCTATCGTGAGCCCTACGACAGGCGACAACTGGAATCGAGAAAGCCCCGGAGACCTCCAAGTCAGGTAGCGAGTGGGCGGTTTGATGGAAAGGGGGGAGGTAAATTTGCCCGAACGGTCGGGATCGCACCGAATTTCCTGGTGTCGCGGATAACGCAGCGGCCCCCGTCCTTGTATTGGGTACGTACCGAGTGTACGTATCGCCATGTACATGCCAGGTGTGCCTCATGCGTCTGCAGGCCCGGATTGCCGGTCTGTCTTCACATCACCGTTCGTCGCCCTCCTCCAAACCGCATCTCGGGGAAGGGAACTGTTCTATTAGTCTCCCTATCCGTCTATCGTGCACCTGCTTCTCACCAGCAGTGTTTCCGACGCCGAGACAGGAACAGGAGAAAGCCGCTCCCGTCTATCCGATCTCTCTCTCTTTTTTTTTTTTTGGTTGTACGTACCTAGGTATGTCTCGGGGTGTCGCATCTGTACATATGCTGCGTGGATACACAGCTCGGTTAGGTAGGCGGGTTGGGGCGTCTCAAGAGATTGTTCAGCTAGGTAAACCTGCATCGAGTATGCGTGGTAAACTTCTAGAGTCTCGTGCTGCCCACGCTGTCGCCCTCGCGTTTTTACAAATCGCATATGCGTACATGGGCATGTGAGTTCCTCCTTATCGCGGTTGCTATTCTGGTTCGATGTTTGGAGCTATCTAGGTATCGCGCGACCCCCTTCTCAGACGCACACGTACATAACGACATCGTCAGATCTGATGATTCCCTCTCCGTAGTTGCGCGGCATGGCTAGTACGTACCGAGCAGATGGCCAGGGCGAGACAGCATTACTAGGGTGACGAATGTTGAAGCCGTCTGCAAGTGACGACACTAGTGTTTCCAACTGGTGAAGCACATCGCCGGCGACCGCTGATTTGCTGGCCGCGCTGGTCTGTCGCAGGGGTCCCGAGCTGGCGGTGGCAGGGGTCTGGGGCTCCCCTCCCCGGGAGGGGGCAGGGGTTCCCGCCGAGTCGTCTGGCTTTCTCCTCTCGACTTCGATACCGAGCCACGAAATTGGCGACGAATGCAGAACGAACCGCAATGCGCTCCTCCTTCCATTGGGCGGGGGCTTTTTTCTCTGCCGCTCCCTTCGATCGCCTTCTCGATCGGGTGGGCATTCGTAGGGCGGTACGCAGTCCACGCGTCGGGTGTAGAGTGGCAGCTCAGCGGTCGGTAACCAAGAGCGCCGGCCTCGTAACGGGTTAATCTACGCTTGTGCTGTTCCCTGCTATCGTCCCAACGCAGCTCGCACACGCACCCGTCTGTGTTGACATCAACGCTACCGTGCTCGGAGGCAGCGCAAGTACCTACCTCCTGCACAACTTGGCTGGACGCCTATGTAACCGTGCTAGGTAGCAGCATTAGAGGTATACCTCTGCATCTGCTGTTCACATCGTCAGATCTGGCCGTCCGCGCTGGCGCCCCGACAGGGTCCTCCCATGGCCGCCCCCCCGGGCTGCGAGTCTCGCCGACGACTACGGTGAAGGCGCACTGACGTCGCGGTTGTCCTCTTTGAGATTCGTACCGTCTTACTACGTGGTACTAGTTGTGCCGCTACGTGGTTGCTGTCCGAGCCCGAACCCCCCCCTTTTCCCCGTTTGGCTGTGCCTTCCCCACAATTCCCATAGACGATGTGCGCTAATGCCAGGCACGAACTCGACGCATCCAATCAGATTGCCCAGCCGCCGCCGGCTCTTTCCTCTCTCTCTCTCTCCTTCCGTCTTTCCACCTCTCTTCCCGAGTTCCCTCGTACCTGCCCAGGCGGTTTTACTGGTTTTACTGGTTGACGATGGTCGAGTTGTGCATGCGCGCTCGCTCTTGCCCGTCTGTGTGCTGGTCTACTGCGACCTACTTACTGTCCCTTCTCTAAAGGTACCTCCTCTCTCTGCAGGTCTGGTCCGGTCTAGTCTAGCCTTGCCTTTTCCTCTCGTTCCCTTGCGCGCCGCGCGCTGCACCCTTTTGCTCTGCTCTGCTCTCCTTTGCTTGTTCCCGTCGAGACCTCTGTGGTTCATCTCTCAGTTGTCTCTGCCTGCGAAGTCCACTCGACAGCTTCAACCTCTTCCTCCCTCTCCCCCGTCTCCATCGCTTCCGCCAGCTCCGCGACATATCCCGCCTCACAACCGAGAGAGAGATACGTGTTGGTCCCACCCAAGTATCCGCCCCAAACAATCTAGGATATTGTCCGTTGCCCGCTCCCTTCTGCTTCCCACCTATCCCCCCCCGTCTGTTGTTCGTATTGTTATTATTATTATTGCTGTCGTTTCTATTATTGTTGTTATTATCCGGATACGCGCAGTTCTGTCTCGATGACATTCGGCTGTCCTGCCTGGCATTCTTTATCCACGTCGAGCGTCTGTTGGTACAAACGGGGGAAACCGTCTGCCTGATTGCCTCCTGATCGCCTTCTTCTACCACATTATAGGCGTCCCGCCGACTCTGGCCTAACTGGCTCTGCTGTCTTCTCTCTTGTCGTTCCGGCTCTGCTGTCTCGTCCGCGCATCTGAAACGCCAACGGTATCCAAGACTTCGAGGTCGCATCGCCTGGTTACGCCCTACCAGCTCCCCCCACCTTCGTTACGGTAGGAATAACGCTGTGCAACCACTACCACTACCACGAGCTTTGCACGCCGCTGCATAATCGTCAATCTTCCGGCAGATACCACTTGCCCCCCCAGCGCATCCTCTGATCCTCGGGCCTCCTGCAAAGCATTCGGGAACGGTGACGGGAACCCGCTGGCTTGAACTATTCTCCATCTCGGGCTCTTTCGATCTAGAAATCGTCCATGTGCTGTTCATTGTCGAACAACTCTCAGTCGAACTGAGCCGGGAGCACGAAAAGTCCAGTACCTCTTGAAACGTCAAGTGTACGTGATCTCCTATTTCGAACCATGACTCTGCCAAACCCTGTTGAGGTGAACCTTGCCCGGCTATTCTACTCTACGACCGCTAGTGAAATCAACCGTACCGGATCCAAGACCCTTGAACTGCTCTTGGCTCAGAACTCGCTGGATCCTTTCGGCTCCGTGGGAGAAGAGGGGTGGTTGCATCCCAGGCCCAATTAACTTTCTCTTATCCCTCATTGCTCTGCGATGGCTCCCATACTTCTGCCTTGCGACCACTCTCATTCTTAATTTCTCTTCTTCTTGGGCTAACCAATCGGCTTCAGGTTTATCTAAGCCCTCTCACTTGAGGTGATTGGGCTGCTTAGCGTTCTCTTTTAATATTATATCGTCCCGTTGGCCAAGCACCACGGGCCCTTTGTTCTCGTCATTCGCTTTCTCTTTAAGTCGAAGCCAGCAAGCATCGACATCGGGGTTACGTTTAGTCCTCTCAGCTTCCAGGATAGCATCGAGACGGCGATTAAAGCTCAACAGCCCATTGAGTCGGCCTGCGTTACTGTTTGCGACACCATTGATTACTTACGTTGACGTCATTCCTTGTGTCACTGGCGCGAACACGAGGCCGGATAACTCGCGATCTCGTTTTCGTTTGTGGATTTCCTTGGTCCGCCTGCCGGCAGGCCATCGGTTGCCAACCTCGCATCGATTCGGACTAGGACTGTGGGAATTTGCGCATGCTGTTGATATAGCCGGCAAAGGCTGTAGAGGAGAAATTGGTCGAGTGGAATGCCGGCACCTGATCCGGATTCTTTACCTCACCGGGGCTTTTTTAAATGAATCAATATCAAAATGGGAGGAGTACCGGCCAACCGTCCGGTATGGGGGTTACCGTTAGGAGGACGAGGGAACAAGCCGATACCAGTGCAACTAGAGGAATCACGACACCTTCCCCTGAGCCTCCGTCAATAAGCCGGCGGCTTCAGGCGCCACCGGGGCTTCAGTCGAGGGACGGACAGATCGGAATGGCCATATCAAGACCGACACCATTGGCCCAGTGGCCGCTTAGTGGACCTCTCGCGACGCCGACATCAACAGACTCGGAGCCGTACCGGCCCCCTCCGGGAAGATCTCAGCCGCCTCAACGCCCACCGCGACCCAGTAGGGTACCGTCGATCCTCGACGCGTCTCGCATCCAAGAGCACACACCGGTCTTTCAGTATGCATCCCAGGACAGCAGGGCGTCCGAGTTATCGGCACCGGAAACTGTGCAAAGTATGTCTTCGCGGCAATCAACTAACTCTTCAGTCGGCTCGATCCCGGACTTTCCAATGCCGGTCGGTACCTCATTGCCGCAATCTAGGAGAAGCGTCACGCTGGGACCGCCTCCGTCCGCGAGGAGGGGAGCTTCGTCCTTTTATTCAACCGCGTCGTTCGTCTCGCCGATACCCGAAGAGAGTCCAAGAGCCCGGTCGCACACTTCTTACGCATCTAGCGCCGCGATACCCGAAAGTTTCGGAAGCCTGTCGCCGGGGTTCAGTATAGGTGCAGCCGACGGCGACGACGCGATAGCAGAGGAATCCGTCAGCAGCGACGACGCGGACGAGCGAAGCTTAGTTCGGAGCGCTAGTATTGGGAAGAGGGGGAAGCCGTCTCTGGTAACTACGGGGAGTTTCGAGAAGAGGAATTCGACATTAAGACCGGAACCAAAACCTGTCCAAAGCGGCCCTTTTCAAGGGGGTACCGGTTATCTCGATGCTTCTTCGAGTTCATCAGAAAACGCCTCGAGAGAAGTCGTCGGGAACGCGCTGACGGCGGATAGAATGTTGAATGCGTTTCAGGGAGCGAGTGCTACGGACCCCTCGTCGTTACGTGCGCCCGCTGTTTCGCCCTCACCAGTGCCGTCACCTAGACCGGCTAGGTTCTCCGCCATTCGACGACCTCCACGCCTGGATATGGACGCAGTAAGAGCGGCTGAAGCGAGGGGCAGTTTGACAAGTTTACCGGATTTGATAAGGCGGGCAACTCGTCTGGCAGCGATGATGGATAGAGGACGCAGGCCAGCGAGCCATTTCGACGATCTCGACTTCCCAGAATACTACAGCAGGGATCCTGAGAAGGACCCCCCTTGTTCGTTCCGCCCCTCTCACTTATGTTTCTCTTCCGGTGCTGACTTTCTCTCAGATGACCGCAGACATCAGTCCGGGCTGTCCGATATGCTAGCGGCGTTTCCGCCCCCGGCGAGCCGAAGCGGGAACGGGGTACGGCAGAGTACACTCTCCTGGCCGCTTGTGCGCAGGTCCTTCCGTGCGCCTCCGGTGCCGACAAACGGCTCCGTCGACTCGGAGCAGCAACAAGAAAAGAAAGGTCGGCGCTGTTGCGGATTGTCCATATGTACCGTCATCGTATTGCTCATCATCCTGCTATGTATCATAGCTGCCGCCGTCGTGGTCCCCGTGAAATTCCTCGTCATCGATAAACAAGCCGAGAGGAACACACCCCAGCCGGCTATAGCGGACTGCAAGGCCCAACTGGAGTGTGCCAATGGCGGCACAAACGTGGTGCTCCAAGGAATCTGTTCATGCATATGTTCCAACGGATTCACGGGTGTCGAATGTACAATTCCTACTTCGCAAGGTTGTACAACGACGTCGATTAGCACGGCGGATTCTAGCTTCGACAACGTTACCATCGGCCAGGCAATACCCCGTCTCATAAAAGACGCCGAGGCCAACTTCTCAATTCCTCTCGTAGCCACGGTGATACAGGCAAAATTCAATAGGGAAAATCTTTCATGCGTCACAGAGAACGCGCTAGTTACTTTTGGCGGACAGTCCCTCAGAACGCAGGACGCTTTTGCTGAGGTTTTCGAGTCAAGTTCCGACTCGGATCTTGCCCAAGCCGCTATAGCGGCAGCCGCCATTCCGATCACCCTTACGGTCCGTCCGGATCTTGAGGTCACTTTCACAATCGAGCCCCCAAAGGTTACTGGTGGGATTTCGGCGAGTTTTATCATCACCACCCTGACATCTCCGACTACGATTTCTGGCTCTACGATATTTGCCACGACCTTGACATCTGTTCACTCTAAACACACGTCCGCCACCCCCTACCCGACATCTCCCCCAGCACCGCCGACTTCAACAACCACTACCACTACTGCGAGCCGCGCGAGCAGCACCAGCACGGAGACGCCGCAACCAACGGACACCTTCGTGGTGACCGAGGAAGTGGCCGACTTTGCTCGTGTAGCCGTCTTGTATATATTCCAAGAAAAGACACTAATCGATGCCTCGGCGGCCCAGACATCGATCGAGGGCTTCTTCAGCGACGTGAACTCGAGGCGGAATTCAAGTTCCGGAATGGCAATGGAGAGAGCAACGAATCTTACCCTCGGCGGAGGAAATACAATCGATCTTGTAAATCTATTCGTGGACCTGGGCACCGGTCAGAAGGTTGGTGGCGGTCGGCCGGGTTGAATAATTTCGGTCAACCGCCACTCGAGATATTTGCGTTTCAAAAATCGACCTACCCTCAACAAGATGACCAGTCATCAACCAACCCTTTGCGGTACGAGAAAATGAGCAAGCGAGCTTGCACGCACCCAATACGGACCACCGCGGACTTCACGAACACTAGAGGGGTAGCTCCCTGAGCACTTGGGGAATGAAGGACGGAGATTCCATCATATTTGTACAAAATGCCTTGTATTTCTGTCGATTTGCACGCATGAGCACTGCCGAAGAAGACCAGTAGTAGCATGTTATAGGGATGACATTTTAGCGTCGGCGTAGGTAAACGGAGTGGAGTGAGGTGAAGGGGGGGGGGGGGGGGGGGGACTTGGGTAGATAGCTCGAGAAATGTCTCGAGGCCAAATGTTTAATGCGTACGACCTGCGGCTTGCTTGTCGAGGCGAACTTGAGTGCTAACGGCCGCTCCCGCCATGGTGAAGACCGGTTAACGCGTATTCGGCATAGCCTAGTTCGACGTCGAGGTGATCCGTTGACCTCCGGGCAAGCTCGTCCGCCCGCCCGCGCGCCCGTCTCCGCCAGTGAGGGAGGCGAGGCGAGATCCGCACATCGGCATCATCTTCCGTCTTCTGTCCTGTTCACTCCTTCGCGTGCGGGTAAAGTCAGCTTTTAGTACGGACTCGGGAGTGCGTGTATACGAGTACGTAGGTGTTGTGGATTCGCCAGGTCAGCTGATAGGCTGCGGGTTATCTAGGTAAACCTAGGCAATAATGTACGATACGTAAGAGGACACGAAGCGGAGAGGGATTCAGACGTTCCGGATACTATAAGACCTACTCGTAAGGGACATGGGGGATGGGGGGTACCTCTAAGGTAGGGTTAGGGTCGGGCGCGGTGGCTACCTATGTCCACGGATGTACTCTATGTGTGTACACACCTATATGTGCGCGCGCGTTACTTATAGCTATAAGCTATTACACCTCAACCGCCTCCCGGGTATCCCTGTATTAGGCATCTTATACCTACCTACCTTAGGTAGGTAGAGACGTGCTAGGGATATCCTATTCCCTAACTACCTATACCTATATGAGAGGTAGGCAGGTAGGTAGGCATACGTCGGCCCTATCTATAGCGACGATAACTTACCTATTATACCTGGGTGGCGTCGCCGTCCCTCCTATAGGAAGTACCTGGGCAGGCCGCCGGTCCACTGCCGGCTAGGCTAGGCAGGCAAGTACGTGCCTGCCTACCTACCTAAGTCCGTCCGTACAGGTTTTCGCTGCGGGTTCCTCTCGCTCGGGGGGGGGTCCGCCTCTATCCTTCCTCCGCCTGCCCCATGACCACGAACCACGACCGCGGCCACGACACCAGGGCACTGGCGGCGGTATGGCGTCGCGCGGGCTGGACACCGCTCGCGCCGTTGTTCTTCGCAGATGGACCCAGAAAGAGAGAAGGGGGGCGGGGCGGGTGGTCTGGTGACGCGAGAGAAGAGGACGAAGAGGTGAGAGAGCGGAAGAGGAAGAGGAGGAGGAGGAGGAGGGAGGGAGGGAGGAGGAATGTTGGGCTAGGCTGGGTCGGGTTGGGCTGTGGGTGGTGGACCGTAGGCTTTCGAACTGTGGGTTCGCCGGTCGCGTATAGGCTGTCGTTTGTTCCGTCTGGCTGGTGCCAGAGTTTGGCGAAGCGTGGGACGGAGATGAAGGAGACGGAGATTGGGCATGGGCGATGGTCGATGGGCGACGGGCGATGATGATGGTGGTGATGATGATGTCTGCTCTACTGATCAAGTACGTGACGGGACTGAGGGGATTGATGACGCCGGCTTTGCACTTGGTGCCTCCTCAGGCGGGAGGGAGGTGAGGTGGGCGAGTCCGTGCTATTATCTCGTCCTGTCTATCCGTCGATCTATCTACCTGCCTGCCCGCCTGCCCGCTCGTTCTCGCTGCTTACGATCTCTAGTGCGCAGCCCACGCCCACGCCCACGCCCGCCCGGCCGTCTCCTAACGGCTCTCGGCTACCAAGGTAGGAGGCAGATCGGGTCGTTCGAATGTAGGTAGAGCTCACATGTCCAGTATCCCTACCCGTGCCCACATGCCAGCCTTCCTGTACTGTACTTTTCCTCTCTGCCCATTCTCTTACACTGGCGTTATCTAGTATGTACGCGGGCAGATCTCCTGCCCCTGCCGCCTTCACCTCCCTTCCTCTCACCGTCAAGAGGGCAAGGAAAGCGAGTTGGCGCGGGATTTCTTTTTTTTTGAAACAACCTTCTTCCGTGGGTCCTTGGGTCTGTGGTCTCTGGGTCCGAACGTTTCCCTGCTAGGTTCCCTAGATCCCCTAGGGCGCCTACATCGGTCTCTTTTAGGACCCTCGAAATCAAGAGGTCCCCGGAGCGGGGCGAGGCGATCCTGCTAGTTCTAGACTGTCTGAGCTATATCCTGCCCAAACTTTTTTTTTCTCTTTCTTTCCTTATCATTTTGCGCTTGTTTCTGGCCTAGAATAGGCGCCACAAGAAACGCCGCCAGGCTTCGCATGCACATAGGTACTTCGGAGCAAGACAACAATAGCAGTATTAATAACTGTATTATCAATGCATAAATGGATGTACGGTCCTAGACGTATTTCCGAATACATGTATGAGTAGGTGTGTGTAGGTATATGTGGGAGTCTATATTGCGACGCTAGGGCGAGCAGATGGGGCGTGTTAGTCGCGCGTGGGCGGGCGAGCGAGCGGTCGCGCAGCGCGCCCGAAGAGCGGTCGGGGGTTGGGTTGGTGTCTTCTTTGGGGGGGGGTGGAGGGGGGTGGAGGGGGGGAGGGGATGAGAGACGGGGATTGGATGGAAGGGGAAGGGTTGGTTAGTCCGTTAGTAGGGACGCGTGAGGTACGAGACGAGAAGCAATACGAATGGGATAGGAAAGGGAGGAGGAGGAGGGAGGTAAGCGCGGGACATTATTGATTGATTAGGGGGTTTTCTTCTTCTTCTTCTTTTCATTTCCTCTTCGGCGAGTTTGAAGCGCAAAGCCCGAGTTCGAAGACCTCGACTTACACACAGACTAACACAGAGAGAGACGAACGACGGCAGAGACTTATAAAGACTTACACAAACAGACTGTTGCCTAGGTACCTACCTACCTATCCATCCATACGCATGTACGTAAGCCAGCAAAGCAAAGCACCCAAGGTATGAGGCATATACATACCCGTCCGTACGTACCGTGTCTACCTCGGGTTGTACACATGCCTACTCATACACGAGCATATGTAGGTAGGTAGATACATGTAAACACAAGCAGGTCCGCGATGGGTCCCCAGGGAGGAGGTAGGTAGGTAGGTACCTAGGTTATCCAACCTATGCGCATAACATCTTGGATGTCTGCCGAGGTGAATCGAGTGCGGGAGAGGAGGAGGGAGAGAGGGAGAGCGCGTGCGTACCTGTCAGACGAAGAGGCCGTGGGCGTCGCGCTCCGGTGCTGGACAGGATTACTGAGACGGTCTGGTCCCATGCCGGCAACCTACGCACATATGTAGAGACGTATGTATGCTACGTGCGTCCGTCCGCCCGTCCACCCGTCCACCCATGTACGTACGCGTCCGTAGTAGCAGCTTAGCTCCCCAGGTAGAGCATCCTTTCCCTGGGTCGCCCAAGGTCGGCGCGGCGGCGGAACGAATCTGAGAAGCAGAAACACGACGCAGGCGGGCAGTGCACTTGGTTGCTACCGACCTACCTCTACCTACCTACATGCTACAGGTACATACTCATATACGCTACGGGTGGATACAGGCACCTTAGGTACATACCGGTCGTAGACCAAGAGTCGCATAGCTCTAGCTCGCGAACGAGCCTAAGAGGTAAAGTACCGAGGATATGTCCGCGGTAGGCTAGCGACGGCGTCGATGTTGGGTGGGCGGTCCTGTGGGCGGTCCTACGTTAGGTACCTACAGGCTCAAGACAAGTACGTGCTTAGGTACCCGATGTACCTAGAGGGCATATACATTATTACCCACTTGGGGCACTGGACCGCGGGAATAGCCTGGCCAGGTACCGAACAAAACCTGGTTGGCGTATCGACTCGGTTGGTTGGCAGACGGACCGACGCCGTGCACAGAGGCTGGAGACTGGCAGAAACGGGGCGAGCCGGCGGGGAGCGGAAAGGGATGGATATTATATTATATGTAAGGTACCAGGCGTAAGCGCGGACAAGGGTCCTGTATGTAAGGTACCGTACGGCGCATTACATCCGGTACTCGGGTACATGCGATTCTCACCTTACTAACTGCATGCCTCCATACGTACAATAATAGGTACAATGCACAATACGTAGAGTGGGCCTGTGGGAGTGTACCTAACCTATTATCCTCCCTGTAGAGCACACACTCATACATCCCCGGAGTCCGAACCCTCCCATACCTAGGTTGCCTACGTACCTAAGGTACGTATATGCATGCGTGTATATGTGCATATGCGTGTATGAGGTGTAATGTCTCTGGACGCCTCCCTGCCTCTATGAGTAGGTCGGTACCTATGTGAACGGAAGGGCTGTGCGTTTTGGTGGCGGTTCCTTTCGTGGCCTCGCTGCCTTAATCGTAAGGCACGCAAGACGAGTTGAAAGGTAAACCTAGTTGATCAATTGAAGGTGTAAAAACTAAACTGCTAAAAGGGCTTAAATACAGCGTTTTACGAACAGTTAGCTGTTGCGTGTTTTTCTTCAATTCCACCAATCACAGGCCTCCATTCTGGATGCCTGAGGATCCACAGGGCAGCCCTGTGGACGGGCGGACGGGTGGATGGGCGTGTGCGCACATATATGAGTGAGTACCTACCTACCTCTTACCTACCTACCTACCCGCCTACCTACCTACCTACATACATACATACACACACACACATACCTGATGGATATGCATGCATGTTACGTACGGATGGTGCTGCTGCTGCTGCGTATGGAGTCCGGAGGCCGGTGGACTTCGTACAATGCGGACTCGAGTCCAGGACAGGAACTCGTGGATTGTGGACTCGGGTGTGGATTCGGGTGGGCGGCACCATACAGGAATACAGGAATATGAGTACACAACAGATACAGTCTGACTAGGAGGTAGGTAGGTAGTATTAAGCGCCGGACGAAAACGCTCGTGTCTGGGCCATTACAAATGCCACAGCCGCTCTTTTCTTCTTCTTTTTCTTGTCTCTTCTTTGCTTTGCGAGTTACGCTCGTGAAAAGAGGCCTCGGGGACTCTGAAGGCCGAGCGAGGGGGGGGGGGCCGAATCAGAGAAGGGGGACGGACAGAGACAGAAAAGAAGGCTTACCTGCATAGTGCCTACATACAATGCATTGTACGCCTACATATGCATCGATCCATAGCGCAAAACCAAGGGCTTCTTCGTGCCGCTGCTGTGCGCTACTGTCGACACCGTCGACGAAGGCAGGGCTTAGTGGGATAGGCATGATAGGATGGGATTCTGCTCGAAGCGAGGGTTGGGCGGGTTAGCGCGCGTCGCATGTAGGACTCGCTCACCACCGGTTCCTCTCTTTCCCCTCTCGCGTCTTTTCTTTTTTTTTTTTCCCCTTTCGAATCGCCCCGCAGACGTACGGGATGCTACGGCTGGAACTGACGAGCCCGCTTACGGGGCTTATTACCAACCCCAATCGGGTGACGTGTTTCGGTGAGAATACGACGGGACAAACCAAGGAAGGCTGGCTGGATGAGCACACTCGAACGAGAGAGAGGGAGAGAGAGGGAGGTAGAGGGAGGGAGGGAGAATGGAGAAATGCGGTGTGTGTGGATGTAGACGCAGACTGTGTGTGGGCTTAGTGATGGCCCAGAAGTCTGGGAAGTCTGGGAGTCTCTAAAACCGACTCTCTCTCTGTCGAAGCTTTTCCCTTCTTCGCTCTCTTTGCGATTCGTGATTGACGGATCTTGGTTGCAGCAACGCAGGGGCCGGCGTAACAGGTCGCATGGAACTTCGCACTGACGGATATGGAGAGCGAGGGAGAGAAAAGGGAGAAAAAGAGAGCTGGGAGGGCTGAGGGATCGACAAGTGCCGGGATGCCAGGCTGTTGGGTTCTACGACAGACGAATTGTATCAGGTATTGTTGCCGCGGGCACGTTGCCACATACGGTACATGCTCTCTACTTGCAGTTCCGGCGCACGGGCACACAATCCGTGACGGCCAACCACGTACCGGACAAGTACCTCCCTGCCTACCCGTACATGGGCTTGACACACGCATACATGCACACACTTACACACACAACACTTTTGCATATATATACGTGCATATATCCAATACATAATGTACAGCAGCAGCAGGTAGGTCTCTCAGGTAGGTACTTACTTGCCTTAGAGGTATCTAGGTACCTACCTACCTACCTACATATACCCATACATAACTGGAACCCCAACGTTATTCTTATCCACCCTCCCCCCATGTGCGTGCATTAGGTAGGTGACACCCACGCCCGCCACACCCGCACCCACAACCTTAGGAGGTACATACCGACATTAGGTCATGTACCCAACACACATACAAATCTCCATACATCCGCATGTACACCATACACACATCATGTACCTAACGTACAACCAGGTGGATGCGCGCACCCGCCCCTGTAGGTGTATAATCCTCGATACGATACGATAATTGGTACATGCATATCGATGTGCGTACCGTGCGTCGAGGAGGGTATTGACGATGGGGGAGAAGAGCTGAGGAGGAGGAGCCGGAGAACGAGGTTGGAGGATCCGCCGCATCGAATTACCTCACCGTACATTTTTTTTTTTTTTCGTCTGCTTTCCTTTTCCCCCTACCATTACCCTCCCCCCCTGTGCCTTGCATGACGGGCAGCGGGCCAGGTCGGGAGTCGGGTCAAATCAGTCAACTGTCATGGATTTCGTATATAGGCCTGGGAGCATCCCGGAGTTGTGGCACGGCCTTGTGCAGCTGAGGGAGTGCACCGGAGAGAAGAGTGTGAGAGCGAGCGAGTGCGAGCAGCGACAGGGACGAGAAGAGACTCTATTTCATGACAGCGACGACCAGTTGAACCAACCACCCGCCCACCCACACCCCGTATCTACCAGCCCGTCCTTACACCCGTCCGTTCCTTTTCCTGCTGATCACGGCCATGCTTATGACGATTATGATGAATACGGTCACGTCTCTCGCTTGAAATACCTGCCTAACCCCCATCCGGACCCAGTCGCTCCCTTTTTTGGCCTGCTACCACGAACCAGCACACACGCTCACACATACGCATACGCACGAACCTATACACGCAACCACACGGCTGGCCGATATCCTGTCGCTCCTTTTACTGGGTTGAGTCCAGTATATGGCTATCGGCCACATCTATACTCACGCCATTGGGTCGACGCAGCTTGATACGGACTCGGCGCACACCAGACTGAACTCGAATCCGCAAGGTCGGGATATCGAAGGACCGGAGCCGCTAGATCGCAACCGCCAACCAAGATGACGGACAACGCCGAGACCATCGAGTCTCGGGATCCAGACTGTAAGCAAGAGACCTACGGGCTCTCGACCCTCGTGCCGCCCACCTCCGCCGACGCTTCCACCACGAAGGAGATGGACCCTAAAAAAACCGACTCGTATTTCTCCCACCAACCTCACGCCCTCTCCGTCGACTTCCAGTGCCACAAGGGCGACGGCACCGTGCCCGCCGTCTCGCCTCTCTCTACGGGCAGCGTCCTGTCGCTCTCGCCTTCGCTCTTCCCACTCCCGCCCACCACCGGCACACTAACACCGCCATCCTCACCCACAACATCACAGCATACCCGGCCTCGCTCTCGGTCCGCGTCCCGGGCGACGTCGTCGCATTCGAGTGCTGGCTCAGCATGGTTCTGCCCTCCGTCCCCGCCGCCCTCTACCCCACTGCCGCCGCTGCCCAAGCTGTCGCCGGCCAAGCTGGCCACCACCCGTCTCCGGACGATGGATCTAGCGACAGCAGACACGGAAACCAGCCCGGTGATAATACTGCGGCAGTCTGCAAATAGTATCAGCAGCCCCCACGGCAGTTTTCTCCAGGTCGATAACCGGGAAAGCTTCCGGGAATCGGCCGTAGACCCGGATATCCTCCCAATGCCCCCTCGATCGTCACTGCCTCCGCCATACTCACCGGGCTTGCTCACGCCAGAGAGACGGGACAGCATCGACGGAGCGAGCACGCGCGTGGATTCGACCGTGCCGCTGATGGCGTATCAGGCTGTGGCCGGCCACGCCAGTTTCCAATCGCAAAGCTCGGCGACGGCGTACACGCTAGTTAAGCGGCCAGACAACGACGTCGAGGCGCTCCCCGACCCGAAGCGGAAGCGCAGGAGGAAGATCGCGATCATCGCCGGGGTGGTATCTACGGTGGCGGTGGCGGTCATCGTGGGTGTTTCCGTCGGGGTTTACTTCTCCATGTCGACGAATTCCAGAGCCTCGGAATAGGTAAAAGTAACGCAAAGGGTGACGCCGCAGCATGTTATGATAATGAGAAGAAAAAAAAGAAGAAAAAAGCAGGCAAAGGAAAAAGAAACGAAACGAAATGAAACGAAATATGAGGTCATGTAAGTTATACATACATATATACACGCGTGTAAGTATTACACCTATCACGAACCAAAAGCGGTCCCCCCTTCTCAGAAGGGGAGTGGACAGAGACGGGTTACGAGGCGACTGCGGGTGCGATGCCAGGATGAGCACCGCCCAAGTGGCTTGCCAGCAGCATAGCATGACATGAATGAATGGATGCATGCACAGTGGTTACCTTTTGTAGATAGATAGGTAGATATGTAGATAGAAATACACTGTACAATAGCAGCCGAGGGAATCCTGCAGGATGCGTAGAAGATGACGAGAAACGTGGCAGTGGTCCGGCTTACTAGCCACTTACGCGGCGGAGGAGTGCGATGGAGCGAAAAAGGCGTCGTATGTTGTCTAAGAGACAGGGAAGAGTTTATTCATTGACACAACGCCGTCAGTCCCCTCGCGCTATGGTAGGCGGTATGAATGACATCAAACATTCGCCATGCGACAGGGAGCGCATCTATACAACTGAGGGTATCCATGCTCTACCTGCTTGATATATATATATATATATAGGCGTATATGGAAATAGATAAAAACGTTGATCGCACGTGGAGAGGTACGACGGTGAGGCGCGAGTCGGCGCAGTCGGGGAGATGCAACCCCCCGGCAGGATCCACTGCGCATTTATATCGCCGAACCAGTCCGGACTTTTGCCCGCCCCGATCCCCTTCCTTGCAATCTCGCTGACCGCTGGCCTTTCGAGCCTCCGTATCGCCTCTGTCTCTCCCTCTCTCTCCCTCGACAAGCCTCCGCTCGCGTGTTGTCCGATCTCGCCCTCATAAACAGCCCCTACGTATTCGCGCCAATTCGATGCCCACTGGCCTTTAGCCCTGTTTCATCCTCTCTCAACGCGTCCTCTGCCTGCTCGTCCCGGCTCGCATCCGCACCCCCTTGCCCCTCCGATCGGGCTCGCGTCTCGGCCTGCCTCTACCCTCCCGCCAATCCGTCCAGATTAAGAGCCAGGTCGCGATACGGCGATGGAGCAGCCAATCAGACCGCAAGCACGGGCTGCGCCCAAGCCCGGCAAGCTCAACTACGCCTGCGAGGCGTGTCGCATCTCCAAGATCAAGTGCCAATCCGGGCCTCAGCCCGGCATCTGCAAGCGGTATGGCGCCACCACCTCGGGCTCACTCCCGTCTGTGATCTCCCCCCCCCTCCCAATCTGTATATGCGATCCTGCGGGTACCAACCAGTAGCTGAAAGACTAAGATAACATCGTCCACAGCTGCTCCGAGTTCAAGCGGGAGTGCATTTTTCGGACGGGTCCTCGCACCCGTCGGTCTAAAGTTGCCAGACCGTAAGTTCCTGCTATACTATTCACCCCCTATAAGCCGTAGATCACAAGTGTGAAAGTGTACGTGAGAGTAGTCTTCGTCGTTGTCGTCGTCGTCGTCGTCGCCACTACCATCACCATCATCCCCCTTTACTCTTAGTTTTAGTTACGTTGGCTTAGAGAATATGTTCGACTGCAGCGACGCAGAGGTCTCGTCCCCTCTGCCGGGCCCCAGCAAGACATTTAGCATCGAGTTCGCCATGCCGGTCGAGGGAGATCCCCGAGACAACTTCAAGATGCTGAGGGAGAAGCACGAGCATTATCTCGATACCCTCGTGCCGTCCACCCCGGGGCCCGGCGACGACCCGGCGATGTCATCTCCCTCTGCCAGGGGCGCGTTTAGTTTCAACAACCTCTCCATCCCGACCCCTTCGTCGACGACAACTACGAGCTCCGTCCGCTCGCGGCCCATGACCTCCCTCGGCATCAAGCCGCAGTTCAACCTCGACTCGGCCAAGAAGCTGCTCGATTCGTTCCGGCACATGTTGCCGTCCTGTCCGTGCATCGTGCTACCGGCAGAGGCCGACGTGCGGTCCATGGCTCGCAACTCGCCGTTCGTATTATTGGCCATCCTCGCCGTAACCAGTTGCTCTTCGAGCCTCCAGGGTCACAGCCTCTACGACGAAGAGTTCCGCAAGATACTGGGCTTGAAATTTGTTTCCGGCAGTGAAAGGTCTCTCGAGCTGCTGCAGGGGCTGCTAATCTACTGCTGCTGGTGAGTCGAATTCTTCTTATCACCGTCTGCTTGCTTATACGAGGGCGTGAACCAAGAGCACCCGAAACAGACGCCCGCATATAATTAGGATGCAAAATCCATGATATATACACATACTGCAGTGGAAAACGAAGAAGTGGATCAGCCCTAACAGGTGAATTTCGCTCGCTAGGTACCCGTTCCACCTGCGCCCGAAGAGCAGGCAGATGGTGCAATATTTACGCATGGCCGTGGATCTAGTGCATGATCTAGAACTAGACGAAGAGACAAGCTTAGATCTCGTCTCACACTCACCCAAGGAGAGGGAAGCGAAGATTCAGGGAATCCGAGCGTATCTGTGTTGTTTTTATATCACGACAGTGTCAGTCGCCAGCTTTTTTATCCCTCTCCCCACCACACCTCCCCCCTTTTTTCGTTTCGCTCCTCCCCTAACATCGACATAGACACTCGTGGGTGTGGTCAAAGCCGTACGGCCTAAAGTACACGGTGTGGATGTCCGACTGCTGCGATGCTTTGGAGCAGCAGAGCGATCTCGAGCAGGACCATGTCCTCGCCTGGCTCATCCGGATGCAGTACATCCTGAACGAAATCGAGGAGTCGCAGAGGAATAGAAGGCCTGATGCCGATGAGCAATCCATCCATCATCGCCAGCTTATTCGCCTCGGCCTCGAGTCGCGTCTACGGGATTTCCAAACCAGGATTCCCGGCCACCTCTCAAACACACGTAAAGCAATCCTACCTTTTTTTCTTCATCCCCGCCTTTTTCTATCCTGTTTCTTCTCCTCTTTTTATTACCCCCCCCCCCTCCCCCTTTTCCCCTTGATGTAACCCCATCTCCACCGCCACCGCCGGCACCTGAAACAATACACCATACTAGAAGAAAATAATATTAACCAAGTGTAGCGAGCATAGTGATCGTTTCCCTGACGGCGGACGCGTACCTACTCGCGGCACCGCTGATGCGGACGCCGAGTTCGCAAACGCCGGAGGAGATGGCAACGGCGGCTGTCGGCCATGTCGCGGCAGCGCAACTACAGAGGGCAGCTCACACAACGCGGGCGCTGCTCAACTTTATGGCGTCGCTTCCGCCGGCGCAGATAGGCTACTTCTGCGGGGCCGACATGACACGCTTTATCATCGGCATCATCCTCGGCTTCCGGCTGTCGTTCCCGGTACCGGCGTGCCCGACCTACGACCACGCGCACGGGCGCCACGTGCTCGACTTCGGGAAGTACCTTTCCATCTTGACCACCAGCGACGACTACGATTCCGACGGTTACGGCAATGGCACCAGCGGCGAGGACGGTGGCGCCGGGGAGGAGGGCGGCGGCACGGCGGCAGGGAACGATCCCGCGGCCGAGGAGGCGGCCGGAGGGGGAGGGGACGGCAAGGAGACGGGGAGGAAGAAATTCGACGCGGTAACGGCGCTTAAGGTCGTGCTTAAGTCGGTCAGGAGCAAGTTCGAGGAGAAGAGCGCTCGGCTCGCGGCCGCGACCGCGGTCGAGGAGAGCACGCGAAGGGCGCGCATGTGTCCCATGTTCGACGGCAGCATGGACCAGTACATTCCCCTGTGGGCGGGGCAGCAGGGGGTCGACAACGACGGCGGCGCCAGCGGCAGCATGATTGGCACCTCGTCGCTCTCGTCGTCGTACGCGACGTCGCAGCGCAGCGCGGCGAGCGCGGTTCCGAGCGGCGTGGCAGCGGCGGACGTGGCCGCGTCCTCCGGCAGGGGAGGAGCAGCAGCAGGAATGGGAGGGGCAGGGGGCGTGCCCCCTCCCTTGCAATTCCACGATATGTGGACCACGATGACGATGGGTTGGGCGATGGACATGTCTCAGGGCCTCGACGCGGGCGCGGATGTGGCGGATATCGAGAACGTGGAAGGATTTGGGTACTTGGGCCTGGACGGGGTGTGATAAGGATGTATAACGGGCGATATAAGGGGGTATGGCGAATAGGGGATCTATGAGTAGGGGCCTACGGGTGTTACTACGCAGGCAACCAGGGAGGGGATGCAGGGAGGGCTGGGGTGCCGGGGGGCGGCGTGTGTAGAAGATCGCATCCATTATTACTTGCACCGAAGAGATTGGACGGTGCTATATAACACACTGGGTGTAGAGAAATATGTATGTTGGAGTGCAAAAGCATGGAGGATAGCAAAGAGAGTTACGGCGCCAAGTTGGGTGAATCTTGTTTTCTTACAGACCTTTACACACACTTCTCGACGGTCACGCTATTCAGGCAGCATTACATCATGGGGGCAGTTGGAGTCACGTCGAAAGGGGATGGCAGATAGACCAAACGGGAGGAGGGTAACATACCGCCTGCCGGTAGTTAATATCTCGCCATCGACTAATACTACGGAAGAGAGAGGGAGCATGGGGCCCCCAACGGGACTACCGATAGGCTCTATCCAGGGGACCATTTCCTGCTTTGGTAGACTACGACGTGTCGGGCAGTCTCTTTCCCGTCTTATCTACCTTTACCGCCGGCCTATCTCCATCGCTTACCGCTGTCGACGTCCCTATCGGATGCCCTACTCCCCAATCGGCATAGGGCTAAGGCAGGAGAGTCGAAAAACCGGGAACGGAAGGCCGGCCGGCCGGCCGACCGGCATCTCCGCAGGATCGGCGATCTCGCGTAGTAGCGGAGGATCGCGTCGCCCACTGGCGGTATCCCAGAGTCGCATCGTTGACGTGTGTATCTTCTATAGGGGTCTTAGTCGTGCTATTCCGTCGGTATATTCTAGATCTCTCTCTTTCCACGCGAATAGGTCTCCGGCCCCTATATATGAGCGTCTCTATAGACTGCATTGCCACACCGGTATGGAGGGCGGGGGAAGCAGGGAGGGGGTTGTGCGTGGCCTCGAGCCCAGAGCCATGCCTATCGGCTCTCACCCACATCCATGGACCCCATCCGCTTCCCCAGCTATATCGACGGAGCTGTTATATGGCTGTGACCACGACGCACATTGTCGCTGAAGAAACGCACACAAAAGCACCAGACAGCGTTTCCTACCCCCCTGGTTGTCCCTCTCGCACACCCCATCCCGACGCAACGACGCGCGCGCCCAACCCCCCCACTCCCCCCCTTTTCCCCACCCTCGGACGAGATCCTAGATCCCTCCATCGCATCGCATCGCATCGTCGCGCAGGGCATGGGTAGATGCGATCGCGTCAACCATGAACCATGCGCGCGCATGTGCATGTGCATGACGCGCCTCTCGCCTCCGTTTCCCGCCTGCGCACCCCCCTCGCTCTCTTCGCTTCGCTAACCTGCCTACAGAGTTCCCGGTCTATACTACCGGTCTGGCTTCCCACGTTATAGACTGCCGTTATGCCTGGTGCCCATGTACGCGGGTGTGTGGTCCGCCTGTCTCACACGCTTCCACGTCGCCCGCCCGGACATAGCTACCTTAACTAACCTGGGTGCGTGCCGCGTGCACCCAGGAGTTATACATGTGTGTGTGTGTGTGCACATACATATATATCTATCCTTATATATATCCACACAGGCCTGCCTCTTATGAGTGCACACCTCCCTACATTATACATAGATGCATACATACCTAGGTACCCGCCGATATACATATACATGTATATATGCATACGTACATGCCTATATAGCCACATCCACACCCACCCACATCCATATCCACACACACAACCTATTTCTCTCTCTGTCTCTCACGCGCTCGCTCACTCGTCCATCGGCTCACTCCCCTCTGCATCCCCTACATACATACACATACATACCGAACCCACATCGGCGTGGCCAAATCCATCCCCAATCTCCGTGCCGCACCAACGTCCCGGGGTTTGGTAGAGACCCGCAGGACGAAACCGACGAAAAAAATACCGCGACCGGTCGCCTCGACTCGATTGGGAAGACTGGCTCCCTCCCTCCTCCTCCCTTCCTCGCCCCGGGTGACGCAGGATCCGGCCAGCAGACGTCTCTCTGCGAAAAAAGCGTTTCAAATGCCTCTCTTTCTCCCTCTCTCTCTCTCTCTCTACTTCCCCGCCTCTTTCTTTCCTCTCCATTCCTTTCATCTACCCAGTCTAGCGGGGGAGGGGGTAGGGGGGGTATAGTGCTCGAGACAGGCGCATGCAGACAAACGGACAAGTTAGGTCGGCGGGTGGTCGGGCGCTCGCTCGATTGGTCCGGGAGGGAGGAGTCTTCTCCCCCCGCGAGGTCCGGCCGCGTGCCAGGCGGGCGCGAGAAGCCAGCCGGCAAGGGGAAGGGGGAGGGGGGGAGAAGAAGCGAGGAGCGGAAGCCCCGTAGGCAGAGGCAGGCAGGTGGGCGTATCGGAGACATGCATATGTGGGTTCCGATACGCTTATGTGCATATCCATCCATATCCACGTGCACACGCAAACCAGGAGGCGCCGCAGCGCTGGCCAAAATGCCTTACCTATACAGGAGGTAAGTAAGTCGGGCCCACAGGCAGAGCTAGACACCCAGCTGGCCTATATACGTCTACGCCTTACGCGGCCCACTGGCGTACGGTAGGTACGGCGTGTCTGCGAGACAGGCACCGACAATAACAACCACTCGTGCGTCGCCTGGCACGCGCTGCCATGTGCCCCGGTATTGCACTCATGCGCGTAGGTGGGTATGCATGTAAGAGGGTTAATTAGCTCTTCGTATCCGACCCGCCCCTTTCGCCGTCTCCTCTCTCTCCTCTGCGCAGGGGCCTGACCTGCCTACCTTGGCCCTCGCTGCATTGCCTACATCCGGACGGTTTAGGGGACTCTGCTGCAGGTACCGACCGCACCGCCCTGAGACCCCGACGAACCTCTGTGCGGTGGTTCTTCTATTAATCAGTTCTTAGTCACGGGCAAAGAGAGACACACACAGAGAGAGAGAGAGAGAGAGAGAGAGATGATCTATCGCTTCCCCCCCTCTCTTGCGCAACACCGGATTCCAACCCAACCCCCCCCTCCTCCTCCTCCACCAACGGCGGCATGCAACGACGACACCCTCCGTCCCAGACGCCGCGGGAAACTGGGTAGTGAGAAAGAGAAGAAAGAGAAAAAAAAAGCAAAAAGGGAACCAGGAGAGAGAGAGAGGCGGCAGAAGGGAAAAGACACCGGGGGGGGGGGGGGAAATGGGGGAGAAAAGCACGGGCTAACCGAGGCATACGAAGCTCGAGGCCCCCGAGCGCGAAGCAGGGAAATGTCATGCGATTGCGGGCGCGCGTATGCGACCCGGTGGCTGCCCACGAACGCACGGCGCGGGCATCTGTGCGCACGCGGATGTCGGGCGGGCGTTCGCGCATGCGTCTGTCTTGCCTGCGTACTCGTAGGGGAGGTTAAAGGTAGGCAGGTCGTGTATCCGGCTGGGCAGAGAGTAGGTAGGTAGGTATGTGTTCTGTGTATATTATGTGTCTGTCTGTGTATATGCATGTATCTATATGCGTACACAGCAAGGTACTAACTAACTCTTAGTTCTGGTAGGCTTCTTACTTCTCTTGGGTGCGTAGTTATACCGCTTATACCGCTACCGTGTATAACTATTATACCTTATTTATATACCTCTCTCTCTCTGTGTGTGCGTGTGGGTGTGTGTGCATAAGGCGGTGTGTGGGGAGCCGGGGGGAGGGGGGAGGGAGTGGTGAAGGCGGTGATGATGATGGTGGTGGTGGGGTGTGTATTGTATAAGCGTATATATACGCATAACTCGGTATAAGGGATAAGGATACACGCATAAGCAGTTGCGCCAGTGCGCGCAGGAATTCCGGCCGGAAGCCAGCGAGGGAAACGGGGCTGTCCGTCCGCCCGCCCGGCGCGTGTCCTGCAGCGGAGCTTCTGCAAATCCTCCAATAGGTCGGCCGGACCCGCCTGGCGTAGGTTCCCGCGCGGAGCAAACCGCCCCCCTCCCTGTCTCCCTGTCTCTCTCTCTCTCGCTCTCTTTGTCTCTCTCTATTCCCCCACGTACCATCCCTTCCCGACGCCCTGGTCGACCACCCACCCCTCCCCCCTCACCGACCGCCGCCGCCCTCTCGGTCCTGCCGTCCGGCTTCTCCCCGGCCGCGTGGGAAAGAGGAGGGATGGGGGGGGGGGGAGAGACATACGCGCGCGCGCGACAGAAAAAAAAAGGGAGGGGGCGGGTGCCATCGAGAGAACCGGGTTGCGACCACGGCGCAGCCGCATGCGCTGCTCCACACACACGCACCCGCACACCCGCAGCCTCGCGAAGCGATCACGGTGCCCAGGCGAATCCGCGCCCCCCTCCCCTCCCCCCCTCCCTCTCTGCCGCACACCCGGCCGTCGAGACGCGCCGTCTTCTCGAAGAGGCCGCCGGGGTTGGGGTTGCGGAGTCGGTAGGTAGGTAGGCGGGCGGGCGCTGCGGCCCCCAAAGCCGTCCGGAGGAAACATGCAAGTCCACGGCTCGGGCGGTGGCTCCCCTCGCGCCCGGCAGCGGCCTTACGGGCCTCGGGCGAGCCGTGCGGTTTCGGCCCGGGGGCCGTTGCGGGCCCGGAGCGCAAAAGATTCGTTGCGACGGCGCCCGGGGCGCTTCCTCGCCGGCGGCGGAGGAGGAGGAGGAGGAGGAGGAGGTCGTCGCGCGATGCTGTTGACCGCTGCGGACGAGTATAGCTGCCGAGAAAGGGGGGAGGCTGTGGAACCGTCTCCGAGGGCGTAATGCATGCGCTAATAATAATACTTTCTTTTCGTGATTTCGCGTGTTAGACATCGCTAGACGACGGTGGAAATCATAACGGTATCTGTGATATAGATTCTACAAGGGTCGCTGGGTATTTAGTGTTTCGGCTATTGTCCCTAGTCATTCGGTCTCGTCCAGAACCCATAATATATACCAATGTCTCTTGTGAGGAGGCACATGTGCTTTCTTCCCCCGAGTGATATTTAGAAGTGCTTGATGGATGGGTTCTAAATATATCGATTTAATTAGACCAGGTAAATCTACATCTGTTCTATCTGACATTGGTATTGGTAGAAACACAGGTCGAGTTCCTCCGTCCTGAAACCTTCTCGAAGACCCGTCCTCGGGTTCGTCACCATCGTCGCTATCGCCAACAACCACAGCACCGACATCTTTATTATAATCTGCTACGTGAATATATGGACACTCACATCTGGTTATGTAGGCCTATACGTATATGGCTTTTCCCGCATGGCATTCCTGCATGGCATCCTCGTTGTTGTCTCGACGATCCCGCTGTACAGTATTAACCTCACGATCTCTGATAACGACGTCGTTGTCATCCCAGTTGGAGCCCGCCTCGACACCAAGCTCCACAGCTCCTTTGGTCTTCCGTTCTTGATCCGCTTTTTACTAATACCTATCCCCCGTGAGCTTCCCCCTGGTCTTCTAGCCGCCCAAGACGGAATTGTCATAGCATGAAGGCACGGCAAGCAAGAATCTGATAGTGAAGCAATCTGCTGGTTTGAAATAGCCATACGCCTAAGTCTTCTCGATTCAGAACCTCCAATCTACCTATTAAATCTAGAAGACGGGGGAAAGCGTACGGCAGGACAGGCCTGAACGGCCCTGCTCCTGCCCGGCTACTGGTGGCCACATCAGGCGCTACATTCGACAGCTCTTAGAATGCCGTCTCCGTCCCCGTCCAGACGCATCCGAATGCGCCTGGTTCTAATTAAAAACCAACGACGACGCGTTCGCGAGTCTTGGCATGGCTGGGTCCCAGTGCCTACCGAAGGGGACCGTCCCGATTAACGTTCTCGGCTATGACCTCGCCGTTTGGGTGCCCAGGGGCCCCGGGCCGCAGGAGATGGGTCGTGGGCTGGTAAGCGAGACTCGAGTTGTGAAACTGGAAAACGACGAGGGTCGTGCCAGCGCTGAAAGACGCGTAATACCATCGTCCGGGCAGCATTTGTGGCAGGGCGTTCACGTCCACGAGCCGGCGACCAGGCCGATAAACGATTGTAGGCAATTTGCCCCTGGTAATATTGACTCAGAAAGGGCGCGTCAAGCTGGTAAGCGTCCGGAGGCGGTAACACTAAACACGCGAGCTGTAACCTCGCTACGCACCCAAAGAACCCTTTACGATCCGGAGCCCGAGAAGATGCAAATACATATGTCTTCCGGGGGGCCGACCCTCCTATACATCTATCTACGGCGGACCCGAGCGATACTGGTGAGAAAAGGCCCCCCTCTGCAACCTCCAAAGGGGCCGAGGTATCGACAGCAGAAGGGCGTGGCCACCGCTGACGCTAGACGGTGTCATTCATAAAGGAGTCGTCTAGACGCCCGCATTCGTCGCGCCCGATGTCCTCACGTCTGGGTCGTACGGAAGGCCGCTAGGCGGCGAGGCGCGCTTGCCTGGAGTAGCAATATGTTGGCGGATTCGTAGGCGGGCTCGAGCGCAAGTGAATCAGAACGAGCAGGTATGGTGGATATGATGGAAAAGATCAGCGAGGAGACACGCCGGACGAGGGAGGTAAAAGGAAACAAGGGACGTAGCCAGAAATCTGTCGAGTGATAACCCCGGTAGGCGAAGGGAGCGCGAGGACGTCGTATGCCCGGCCGTTCGAGCAGTGAAGAGGGAGGGAGGAAGAATTTATGAAACAATCTATCGGCTAGAGACGAGTGTGCGTGGGAAATCCAACCCTAGTGATCGGACCACTCGCTTAGTTGCTCAACTTGTGCCTGTCCTCTCGGTATTGTTCAACTTCTAGTTGTCGTCTTTATAGGATATCGCATCGTTCGGCTCCACCGGCGCGTATCTCGCAGTTCCCCATGGGGAGCCTTCGTAAGACAGCGCCCCCTGTTGCGATATTATCTAAAATCCTTTGCGAGTAATATATATTAATAACAACGTACACCAAAGTCTCTTCCTCCCAATACCTCTCTTCTGAACCTTGTAGGATCGGCATTTTCTTCAGCGACTAGAGAACACCTTGTCCCCGACAGTCTTCGTCTTGTTGTCGTTGATCCAACCTTGGGCAATTTCAGCATAGAGCACCGCTTGCTTATACGTGGGGGTAATAACAGCGGTGGAACACACACCATTTTGACCAAGGGCAGCGAGATCTTGCGAGCCCTGTGCCGAGTCGCCATAGAAGACTGGGAAACTCGTAGCTAAAGCGCTAAGATGACATTTGCGGCGCCAATTTTGGCCCCGTGTTGTTGCTGCTACCCGGGGGCCACCGCATTAGCCGAGCTCGGCTCTGGGTTGGCTGTCTTAGCTACCTAGGCTGCCCCCATGGTATACGCGTGCACACGGGTGCGTTATAGTTATACAAGTAATGTCCGCAATATAGTACGTGTCATCTAAGACACGCATATCGGTTTCTATATCCTAGTCCCGGCTTTCTTCGACATGAAGCTGTTTCCCCACTTATAGCTTATTATTAGATGTTCTGCATCTAGCTGACTCACTCTCTCGACCTTTCTTCGTTATTCCCTTTCTTGTCTCGCTCTATAGTCT